TTATGCCACAAAGTTCATATTCAGAAAATGTAAAGTTTCATGAAGTGAAATCATTGTCATGACGTCATATTACTATGTATCATTCTTAATACAAACATTGTATTGTATTGGATAGCTTTACACATTTTAATGATTTGCAAGCTCAGTTGTATTTTACCGTCTCGTCTATTCTCTTCTGGGTGATGTTTCTGTTAGGCAGCAGTAATGAGTGAGTGTTTGCTGTTTACGAGCAGGTATTGGTTTATTGGAAACGTGAACAATGTTTGAACTATCAACTTGTTATTGTCGTTACTTGACGATTTCCAAATTGATATAATAAGTTAACCCGAAAATCTATTTGCAAGCGAATTTAGCGTTTATCAAGAAATAACGAAAAATCATTTTACAATTAACAATGTAATTAACAAGGTGTATGTATTCTTACACATTGCCTCAAAGTGGATATAATGACAGAATAGAGAGTCAGTGTAAAATTCAATGGCAGTATAAAATAAAGAAGATACTCTACAAGTCAGGGATGATCATATTTACCGAGCGCAACAGTGGTCAATCTTCAAATATAGACCCAGGGTGGATATTCAGTTTGATTTGATCATCACACAAAATAGCTTGATGATGCGAGATGATACTGACATACGCTTGCCTACTTGTATGGTCTTCAAGAATATGAAACGCTGTGCTGGGTTACTCTGCGCTGTTCAAACTGAATTTAGCTTGAGTCAATTGCAAACGATATTTTTGGGCCGGAAAACAGTTACTGTATGAACGCATTTCATAAACGCGTTTTGGTCCATGCAGCTGTCGGAAACTGGAGAACAGCTATGACACGCAACAAACATTCACGTTTGTCTCAAAAGGTATTTCTGTAATGTTTTCTTAACCAATTCCAGTTACTCTATCTGGCATATTTCTACCAGTCATGCAGGGTTTTCAGTGTGCGATGTGCCTGCATACAAACATTGTGATGTCCTATAAAATTGATCAGAAGAACGGTTTATCATAAAATATTTAAACAGACAAATATCAGATTTTATTATACAAATTCTGTAACGGTGAGATTGGTGATCTTTGGGAAGTTCAAGAGTTCTGTTGTACGCTCGTCACGAATACATTCTCAGAAGCGATATGTCATTGGAACACTGCTTTCTGTGGACATGGAACAATACTCTCCCCAGTTGTAAACCTATACGAATTATAATCCTTGCATTCCTCTGCATTGAGACATTGTATACTGTGATAAAAGTTCTTTTCGTGGGATTTATGTGAACGGATAACTCAAGAATGCTAGTGTAGACCTTCCCAGAGAAATGACTCATAGATTACTTTTTATAATCATATATTAATCAGAATGTAGGATATTCTGTGTAACTGGGTTTTCCTCTAAAAACGGCAAACACTTTATAACACTTACCGCTTCGTTTAGTCTGACTCCAGTATAGGTGAGAGTGATGAGATGTAGAATGGAGATGTACACTGAAGTTGCGGCTATACTCATGTTCAGTAAAGACTTCTCGTCGTTGATGCTGCTGTATAGGCAAAAACACACAACGAGGAAGGAGCTGACGTAGCCAGCAGCGATGTATCTGGACATGAGGGAACGCACATGTTCCACCAGATCTGTTAAGGATGCATGGTAACCTCGAATGTCCTCAATATCCTCTTCTTTGACGGACCCTTCAGAAGCCCTTGTCAGTCTCAGCGTGCAATTATCATACTCATAAGTACGAAGGAGGGAGATGGACAAGAACAGAAGCAATAACGAATGGCTTAGCAGAGTGGAATAGCCACCAACTATCGACGTCAAAACGAGTCAAGGCCAAATGAAAATACTGGTCGGTTTATTGATTGATTGATTGGTCGTATCATACATCATGTTCATGGTTAAGCCATTGGCGACAAAGACAAATGCCGCGAGAAACCCGATACATACACATGCCCTCTTCATGCTGTCAAACCTCAACCGCAACTGTCGAAGACGTTCATAGAATATGCGAAGCTTGTTGTAGATGTTGGTACTCAGACCCCAATACGTCACACATAACAAAGCTAAAATATTATCAGCTACGGCAAGACTGATGTCCATGAACTATTCAGCTCTTGTATAGAATGGTATCATCTGGATAAAATACAGAATGTAAAATATGCAAACCAAACTTGCATATATCCGGGAAGCTACCAAATAGACGTTACACCAGGTGGCGGACTTTGGCTGCTGATAGTCCCATGATAACCCGGACAATGCTATCAGTTTCTGGATACTTGTCAGTGTGTCCTGTACATTATCTGTTTCACTGGATGTACCAACGGTATTTCTAAATATCTTCAACATCTTCGACAGTTTATGAAATAAGCAATATTTGTCTTTGCTTTGTAGGCTAGGTTTCCAGTTCGGTCTGTTCTCCACTACGTCTCACCAGTATTTGAAGGAATAGTTTTAATTAAGATCAGTTTATATTTGTGTTGAGAGCGATTGCTTACCTTGGCTGTAAAAAGCTGTTAATGAGCCGATTAATCAATCAGCCAAGCTGCTTGGCATAAATTGTTTGTTGTCAAACGTTTCCTTACTTCTTCTAATTACCCTCAAATGTGTTTGCTTTAATATACCATCCCCATTGAAACTGTTCTGACAGGATGACAACAAACATGAAGATCAATAGATATTCTCAAAACGACGGTGAAAACAAACAAACCAAATTGTAAGAGATACTGTTACTGGTTATAGTTGTTTTACAATAATGAAAGAGTTGGGAAGTTGTAGTATAACGCAGTAAATGTTATGGCCGTCAACGATCTTGGAGTACGAAAGGGGTAGAGATAGGAAATTTCAGAGTTGACGTTATTGAGTATGCAGCTTCGATCTGTCAAACATTCATTCACTCGGCGAGGCATGCTGTTTACGACTATCTCTGTGTGTACGACTACCTCAGCGAATCAGCCCTGTATCTCTTGCAACCCATGGCCACGTTCAGCCGACATTGTCGTTAGACTCTATGGTTGACTGTGGTTTTGTATGGATGCTGTGCTGCTGGAGGTAAGAATTCACAATTCGTGCACGAAGAGCAAGCCCGCTGTCTTGAAGATTTCATGGAGCGGCATTTTAGAAGGTTTTTGTTGTTGTTGTTGTTGTTTTTTTCATTCAATATCAGACCTTATCTGAAAATAGTTTGTTTTGTTTTTTGTTTTTTCATGAAAAAATAAAGTCTTCCATCATAACATTCGTTACATAATGACACATACAAATAATATAATCATCCAACATATCAGGCTGTGAGGCAGTTAGACCTCCGATATATAATGGTGTATAGGGTGTTGTGTATAGCGCCACATCCAACATATCAGGCTGTGACACAGTTAAACCTCCGATATATAATGGTGTATAGGGTGTTGTGTGTAGCGCCACATCCAACATATCAGGCTGTGACACAGTTAAACCTCCGATATATAATGGTGTATAGGGTGTTGTGTGTAGCGCCACATCCAACATATCAGGCTGTGACACAGTTAAACCTCCGATATATAATGGTGTATAGAGGTTGGTGTGTGTAGCGCCACATCCAACATATCAGGCTGTGAGGCAGTTAGACTTCCAATATATAATGGTGTATAGGGTGGTGTGTGTAGTGCCACATCCAACATATCAGGCTGTGACACAGTTAAACCTCCGATATATAATGGTGTATAGGGTGGTGTGTGTAGTGCCACATCCAACATATCAGGCTGTGACACAGTTAAACCTCCGATATATAATGGTGTATAGGGTGTTGTGTGTAGTGCCACATCCAACATATCAGGCTGTGACACAGTTAAACCTCCGATATATAATGGTGTATAGGGTGTTGTGTGTAGCGCCACATCCAACATATCAGGCTGTGACACAGTTAAACCTCCGATATATAATGGTGTATAGGGTGTTGTGTGTAGCGCCACATCCAACATATCAGGCTGTGACACAGTTAAACCTCCGATATATAATGGTGTATAGGGTGGTGTGTGTAGCGCCACATCCAACATATCAGGCTGTGAGGCAGTTAGACTTCCAATATATAATGGTGTATAGGGTGGTGTGTGTAGTGCCACATCCAACATATCAGGCTGTGACACAGTTAAACCTCCGATATATAATGGTGTATAGGGTGGTGTGTGTAGTGCCACATCCAACATATCAGGCTGTGACACAGTTAAACCTCCGATATATAATGGTGTATAGGGTGGTGTGTGTAGTGCCACATCCAACATATCAGGCTGTGACACAGTTAAACCTCCGATATATAATGGTGTATAGGGTGGTGGTGTGTAGTGCCACATCCAACATATCAGGCTGTGACACAGTTAAACCTCCGATATAAATGGTGTATAGGGTGGTGTGTGTAGTGCCACATCCAACATATCAGGCTGTGACACAGTTAAACCTCCGATATATAATGGTGTATAGGGTGGTGTGTGTGTAGTGCCACATCCAACATATCAGGCTGTGACACAGTTAAACCTCCGATATATAATGGTGTATAGGGTGGTGTGTGTAGTGCCACATCCAACATATCAGGCTGTGACACAGTTAAACCTCCGATATATAATGGTGTATAGGGTGGTGTGTGTAGTGCCACATCCAACATATCAGGCTGTGACACAGTTAAACCTCCGATATATATAATGTATAGGGTGGTGTGTGTAGTGCCACATCCAACATATCAGGCTGTGACACAGTTAAACCTCCGATATATAATGGTGTATAGGGTGGTGTGTGTAGTGCCACATCCAACATATCAGGCTGTGACACAGTTAAACCTCCGATATATAATGGTGTATAGGGTGGTGTGTGTAGTGCCACATCCAACATATCAGGCTGTGAGGCAGTTAGACCTCCAATATATAATGGTGTATAGGGTGTTGTGTGTAGTGCCACATCCAACTATTGTGTCTTATATCCAACCTATAATATGTGTTCCCAAAGTTACACCAGTGCCATTAACTAACTAGTCAATATATAACTAAAACAAAGATAATTTTTCAAAAGGGGAAACAGGCATTTTAGAAGTTGGTAAGTACAATATTGACAAACGTTATGGATAACAACTCCTTTCGTAAGTTATTTCGTAAGTGCAACTTTTCGATACAGACTCTTGTACGATACATCTTCTTCGCAAACACATACTAAATGAATAGTAAGGGTGGTTATAACGTCATCACTTGCGGGGTAGATTTGCAGGTGCGCTGTTATCAGTCTCTATATCTCCATATCTGCGGATCCATATTATCGTTTCAAGATATACGTCATTTGTATCACTGGATAGAGAAACGATAATAGGAAACATCGTTAATGGGAATCATTATCGATATGAAAAGTGTATAATCGATAATATCGTAAATGAACTATTGTGATGAAGTAGTTGAAAATGTTGCTCTAAAATCACAAATGTTGGTCTTTATTCATGGGCTGTTCCTAAAGTACGATCAGGACGGCGTTTTGACGTTGATCCAAGCCTTGATATGTCAGCACTGATATGACATATGTTGATTTCATTCATATTTGCAGTCATTTTTGCTCAAAGTTACCTCTCCGATATTTATCGATAATCGATCTATATTCATGTAACAATGATCGATCTCAGTGATCTGTATTGATTGCCAGACCTACCGAATATAATACAAGCAGGACGCAGTGTATAGCATTTTCCTACACTTTGTATTGCAAATACATGTTGTACTCGAGTTTTAGCAAGAGCTTCGTCTAGTTGCAATCGTGTTCTCAAATCAGTGTCTATAGTTATAGTACTGAGACATAATTCCCATGACAATGCATCAGCAATCACAACACTCCGAACTTTCAACTGCTTAAAATGATTTCAAAAGTAAATTCATGCGACATGCAATTAAAACATTCAACGTGAAAAGACATTATCTTAAATGTACAAATAGTTTCACAATGTAACGACTGAAGTATGTTGTGATATATATCCGTGTTGAATTGTTTACATTTATCGTAAATATGTTGTTCTCATAAAAGACTATCGAGGGCAGAATAAAGGAAAATGACTGATTTAACCTTAAGCAATGATTAATACTGACTGGGGACAACAGGAATGGGTTGTGCAGATTATTCCTCGCCAGGCAAGCTGATGTAAAATACAATCATTACCTCCCTTTGATCACGAATGTTCTCACGTTGAGAAGAGATATAAATCTACATATCGCCGTTGTTTCCTAAGTAACAGATTTAATTTTGATATGAGTGAGTGAGTGAGTCCATGAGTTGGTTAGTGCGTGTGTGCGTGCGAGAGTGGGCGAGTGCGTGCGAGGGAGAGAGCAGTGGCGGAGGTACATCTGTACACACAACGTGTACAGGTCAATACAAACAATGGCTGTGTCAAGGCTGGCTAATATTACAGTTACCATGACTAGTCATCTTTGGTGTGGGGGAAAAGACGTCTCACACGTCCCTCCACGAACTCCTGTATGTTGCTGAAACATGCGACAGGCCAACCCGTGATAAGGTTCGCAGGCTAAAGGGACACAACTCAGCTCACATAAAACGTAAATGGTACTGTGACTTGAAGCAAACATCTACCAGTCTCACTGAATTTTACTGCGTAGGATAGGTGTATTTCCGTGTTAACAAGATACCCAAGTGACTGAAAGTGAAACATACACGACAAATTAGACAAGTACTACTTGTAAACATTCACCACTTGACCATTTCCTGGTATTAGTGCATCCCGTTCGTTAGAGCTCGTTTGTAACGTTGCTTGTTTGTAAAGATATTATTTTGTGATACAGTTTATCTGTGACGTTGTTAGTTTTTGACATTGTCTAGTTATTGAGGCGGTTAGATTCCGAGTCTGTTATTATATATCGTGTACATTATGTTAATTTATACTGTTAGTTTGTGATGCTGTTAGTTTGTGACGCTGTTTAATTGTGACGTGGTGCGGTGAGGTAGCCTAGTGGTTAAAGCGTTGGCTCGTCACGCCGAAGACCCGGGTTCGAATCCCCACATAGGTACAATGTGTGAAGCCCCTTTCTGGTGTTTCCCCGCCGTGATGTTGCTGGAATATTGCTAAAAGCGGCGTAAAACCAAACTCAGTCAGTCAATCAGTGATTGTGACGTTGTTACTTTGTGACACTATCAGCTTGCGATGCTGTAAGTTTGTGACGATGTTTGATTGTGACGTTTTTAGTTTGTAGCATTATCAGCTTGTGATACTGTTCGATTGTGACGCTGTTTGATTGTGACGTTGTTAATTTGTGACACTATCAGTTTGCGATGCTGTTAGTTTTTGACGATGTTTGTGACGTTGTTAGTTTGTGACACTTTCAGTTTGCGATGCTGTTAGTTTGTGACTGTTTGATTGTGACGTTGTTAATTTGTGACACTATCAGTTTGCGATGCTGTTAGTTTGTGACGATGTTTGTGACGTTGTTAGTTTGTGACACTATCAGTTTGCGATGCTGTTAGTTTGTGACGATGTTTGATTGTTGTTAATTTGTGACACTATAAGTTTGCGATGCTGTTAGTTTGTGACGATGTTTGTGACGTTGTTAGTTTGTGACACTATCAGTTTGCGATGCTGTCAGTTTGTGACGATGTTTGATTGTTGTTAATTTGTGACACTAGCAGTTTGCTATGCTGTTATTTTGTGACGCTGTTTGATTGTGACGTTGTTAGTTTGTGACGCTATAAGTTGGCGATGCTGTTTGATTGTGACGTTGTTAATTTGTGACACTATCAGTTTGCGATGCTGTTAGTTTGTGACGCTGTTTGATTGTGACTATCACTTTGCGATGCTGTTTGATTGTGACGTTGTTCATTTGTGACACTATCAGTTTGCGATGCTGTTAGTTTGTGACGATGTTTGATTGTGACGTTGTTAGTTTGTGACACTATCAGCTTGCGATGCTGTTGGTTTGTGACGATGTTTGTGACGTTGTAAGTTTGTGACACTATCACTTTGCGATGCTGTTATAAAATTAGTTTGTGACTGTTTGATTGTGACGTTGTTAATTTGTGACACTATCAGTTTGCGATGCTGTTAGTTTGTGACGATGTTTGATTGTGACGTTGTTAGTTTGTGACACTATCAGTTTCCGATGCTGTTAGTTTGTGACTGTTGATTGTGACGTTGTTAGTCGGTGACACAATATGAAGGCCAGAATTTGTGAGGCTGTTAGATTTTGAGGCTGATAGTAAAATCTGCCCATCTTACCATGTGAAGATGAGTTTGGAACACTGGTGTGTTTTGAAGCTGCAATGAAATGATGGTGGTCCCTTAATCATCGGGTCTGGACTTGAAAATCCAGTGACTTACATGTACAACGCAGTTTGGATGGGACGACATATTACGTCCAAAACAGAGATGGGATCTACAAAACCGTTGATATTGTACCATATAGGACGAATTCCCCGCATTCCCTACAAATCAAGTTCATTGTGTACAAAACAGAACCTTGCAGTGAGTCGGTGACAGTGACAATCATTCCCAACAAAATACATCGTGAAACAACACACTGTTGCATCTTCGAAACAAGACAAATTTATAAAAATAAACATTATTGAGAACTGCGGTTATTTCATGCCGCTTGTTAATAAATCAAGAGATATAGAACTCGAGTAACGGACTGCAAAAGGCCCTTAAAGTATTAGTTAACCGTGACTCACCGATAAGTAGCTTACAGTAATTCTCCGATCACGAGGTAAAACATGAGATCATGGAATGATATTACTTTGAAAGAATCAGAAGTTAATGTTGTATCGGGACATGTGACAAGGGCGGAGCAGGCTCGAACACCTTAAAAGGACACCGTCAACACTAGCAAAGTGGTGCGGGTTTCAAAGTCAGAAGAACGTTCGCATCGCGATCGTTGCAGTTCCACATTTGGTAAAGAGCCTGCCCTGTCCTGTCCAGTCCGAGTCACCGTGTGATGTAGAGAGGGGTTCAGTAAACCCATGTGGGTATGGAGCCTGGTGTACGTTAATCATTGCAGGAATGTGCTCCAGTGCATGAATGTGGTGTGGGCAACTAGCAGTCACGGTCGTCCGATCCCTCATTCATTTACTTAGCATCCCTCAACGGACTATGTGAATATAGAGTCCGAGCTTACATCCCCCAGGACACCATATGGAACGGCATATACGATTAGGCAGCTGTTGTAGGATCCACTGACGCCTGAATATATCTATTCCGGTTGAGACACTATCAGCGCATTTGCATGATTTCGTAATGACAACGTGTGAAATGATCTGTTTGATTAGCATTTTAGAAGTTGATGGATAATAGAAAAGTATAATACTTTATGCATTCATTCCCTCATATTGTCTTATTTAATCCCTGTTACATGTATATAAGTCGGTTCTGTGCTGTATTACATTACTTTTGTTTGACAACGGTATAAGAACCTATACCGAAACGTCGCATCATAACAAATGAGGTGAGGTGAAATTGGGTTTAACATCGTGCTTGAGAATATTTCGCTCATATGACGACGTGCATGCGTGTGTATGTGTATGTGCGGCTGATTGTACTAGCCCAGACTGAAGCTGGTTTTATAGTGCTAGCCCACTGAGATACCATGCCGCAGTGAAGCATGAATACCCCACTCAGACACTTTATACTGACTCCGAGCCGACCAGTCCTTGTTGTACCTATTAATGCCGAGCGCCAGACAGGGACCAACAAGTACCATATTTGAACGTCTTTTGGTATAACGCGGCCGGGGATCGAACCCGCGACCTTCCGCTCTCCGGGCGGACACTCTAACCACTACACCACGGAGGCGGTCTTCATAACAAATAAAGAAGTTGTTATCCATAAAGTATTATACTTTTGTAACGTGTGAAATATATATAATATGCTCTAGTGGAGCACGTCTTGGATTATGTATAGATGGATGCAATGTGGTTTGAAAATCTTTTAGTCCTTTAACCCATCAATAAATATTCCACTACAAACGGTAAGGGACAAGACTTAGTTCATGGTCTGTGTTAAGTATTTGAGTCTCACGAACACCTTCGATTTTTCTCTTAGGTGGAGTTGCATTAATGACATATATTGGAAATGTTTCAGTTCAATAATTATTACAGTTAGCGGCACCTCTACACTTACATCTTATACAGATATACTAGTGTTCTGATGACAGCTAGTGTGTACACACTTGTCGATATCAGATGCTAAACAGCCCACCTGTGTGGACACCCAATTTCACCAAAATGTCGCGTTGTAAAGGATTTTAAGGCATTTTTAAATGAGGCGACAAGGGGTTATATATTGACCTTGAAAATTTGTCTCGCAAATTGTTGCTGTGGCAATACCGGTTGCTATGTATTGTCTCTCATTTCACTTTTCATCTCAAGCTGCCAGCACGTGATTTCCCGAAACAAACTTAATTTTTTACTCAAGTTTTGAACTGAGTTTGACAATTTGAAACAGCTGAATTTCTCACTCAACTACATTTCTAAAATCAAAATGTCAAAACAACTAAAGAAACCAATCTACTAAACTATGTTTGAGTTGAATATCGATTTCAGTTTGTTTGGGAAATGCATTTTCCTACATAGATGTATCATCAGAGAAAAATTATTCATTATTTTTCAAATTACATTTTGTGAAGTTTCTTTTTTGACTCAGTATATAATATGCACAGGATGGGGCTGTACCCAGTCGTAGAGGAAGTAGCGAAGACACTGGAAACCGTAGACGGGTTTCGGTTGAAACAGTTATGTGACGTAAAACGCAGCATTGTACAAGAAGTAGCATAGGGCTTTCAATGCCCTGGATGGGGGTTGATACCGCCCTTATGACAACCAGCATGGGACTAGGGGCGGTAGGTGTCGGGTTGTTGGCCACCATCGTAGCCGCACCCATAGTGCTAGGCATCGAAATAACAGCTGGGGTGTCAGGGTTGGCGGGGTTGGTGTTTAGGTTTGCATCATGCAGACTGCATCGTAAAGCGTTGAAGCACGACGAGATCAGGGTTCTGGCAGAAGCAAAGCTGAACATGGTAAGCGACCACATCTCCACCGCACTCACTGACAGTAAAGTTTCCGAGGAGGAGTTTCGTTTTGTCCTCTCTGAACTCGCAAAATATCACGAAATGAAACGAGAGATTCGAAACAATTCTCGTAAAAGCACTCTCATCAGCGAAGACGAGAAAAAAAGTACATAGAACAGGGGATACAACAAGCCCAGCAAGCCTTCATTACGAAAACCAAAGAAATCACAGTAGATTCACGTTAAACTGTTTTGCTGAGATCAACATCATGTAGGGCAGCCACGGGCCGCCGTCAGATAGGAATCACGGCACAATATTGCCCCCAAGCAAAATATTTGACACTTACTGTTGAGTGATCCGAATAGTGTCCTATCACATTAAACTGTTTCCTGTCAACACGACATAGTGTCATGTGATCAGGAAAGTGTTGGTTCGCGGTCATATTGACCAGAAAGTTAACTGGGGGTTCAACCCTGGTATATACAATAGCAGGAAGAGATAAGGGCCTGACAAAAGCTTTATTTCATAATTGAAGCTTTACAGAGGGTTTTGTTGGAATTTATCTCGTACCCCCAGTGTATGTACTACTCCATAGTGTTTCCACTGACTTGTGAACTGAATTAATTTCGGAATACAACAACCATGTCTTTGTTGTGTGTGAATCTCACACCTAGTACTCTTATCGATTGATTCCAGGTTAACTATTTAGTTTCAACTTGGAATCAACATATAATAATATGAACGTAGATGCGATTTTTGCTTTTATAAGAGTATGGTTAAATGAGTCACTAAATAACATTTCCGGCAGACAGATCAACTCGTCGTGATTGCTTCCTGGTGGGGGGTATCCCCCCCCCCTCCCCTCAGCGACGCTACCTGTAATCAACATTCTTTCCTTCTTTCCTGTAATCAACGTCCTTCGTTTGAATGACTGGGTAACTAGGTTATATTATCCTGGGTGAAAATAATGCCCGGATATTCACGTGTGGTAGGAAGGAAAATGATATGCTAATCAATAACATAGCTGATTAAACATTGTAATCAATGCATCGGATGTTCCTGGTCAGAGACAGGCCAATTGTTATCTTCTTAGTTAGTTCACATAATATCCCGAATATATCTCTTCCGGTTGAGACACTATCAGCGTATTTGCATGGTTTCGGAAAGACAACGTGTAAAAAGATCGGTTTGACTGGCATTTTTGAAGTTGATGGATAACAGAAAAGTATAATACTTATGGATAACAACTTCTTTATTTGTTATGATGCGAGGTTTTGGTACAGCTTTTTATACCGTTGTCAAGCAAGAGTAAAGTAATACAGCACAGAACCGACTTATATACATGTAACAGGGATTAAGTAAGACAACACGAGGGCATGAAGTGCTGTATTACTTTACTCTTGCTTGAGAACAGTATAGAAGCAATACCGAAACGTCTCATCATATCAAATAAAGAAGTTGTTATCCATAAAGTTATATACTGTTCTAACGTGTGAAATATATATAATATGCTCTAGTGGAGCACGTCTTGGATTATGTATAGATGGATGCAATGTGGTTTGAAAATGTTTCAGTCCTTTTAATCCATCAATTAATATTCCACTACAAACGGTAAGGGAAAACGATTCAAGACTTAGTTCATGGTCTGTGTTAAGTATTTGAGTCTCACGAACGCCTTCGATTTTTCTCTTAGGTAGAGTTGCATTAATGACATATATTTGAAATGTTTCAGTTCAATAATTATTACAGTTAGCGGCACCTCTACACTTACATCTTATACAGATATACTAGTGTTCTGATGACAGCTAGTGTGTACACACTTGTCGATATCAGATGCTAAACAGCCCACCTGTGCGGACACCAAATTTCACAAAAATGTCGCGTTGTCACGCATTTTAAGTTTTTTTTAAATGGGGCGACAAGGAGTTATATTTTGACCTTGAAAATTTGTCTCGCAAATTGCTTTTGTGGAAAATACCGGTAGCTATCTATTGTCTCTCATTTCACTTTTCATCTCAAGCTGCCAGCACGTGATTTCCCGAAACAAACTCAATTTTTTACTCAAATTTAAAACTGAGTTTAACAATTTGAATCAGCTGAAATTCTCACTCAACTCCATTTCTAAAATCAAAATGTCAAAACAACTAAAAAACCAATCTACTAAACTATGTTTGAGTTGAATATCGATTTCAGTTTATTTGAGGAAATGCATTTTCCTGCGTTTTCTGAAATTTGAGTTATTTAAAACGTTAACTTTACTCAAAAACTCAGACTTTGGGTTGTTTCGAGAAATCGGGGCCAGAAGACCAATACTGTGTGTGATGATCACATACTCTGCCTGTCTATAGTTGCTAGCTTGTTTGAGTGGCATTTTAGAAGTTGAGACGTACAATATAGAACAAGTTTTATGGATAACAACTTCTTTATTTCGTGAGTGCGACGTTTCGATACAGATTCTTGTACCGTTGTCAAGCAAGAGTGATACATGAAGTGTAGGCGCTGCATATATATACTGTATATAACAATGAAACAACATAATAGACAAAGGAAACAACATAATTGCCATGATTGGCTAAGCAGTAAGCTGAAGAAGCCAGTGAGTACACAAAGGATAGTGAATGGAAGCCAGAGATGTAGTTACAATGAGATGTTTAAACAATAGATGCGATGTTTATACAATAGATTGGGCTTGGTGGAGGAGTGGATCATAAGCTGATGGAATGAAGTATCCTTGGTCACGGCTGATGGTGGGCTTGTGGCGTTTGATGTGAATGGCTTCTGTGAGCTTGCGTTTAGTGAAGTCCGTTTGGTTGTTGGCGAGAATGGTGATGTCGGACCACTCTATTTGATGATTGGGGTTAGCTTTGATGTGGTCAGAGATAGCTCACTTGGTGTCGGAATTAGCAACAGAGGTGCGATGTTCTTTGACTCGGGTGTTGATGGGTCGGGATGTTTCACCTATGTAGCATTGTCCACAATCACAGTTTATTTTGTAAATAACATCAAACGCCACAAGCCCACCATCAACCGTGACCAAGGATACTTCATTCCATCAGCTTATGATCCACTCCTCCACCAAGCCCAATCTATTGTATAAACATCGCATCTATTGTTTAAACATCTCATTGTAACTACATCTCTGGCTTCCATTCACTATCCTTTGTGTACTCACTGGCTTCTTCAGCTTACTGCTTAGCCAATCATGGCAATTATGTTGTTTCCTTTGTCTATTATGTTGTTTCATTGTTATATACAGTATATATATGCAGCGCCTACACTTCATGTATCACTCTTGCTTGACAACGGTACAAGAATCTGTATCGAAACGTCGCACTCACGAAATAAAGAAGTTGTTATCCATAAAACTTGTTCTATATTATAGTTGCTAGTTTGATTACTGTTGCTGAGAGTGAATATTACCATCAGTTTGTTTCTTAGTATAACAACTGTTGGGTTTTTTTAATTCATCTCAGAATGTGGACTGCAACGTTGTGTTGACATAGTGTTTCCACTGATTTGTGAACTGAATTAATTTCGGAATGCAATAACCATGTCTTTGTTGTGTGTGAGTCTCACACCTAGTACTCTCTTATCGATTGATTCCAGGTTAACTTTTCAGTTTCAACTTCGGAATCAACATGTAATAATATGAACGTAGATGCGATTTTCGCTTTTATAAGAGTGTGGTTAAATGAGCCACTAAATAATATTTCCGGCAGGCAGATCAACTCGTCGTGATTGCTTCCTGGTGGGGGTTATCCTGACCCGGGTATTCACGTGAGGTAGGAAGGAACATGATATGCTAATCAATAACATAGCTGATTAAACATTGTAATCAATGCATCAGATGTTCCTGGTCAGAGACAGGCTCATTGTTATCTTCTTAGTTATTTCACATAATATTGACCAATCAGAGAGCAGCTTTGGGGTCAGAAGTCAGCCATTTGTGCCCGGTTTGTTTGTCAGAGCGACTCGACGTTCCATATGCAATACAGAACTGGGAAGTTGCATGCATTCAGATTGATAGTTTATTTATTCTAGCTAACGTGGATACCATGAGGAGATGCAGGGCGAGCGGTGCTGTGGGGGTGTCTGCCTGTGTCTGGATATATCTGACACTCGTGGTATTAATGGACTAGCAATTATAGAGCTATGAAACAAGGACCTACGGGTCAGCACGTTCATATTAAAACGCTGAGCATTCGCCAGGAAATATCAGGGTTTCTCAGTTGATCATAAAGAGACGATACAGAGGATGGGTGTGTCAACATGACATGGATAGTTGTGCTTGACTCTAAAACAACAGACATTACTGTGTAGTGGGACAGCATCCCCCCCCCCCCCCATTCCCTACACCTCATGTACTTCAGACAACATAGTTTTTAAATAAACACGTGTAGGGCAGTTGTATACTTGATACAGTTCCTGCACGGTGTAAACGATTCCTCATCCACTCATCATTCACTCAGCAACTTATATTTGAAAGAGCACATGGAGAACAGGTTAGTTTGAAATAATGCTGTGACCACTGGCATCCTTATCCTGGGTAGATCCGTGAACCATACTGTGGCCACTGGCATCCTTATCCTGGGTAGCACCGTGAACCATACTGTGGCCACCGGTATCCTTATCCTGGGTAGCACCGTGAACCATACTGTGGCCACTGGTATCCTTATCTTGGATATCAACATGAACCATACTGTGGCCACTGGCATCCTTATCCTGGGTAGCAGCGTGAACCATACTGTGGCCACTGGTATCCTTATCTTGGATAGCACCGTGAACCATACTGTGGCCACTGGTAGCCTTATCTTGGATAGCACCGTGAACCAAACTGTGGCCACTGGTAGCCTTATCTTGGATAGCACCGTGAACCAAACTGTGGCCACTGGTATCCTTATCTCGGATAGCACCGTGAACCATACTGTGGCCACTGGTATCCTTATCTTGGATATCAACATGAACCATACTGTGGCCACTGGCATCCTTATCCTGGGTAGCAGCGTGAACCATACTGTGGCCACTGGTATCCTTATCTTGGATAGCACCGTGAACCATACTGTGGCCACTGGTAGCCTTATCTTGGAGAGCACCGTGAACCATACTGTGGCCACTGGTAGCCTTATCTTGGATAGCACCGTGAACCAAACTGTGGCCACTGGTATCCTTATCTTGGATAGCACCGTGAGCCATACTGTGGCCTCTGGTATCCTTGTCTTCTATAGACGCCATGAACCATACTGTGGCCACTGGTATCCTTCTCATGTTTATCTGACCTCCTACCTCACCACCGTCTCCCCCATAACATCAACGTCTCTCCCGTCTAAATCAACCTCTCCCACTTTCTCTTTCCCCAACTCATGATATAACTGAAACAAGCATAAAAACAATCAATTTTCTATAAAAGAAACGTTTAATTGTTTGAAAGAAAAACGACAACGATACTATCAGTGTTTCAGAGCAGATGGCTTTCCCACGTCATGAAAGCACCGATGCCGTCCAAGGGCTGGTACAAACATCCGGAGACGTCAGTGACCAGAGTCAGAAAGACGTCAGAGTGAGACGTCACGGTACGTCACGCAGCAGTCACTGGATGAGCAGCAACAAGGAAGTGGCGACCAGGAGGCACAGTGACACAGCCATCTCACTTCCTGAAACAGTTAAAAATAACAACCTTCGAGAACTCGGAAATATTGTATGTCTTCACCAGAAAAAAAGTATCTGATATCTGTGTAAGAGGCAAAAGAGTGAGTGACTGTTGTTTTAGGCCGCTTTTACCAATATTCCAGCAATATCATGGCGGGGGACACCAGAAATGGGCTTCACACATGGTACCCATGTGGGGAATCGAACCCGGATCTTCGGCGTGACGAGCGATCGCTTTAACCACTAACTATCCCACTCATGTCTCAGAAAGGTATACAAAATATAATGCACGTACATCTGTGTTTGCAGTGTCTTAATATAGAATTCAGCACATCATTGTTGCATTGAACATATCCTGGATGTAGATAACGTTTGTATTTTTGTCTGTATTGAAAGTGAGTGACTGAGTTCAACTTTATGCAGCTTTTAGCAATATTCGAGCAATATCAGGGCGGGGGCACCAGAAACTCGCTTCACCCGTTTTACTCATGAGGAATCGAACCTGGGTGTTCGGCGTTAACCACTAACTATCACACCTCCCCTTACTGAAGAGTAACAATACGAGGAAGTAACAGTAAGACCGCATGAAAGAATACCCGGAAGCAAATGGCTCACTGCCCCAGTCAGCATGACATCACATTATCTTGTACATTTCATTTCAAGGACAAAACAACAATGCCAACTTTATAGCTTGTACCACGCATGCTTTACAGAACCGCACTTGTAAATACAGAGGGATAAAACTGAGTTGATACCCGTAAAGCAGCTTTACCAATATACAAACCAAGGCTCTTAATATTCATGCATTGCACCCATATATTGTCACACTGTGGCTTGACGGGTGGGTCATTCTAGTGTCTTGTCTTGCGATCGTGCATTATCTTGTACATTTCATTACAACAAAGGAAAAACCAAAAAATGCCGACTTAATAACTTGTACCACGCATGCTTTATAGAACCATCCTTGTAATTACGGGGGAATATAATTCAGTTGATAGAGTAAGTGAAGTTTCACTTTCACTCTAATTCTAGTGTCTTGTCGTGCGTTCATGCAGTGAGATGGCCGTGCATTAATGACTGTGTTTATATCTTAAAACTTTAACCTGTAGCTTGCAAGAGTGCATAAAATGTGTCTCGGCACATTAGTTTAAAAAAAAAGAGGGATGGAGAAAGGATCATTGTAAAAGGTATTGATAGCTTTAAAGGTATTTTCCTTTAAATGCACGGATATAGGCGCGGTTACAAATACCCACTATTATTATTATTATTATTATTATTATTACTAAGAATATCAGCGGCATAGAATGGCACATTGCGCCCTTGTCAGTCTCGTCTGTGTTCATTTCATTTATAACATTCAATGTTTTATAAGAAGCGGGAAACTGACAAATATGTTATATTAGGCAATGAAATAATTTCCGTAAATGATATCATGTGGAGCTGTGGTATAAGAGAAGCATTTATCTTCAGCCTAACTTACCATCAGAGGGGGTAGTCGCTGATGTTGGCGTGGTGGTGTTGTTTGCTGTAGTTAGTACCATCGTCTGGCATAAAATGGCTGCAAGAACAAACCCTGACGGTTAGCATGTGCGGCTGCATGGTCCCTGTATCCAACGGCTATGAAGTAACAGTAAGTTGGGCTCAACGCTCACTGCATTTCAGTTACATTACAGCATGTGAGCTAAATGTGAGAAGGTGCTTGAAACAATTTCCCAATGAGTTTATTATAACTTACGATAATAAATACAGAAGAAAATAAATAATAGTCTGAGCCTGTAAAAATGATTTGAAACAGATTTCTGTTTACATAAACACTGCTTTGAAAAGTGTCTCAGACAAATCCTGAGAGTTGGTTTGACGTGACAGAGAAAAGACGAAAGCTGATGCAGGTTTCAGACAGATGCACCAGTGGTGAAAACAAATAATATTTGTGATACAGACAAACCCAAATACAAAAACCCGAATGTCAGACTCCTCAAACTCAGGTTTCTATCGCGTCAAACGTAATTCTACTCAAATACCTCCGTTATGATCCCCACCCTTTCCCGTCTTTCCTGATACTTGACGTGCTGTGAAATATAACCTTGACGACAAGTGAACTACAATACAAACCCAGTAGAAGGCAGGCGCAGATCATGACCTTCATGTTGATAGTAAGGGCAATAGAGGAGGAAGTGGAACATCACCCCGTCACACACACATTTATACCACTCGCCAGGTCACATGACCACAGCTGTCTCTCGGTTGCCAAGACAACAACAAGGAAAAAGCGGCAGGAAGTGTCCATTATCAGTATTCATTCCTGAATCGTGTCTGGGTGTTGATAGTAACAAAAGTAAACTAACCCTTGTGTTTATTGCATGGATCAATAGTAATTCTCTTGGGATATTTGGTTCGGTTGTTTTTTTACCGCCGCACTCCGCGATATTCCAGCATTATGGCGGCGGCCTGTAAATAATCGAGTCTGGACAAAACACTCCAGTGATCAACGGCATCAGCATCGACCTGAGCCATTGGGATACGATGACATGTGTCGACCCAGTCAGCGAGTCTGACCACGCGGTCCCGTTTGTCTCCTGTTACGACAAGCATGGGTTGCTGGAGAACAATTCTAACCCGGATCTGCACGTTCCCAGTCAAACACGTTCTCTGGTTATGGTTCAAGGCGCCCACCTTGTATGATATATTTGCCTGAACCTTAATTTCTCAAAACTACTAACAGGAAAAAGTGAGTGAATGAGGGTACAAAATGAAAGTAGTTTCAATTAGTATCATATGCAGCACTTCACCTTCTCAGTGAAACTGAAAGTTGAACACTTTTGGAGGATTGAGTCCAGTCAAGGATTTCAACCCACACTCTCTGAGTAAGATACGCAATACCTGTACGTGTCACAGTGACTGTTTGCACACCAATACATGTCCTTTCACCAGTCTGTTTGCACACCTATACATGTCTTTTTACATGTCTGTTTGCACACCTATACATGTTCTTTCACATGTCTGTTTGCACACCTATACATGTCCTTTCAGCAGTCTGTTTGCACACATATACATGTCCTTTTACATGTCTGTTTGCACACCTATACATGTGCTCTTACCTGTTTGTTTGCACACCTATACATGTCTTTTTACCTGTCTGTTTGCACATCTATACATGTCTATTTTCCTGTCTGTTTGCACACCTATACATGTGCTTATACCTGTCTGTTTGCACACCTATACATGTGCTCTTACCTTTTTGTTTGCACACCTATACATGTCTTTTTTACCTGTCTGTTTGCACACCTATACATGTGCTTTTACCTGTCTGTTTGCACACCTATACATGTCCTTTTACCTGTCTGCTTGCACACCTATACATGTCTATTTTCCTGTCTGTTTGCACACCTATACATGTGCTTATACCTGTCTGTTTGCACACCTATACATGTGCCTTTACTTGTCTGTTTGCCCACCTATACATGTGCCTTTACCTGTCTGTTTGCACACCTATACATGTCTTTTTACATGTCTGTTTGCACACCTATACATGTACCTTTACCTGTCTGTTTGCACACCTATACATGTGCCTTTACCTGTCTGTTTGCCCACCTATACTTGTACCTTTACCTGTCTGTTTGCACACCTATACATGTGCCTTTACCTGTCTGTTTGCACACCTATACATGTGCCTTTACCTGTCTGTTTGCACACCTACACATGTCAATATTCCTGTCCGTTTCACACCTATACATGTCTTTTTACATGTCTGTTTGCACACCTATACATGTCTTTTTACCTGTCTGTTTGCACACCTATACATGTCTTTTTACATGTCTGTTTGCACACCTATACATGTCTTTTTACCTGTCTGTTTGCACACCTATACAATGTACATGTCCTCTTACCTGTCTATTTTCGCACGTATATGTCCTTTTACCTGTATATTTTGGCACCTACATGTCCTTCTTTTCGGTTCTATTGAGTTACCTGCCCATTCGGCGCTTACACACGTTCGACCTCGTCTCGGAAGAGTTCTAGTGTCCGTCTGTGTGTCCTGATCACCCCGAGCACGATCCACAGACCCAGCTGCTCCCCCATTCACTGAAATATACAATCAACTCAATGTTAGATTCAACCGTCATACTCCAGACATTATCTGGTGTTGAACACAAGGCCCAGTGGACCAATAGTGGTGATGGTGTATGAATGGATCATGGTAAATCAATAATGACACCAGGTGTTCGTAGAAAGGATAAGCACATCCTGCTATCAGTATGGTCACAATTTACATATCAAGGTGCACCGTGTTGAGATATTTTAGCCAACATTCACATATCAAGGCGCACTGTGTTGTAATACTTTAGCCCACATTCACATATCAAAGTGCACTGTGCTATGATAATTTAGCGTACATTCACATATCAAGGTGCACTGTGTTGTGATACTTTAGCTTACATTCACATATCAAGGTGCACCGTATTGTGATAATTTAGCCCACATTCACATATCAAGATGCACCGTACTGTGATAATTTAGCCCACATTCACATATCAAGGTGCACTGTGCTGTGATACTTTAACCTACATTCACATATCAAGGTGCACTGTGCTGTGATAATTTAGCCTACATTCACATATCAAAGAGCACTGTGTTGTAATAATTTAGCCTACATTCACATATCAAGGTGCACTGTGTTGTGATACTTTAGCTTACATTCACATATCAAGGTGCACCGTATTGTGATAATTTAGCCTACATTCACACATCAAGTTGCACCGTATTGTGATAATTTAGCCTACATTCACATATCAAGGTGCACTGTGTTGTGATACTTTAACCTACATTCACATATCAAGGTGCACTGTGCTGTGATAATTTAGCACACATTCACATATCAAGATGTACCGTACTGTGAAAATTTAGCCCACATTCACATATCAAGGTGCACTGTGTTATGATTCTTTAACCTACATTCACATATCAAGGTGCACTGTGCTGTGATAATTTAGCCTACATTCACATATCAAAGAGCACTGTGTTGTAATAATTTAGCCTACATTCACATATCAAGGTGCACTGTGTTGTGATACTTTAGCTTACATTCACATATCAAGGTGCACTGTGTTGTGATTCTTTAGCCCACATTCACATATCAAGATGCACCGTACTGTGATAATTTAGCCCACATTCACATATCAAGGTGCACTGTGCTGTGATAATTTAACCTACATTCACATATCAAAGAGCACTGTGTTGTAATAATTTAGCCTACATTCACATATCAAGGTGCACTGTGTTGTGATACTTTAGCTTACATTCACATATCAAGGTGCACCGTATTGTGATAATTTAGCCTACATTCACACATCAAGTTGCACCGTATTGAGATAATTTAGCCTATATTCACATATCAAGGTGCACTGTGTTGTGATACTTTAACCTACATTCACATATCAAGGTGCACTGTGCTGTGATAATTTAGCACACATTCACATATCAAGATGTACCGTACTGTGATAATTTAGCCCACATTCACATATCAAGGTGCACTGTGTTGTGATTCTTTAACCTACATTCACATATCAAGGTGCACTGTGTTGTGATACTTTAGCCTACATTCACACATCAAGGTGCACCGTGTTGTGATACTTTAGCCCACATTCACATATCAAGGTGCAATGTGTTGTGATAATTCAGCCTACATTCACATATCAAGGTGCACCGTATTGTGATAATTTAGCCCACATTCACATATCAAGGTGCACTGTGCTATGATAATTTAACCTACATTCACATATCAAAGAGCACTGTGTTGTAATAATTTAGCCTACATTCACATATCAAGGTGCACTGTGTTGTGATACTTTAGCTTACATTCACATATCAAGGTGCACCGTATTGTGATAATTTAGCCTACATTCACACATCAAGTTGCACCGCATTGTGATAATTTAGCCTATATTCACATATCAAGGTGCACTGTGTTGTGATACTTTAACCTACATTCACATATCAAGGTGCACTGTGCTGTGATAATTTAGCACACATTCACATATCAAGATGTACCGTACTGTGATAATTTAGCCCACATTCACATATCAAGGTGCACTGTGTTGTGATTCTTTAACCTACATTCACATATCAAGGTGCACTGTGTTGTGATACTTTAGCCTACATTCACACATCAAGGTGCACCGTGTTGTGATAATTTAGCCCACATTCACATATCAAGGTGAAATGTGTTGTGATAATTCAGCCTACATTCACATATCAAGGTGCACCGTATTGTGATACTTTAGCCTACATTCACATATCAAGGTGCACTGTGTTATCATACTTTAGTCTACCTGAACACGTCTTGTTACACGGTGATGTTCTAAATGCCATTTAAAGACTTTGGTGATGTTTCCGTCTGTGACGTCGGCCCTAAACACAGCTGACTACCGTCCTGAGGCACAGGACTATTGCACGTGCGTATTGTGTCCATCGTCATCCTGTCCGTGCACTGACCACTCGTCCACTTGTCCAGTTGTTCTCGTAGGACAGGATATTGTTCTCACGGGACAGGAAGTTGTTCTCACAGGACAGGATATTGTTCTCACAGGACAGGATATTGTTCTCACGGGACAGGATATTGTTCTCACAGGACAGGACGTTGTTCTCACAGGATAGGAAGTTGTTCTCACAGGACATGATATTGTTCTCACAGGACAGGAAGTTGTTCTCACAGGACATGATATTGTTCTCACAGGACAGGAAGATGTTCTCACAGGACAGGATATTGTTCTCACAGGACAGGAAGTGCCACCATTGCTGGGAAGGCGGTTGTTACAGGACCTGGATCTGGTAACGCTGCGTCTGGCTGAAGGCAGGAGGGACCACTCCACACTGACCACTGTAGGTATCGCATTGTGTGACCTCACATGCTATACTTACATACCGAATCCTGAAAACCGTGTCACATCCGCATAATTCTGAAACACGCCAGTCTGTGAAATCAATTTCGATGAGCATGTTAAACGATTGATATATGAATTGCATTTAAGCCTTGGAAAACAAGCATAAAATCATACTTACTTTCTACAACAAAAGTCATTCAGAATTACAGATAATGTGAAACTTTTTTGACAGATGGTACTGCTAAACATATTTCGGTGATAAAACTTGCTATCAAATGTTCTCCGAGAATAAATTAGTTGTACAGATAATACGGTATATGTGCATTTGCTGTTCTATTCACATTTGCTATAAACAATTTTTCACTCTTTAGAGTGAGTTAGTGAGTAAGTGAGTGAGTTAATATTTAACGTCACATCGGCAATATCTCAGCCATATCGTGACGAAGACAATTTATACAATGAAAATGAAATCTTTGGAGTGAATATGGAGAGGACGAAAGTGTATACATAGCAAAACACGGAAGTGACAAAGTGATATATATAATGTACATATTGTGGTAAAGCAAAGCAGTGGGAAAGCAATATAGAGGGAAAGCGATACTTCCTTAATGCCCGAGGTATGCTGACTTTCAGTGATCAATTTCTGTAATATTCACTGCTTTTTGCTTTTTACTGAGAAATGTTCACATTTTGTAGTTAACAGATTTGTCAGATATTTATAAAGAATTCTATATCACGATCACTTAATGTGTTTGCTTTTGTCGTCGTTTATTTGATTAAGACGATCCGCATGCACCTCAACGCAGTTCGACCGTGTGCGAAATAGGCTTCCCAGAGGAATGCACACGTAAAATCTCCAAATCATCATCACTCCATGGAAACTCCGGTGATTATGAAAGAATATATCAGAGACTTAATAGCAATTTCTTTAAACTTCGAGTCTTGTGTTCCCGGGCGTTAATAAGAAACATCTCTTCACTTGTAGACATGATCTGTGAGACGGAAGATTACGTTTCCAGTTATATTCATAATACTATCCTATTGTTCTTAATAAACAATTAATTAAGCATTTATTATACAATTCAATTTTCTGTATTAGTAACCAGTGTAAGTATTCGTTGCATTGGTCATCTTGCAGATTTGGACTTGACGCCGAATATGTGCTGGTCAGTTTGTTATGACAATCATATGAATTATGATGAATGTATAATATACAGATACATATTACACGTGTATACTGATATGTTTCCGTAAAACTACAGACATATTGGATAAATATCAAGTTAAAGTCACGTACAAGGTATTTGAGATCTTCATGGTAAGAAAATAGGAACGGAATACTTTGTAGTTTTAAATAAACTGATTTCTTATCATTCCTTTCCATCGAAAAGCATATTCAAAGCTAACATAATTGTAATACCGATTATTTGTGTCGGGTGAGACTAGATATAAGCTGGACCAGTTATATTATTAGCTTTTTGTTCAAGCAGGAATATACTGTTATGCATCCATGTATCCACCCATCCATGCACCCATCCATCCAAACATCCACCCATCCACGCACCCAGACACGCGCGCACGCACAGACACAGACACACACAGAGACACACACAGAGACACACACATACACACATACATACATACATACATACATACATACATACATACATACATACATACATACATACATACATACATACATACATACATACATACATACATACATACATACATACATACATACATACATACATACATACATATCGACTGCCATGGTACCATTGTCACATATATGTTTATAAAGCGACAGGTACTATATCCATTAAATAAACAAATACATCTGTACAAGCTGAGAGACGCCATGCTGATCGTGCCTGAAACGTGAACAATAATAATTACTAAAACCATCCCTGACAAGGGACATACCTCCGCATGGCTGACTGCGGCGACTAGATCATGGACAGCTGTAAAGTAAAATGCCGAAATGCAATTTGTGCAAAGTTTGTAATTAAGAATAACAATTGTTAGATGTATTTATCCATTCATTCACTCTTTCCACTATTATGACTAAATAAAATGTTGTCATATATAAGGTTGGATGGTTGGTTGGTTGGTGGTGTAAATAATCGAGTCAGGACCAGACAATCCAGTGATCAACAGCATGAGCATCGATCTACGCAATTGGGATACGATGTCATGTGTCAACCAAGTCAGCGAGTCTGACCACCCGATCCCGTTAGTGGCCTCTTACAGGCATGGGTTACTGAAGACCAACTCCAACCTGGAAGGTTACACAGTCTAGAAGGACACTTCGTGTACATACTGGGACATGGGCTGAAGCCACAGTTTCGGGTTTCAGTCTGGGAGAAACTCTCAGAACAATTTCTACCCCCAAACGCAGGGAACGGATTGTTGCAAAATCTTTGTCTTGTGGCTGTCCTGAAAATGCTGACACCGCATGTGGCGCCGCAACCTGACTCTATCCATGTTGTCCATTGACTCACTCCACCATTAACTGTAACATAAAGCCTACTGATTAAAAGAATGCAAGTGAAAAGAGGGAATTGTGGTCATTCAAATGTCCCAAAGAATGTGTGGCAAGGAAACTCACTGGCTTGATTTGCTTGACAATCCTATTGTACTGAGTAAAAGCAGTGGTAGGGACACACTTTCACAAACAATATTTCTTACATTTCTGAATTTACATATAAACATATCATATGTGTGTATGAGGTATGCATATATATACATGTTTATATGTTGTTTTCAGGACTGTTAACACATTCAACACCGCAGGCCGAATAATCGGCCACAACGTTATGAGTCCCCAGACACCGGAGGCCGATTAATCGGCCAGGCAGTAGTCACGTCAAAATGAGACATAATTTTAGGAACCTACCTGACTTTTGATTCATATATCAAATCTATCACATTTCACAATGTCTGAAAACACTTATTAAATTTCAATTTATCATATATTATCAGCAGAATTAAAATTATAAACTATTTTTCGCAATGTTATTGAAAACAACGGTTCTCGGACACATGCTTCGGCAGCGGGTCCACAATAACATTGTCAAAGAGCAAAGTAACGATGTTTCGAGGAAATTATTAAATAAATTGAATAAACTAATGAATAAAATCAACAACAGCATTCATAAAAGTTGTCAAACGTACATATAAAATTACTATTTCCATCTTTTTGTGCGATCATGTAATGCAAGTCAAGTCACTGACAAGTGACATCTCGGCTCTCGCCGCCTCAATCTTCACGCTCGGACACGATGTTTAATGCGAAAATACATACATGAAGCATTTTTGTCACAGGTCATAACCTAGCACGATACGCCCAATAAGTTCCATAATTTACGTATAGGTAGCGATTTCTTGATTAAAATGTTCAGAATAGCATTATTTTACCCAAAACTTTTGTCAAAATCTAAAGGTTTTCGTTTACGAGGACGGTATCCATTGCCGTAATATGATTGGCTGCCTTAGCTCACGTGTCTGATTTTGACCAATCACGACCCTTATAGCAGACTGTGGCGAAAAAGCGTCATTAGAAACCACATCTTTATCCAATAAAATCGCTTCTTACAAGTGTGAAAATACTCTTGGCAAGGGTACAGTGATTTGTTGATGTTCAGAGCTTTCGAACGATGCCCGACATCAAACGATTTGCCGCGCATGTTATTAATACGAAGCTTCGAAAACGGAGGTATTTTAAGTTGTTATGTCATTTTACCGAGCGTAAGGCCACAGATATCGGGAAATAGGAGACCATACATATTGTTTAAGAAATCTTTTTATAATAATTTTCTGATAACGTAAAAAATGAAAATATAAAAGAAAAAGGCACGGCCATGTTATGACATGTCACAAATGGACAAAATCGCCATAGTTTTTGCTCCTTTCGTGGTTTATCTGGACGTTATAAATGTAAGCTTGCATTTTCATTCAAATATAAATTTATTTAAGTTGTAGTTGTATTATTTGAATAATATTATAAAAATAAACTTCATATTTATCAACAGTAGGATTAGATCTTTTTAAATGGTGTATGGGATGTAGTAGCAATAACGTTTTACAAGCTTATAATTTCCTTCATAAACATAGGCTTCATCTATGACCTCAGAGTCTCTGGGAACTCGGTGTCATGGCAGTAAATGCCTCTGGTTGACTGGTGTTGAAAGAGTTAAATACGTTCGGTCATCCTTCATATATTCTGATTGTTTGTTTGTTATGTAAAACCGATTTCCAGATATTCTGGTAAGGGTCCAACTGGGTCCATAAGATCCTGTTACTGACATCGAGAACGTAGGACGTCGATATGAATCAGCTAAATCAGTGTGTCTGACCACCCTATCGTGGTAGCCGCCTCGTACGACAAGTGTGAATCGCTAAAGACCAGTTTAACCTTTACAGGGATAATTCATGACTTATACCTGGACAAGACGAAAGACCGCAGCTTCGTACTTGGGTGTCGACACGGGACTCCGTGCAGTTCAAGCCGCCATTACTTGGAGGGGGGCTGTTGCAGAATCGTTGTCTGGTAGCAGTTTCAGTCAAGCTAGTTCCACACGTCAAAAGGCACTGTGGAACCACCCACTCAGTCCACAGAGATATACCACCGTTCACTGCAGAAGAAGACTCCATATTTGTAGTTTCTAATTAACAAGTATATGTTTCTCTTTTTACTATGTCACGATATTTTACTGTCAAATATGAGTGAGTTTCAGAGAAATATGTATTGACAAAATAGTGTACATCTTTGGTGTTCACCTGGGCATTGTTTCCCAAAACAATCCCCAAATTCCATCCTGCAACTCCGGTTGCAAGAACACGCACGCACTGGCACACTTTCGTAACAAGACCCTTACCTGCGCATGCTGCAAGATTACAATTTCGAACGGTGTTTTCAAAAAGAGTCTCTGTACAGACTCTTCCTCCAAACTGTGGAGTAGGACTTGTACAACTTCGCGTGCGCGTCACTGTTTTAGATGCAAAGGCTCCACAAGTGACGGAACAGGCGGGGTCGTTCCACTGCGTCCATTGTGTCACTCCACCATCAACTGAAACAATGAGAGATGATTGTTGTGACCTATGTGTTCTTGTTGCTGCCGTCTCTAACAAACGGGATCTGAGCTCCCAAATCTCCCCCAGTTTGGTTCACCATAAATTACCTGCATTACACCAGTGTCAAATCAGCCTGAAGTGACCAACAAGCGAAACAAGCTCATCAAGGTTTGCCATTATCTGGAGATGCCATGTTTATTACCACTGTTGATTCATGTTGGTAAAAATGACTCTTCGCTTCATCTTAGTTCCTAAAAACATTACATAACGGGAATTTTTGTTCTGTTTTCTGGGGTGGTTACATCGATCTACGCAAATGAGTGGCATTTGCTTATTATTTGTCTTGATGTTTTCGTGAACGGAATCGACGGAAAATATCCCCAATTATTAAGTAAATATTCCCTTGATAAATTACCAATTGCAATTTTTTCTTTAGCTATCTATTAATATTTCTATGGCTAAGCCTAAGGCTACATGCCATGCTAGTATACTCTACAAGCAATGAAGAGCAGATTATGCTTTAGTTTCGATGAAGCAGTGACAGAGCTAACTGTAATGCCACTACCTGAAAACATTCTACTCATGTAAAACATTAACGCATGCTCAAAAATTGCAATGTACAATAATTAAACAAAATTGGTTACATAAGTATCAAATGCAAACAGCATATGAACGCATCGCTGAAACGAACTAAAGAAGAATTAGTTCCATGCACAGCAGATTTCCATTATGGCGGCATCTGTCGGTTTAAACAGAGTTGATTGAGCATGCAATTCAACGTCTACGCACATCTAAGTAAAGAAGGTGTTTGAACTACGTCTACACGTCCAGTAGTCATGCTTTATTTGTTACTTCGACATGGATAAAACGTCCAAGTCCTACAGTTTGTTTCTGACAAGCCTTCTGTACAGTCACTTGCACGAGCTTAAGGGCAGGTGTGGGCACGTGCCAGGCACCAGCTCCTCAGACATGTGACAATGTGTACAAGGACCGTGGCTTGAGACCACTACCGACCGTGTGCAAAGGGTGTAAGAACATTGCAACAAAACAGTGAAAGACAATGTGTTAATCAAAGCAAGCCATTAGAGTGTTATTCCATCAGCTAATTTATTCTGCATTTGGAATGATCATCCACTTCTCTTTTCTTCTTCGTATTCATAGAATTCATATGATGTCACCAAATACAAAATAATTAGTCCATGTAAAAGTTCAAAGATTCAGCAAACAAAGAGTTAAACGGTTGATTAAGCTAGCTATATGGCAGCCATTACTTGGACATGGGTTAAGACCACAGCTTCTTTGCTCAGTTTCAAATGTATCTCCGAGACCGGTACAGTCTCTACCCCCGTCACTAGGGACAGGGTTGGTGCAGCTCCTGGTTCGAGTAACAGTACGGGTAGCACTCTGTCCACAGGTGACAGAACATTGTGGGACGCTCCATTGTGTCCAGGTAGATAATCCGCCATCGGCTGTTTAAGAAGATCCGTGGTTCATGTTACTGGATTCGTCTCGTTTCCATATTAAATGTATGTGTACACGTATACAAACAATAAATTGGGTTCACTTGTGAAAGCCATTTGAAGGTCACTAAATACACACGAAAAAATCATTACAAAAATGAAAAAAGAAATGTGTCTTAAAATATGTATGTAATTACTTGACATGAAACATGATTTACCGACAAATCTTCTGAAACATATAAATAGCAAAGCATTCCTGTCTAAAAACACGGTAATGGTTATAATTTTGGGTTTGGGAGTTTTTAGGAAACAGCAAAGAATATTTACTTGGACACGGCGTCAATCCACAGCTCCTGACTTCGCTATCGAACGTGTTCCCTTGACCTGTACAATCACTACCACCAAGCTGAGGGACAGGATTTGAACACGATCGTGTCCTAGTTACAGTGCGGGACGCAGCTGAACCGCACGTCACTGAACAAGCTGGAATGCTCCATTGAGTCCACTGGGTCAATCCTCCGTTAACTGTTTGAAGTTAAAAATGGTTTGTGCAAATGTTAGAAATATAGAGTGACAACAGTTAAATGACTGTGCATAATTACTGCATATTTGTGTTATCGAACATATGTCCATTGATTGATAGGTTTTTAGTGCAAATGCAACACTGAGAAACAAGTTACAAAAATGTTGTTAACAGATCCAAGGCCCTATGCCACCTGCTTTTTCGCCCCGTTAGCAATCTGACAGCTGACAGGGTGCGTTGGCAACGCATGCTAGGACCACTGCGTAGCGAGCTCACTCGCTCCCCTCATCCCCACATCCCCACTCCGACTGTAAGCACAAGATGTGAAGACATTGCAACAAGTAAAGACAGTGAAGCACAATGCGTGAGTAAGTCTAAGCAAATCACAAGTGTGTTATAATAATTATATACTTCTTTGTGCTATATTTGGAACGACCATCATGTTCTCAGTGAACCTTGGTTCTATGTTTGTTTTCTTGCGAAAGCCCAACTTTCCTTTTGGGATTACCGCCAGCACCTATTGACTATGCATGTTTCTATTTTAGAGTCAATATCAAGACTTATTGCTAACATACATGGAATTATCATCAAACGGCCCTCCTATTATCAGAAATTTGCGGGCCGCTGCAAATGATATTGTGATTATTACTTGGACATTGTGAGAATCCACAGCTCCTGACTTCGCTATCGAACGTGTTCCCTTGACCTGTACAATCACTACCACCAAACTGAGGGACAGGATTTGTACACGATCGTGTCCTAGTTACAGTGCGGGACGCAGCTGAACCGCACGTCACTGAACAAGCTGGAACGCTCCATTGAGTCCACTGGGTCAGTCCTCCGTCAACTGTTTGAAGTTAAAACTGGTTTGTGAAAATGGTACAAATACAGTGTGACAGTAGTTAAAGGACTGTGCATAGAAAGATTAATGCACTGGGGAACAAGTTATATAGAAAGAAGGTATATGTTTTGTATGATATCTATCTTATTTCACTTGAAAGGGTGGTCATATGCGACGCTGAGGGAATAGAATATTCTAAATTAACAATTACTGTTCTACGTTGACGTCAGCAAACAAAGGAGTTATGTTATATGTTGCATCAGTTTTTTGTTAGCGCAAGAGATAATTCATAATAGCACAAAATACACACACACAAGTACAAAGTCCGCGTGCCATTATGCTGTGAGGTCTTGATGCATAGTACTATACATTCGTCCGATATACTTAAGATATCTACGTTTCACGTTACGTTCAAATATTCTCATGTATTTATCGTATCTAACAAACGCTGGGATTATTTCTGCTTGCATTGTTGACTCAAAAAATGAAGATTTATAGAACCACTCAAACCATACTACACTGCTATACTGTCGACCCTTCGAGTGAGTGAGTGAGTGAATAAGGTTAGTTTTACGCTGTTTATAGCAATATTCCAGCAAAATCACACCAGAAATGGGATTCACAGATTGTACCCATGTGGGGAATCGAACCCGGATCTTCGGTGTGACGAAAGAAAGCCTTAACCACGAGGCTACCCCAATCCGTCGAGGAAATAATCAGTTGTAGATATTGTTCTCGTATACAAATAATAAAAGCTGGATGGTGACACACAATCTGTCGCAACTGATGGTTTATTGTTAGAAGTCGGTCATTACAACATACAGTCTCCATCCTACACTTGTTTCGCTAAATGTTTTGTATATCCTGTGGGTGGAATGACTGGAACCATCCGATACTTTCGCGTTCCTATAACATTTAACTGCGTTTTGATAATCCTACTGCATACCACTGTGAGCAACATTGTCATCCATGAATATATTTCTGAAGTAGTAACATCAGTAACACCTTCTTTGACATTGATATATCCTTTTCATTTTTTTAAAAATATTTTACAGTCAAGAAGCGGTGCAGCTTCATCGTACCTGAAGCACTATTTCTGTGCACCGTAAAGCAAGCAAATGAATGTATTTTGCGTGAAGAACATCCGACATTAAACTAACCTGGGCAAGTCGGCAGTCCACAAGACCTAGTTCCTGTTTGGAACGTTGGTCCTGTGCAATCAGCTCCGCCATTGCTTGGAACGGGATTGTTACATTGCCTAACCCGGGTAGCCAGTGTGTTGAAGGAACCGCATGTTCGGGTACAAGGCACCACACTCCACTGTGTCCACTGAGAGAGTCCTCCATCCACCACCACTAAAAAAACAGAGAACCAGCTTGTGATGAAAACGAATATCTACTATCCCCGTTGTTGAGCGGTTGGGTCGAAGTTGAAAAGATCTACTCAAATACTTATAAGTGGTTCGACACAAAGTAAATGAAAGAGAACCAAGAGAAACAATCAATTTACCACATAGCTGTGTTTGACTGAACATGAACATTGGGTGAGCCAGACAACCAACTCGACATGCAAAAAGATAAAAATGTGATAAAGCAGAAATGTTATCTCACCAGCACAAGCTCCATGGCCACAGCTTTGGAAAGCCGTATTGGTAAGGGATTCTGTACAGAAGGCTCCTCCATTGCTCGGCGGTGGGTTGGTGCAACTCCTGGTTCTAGTGATAGTCCTGACGGCTGACACTCCACAGGTGACGGTACAGGCAGGGATCGACCATTGCCCCCACTGTGACACACCACCAGCCACTGAAACGGACAGCAGAGGTATCACAAATACCATACCCCTATCGGTAATAGCTAGGAGGTCAGTGTGAACAGGAAGGACTACCACTTTCCAACATTCAACTGTTTCCGTTATGTAAAGCAATATTCCAACAGCTACAGCCTTTAGCGTTTTCATTGTTTCTTATGGATATATACTCATGGAAACAAATAAGGGAACATATGAAAGTACAAGTGTTCCTCTTTTTATTTCCAAAGTTTCACGACCCGTGAAGATCCGGGGTAGAATAGGTCTTCAGCAACCCATGTGCTTGCCATAAAAAGCGACTATCTTGTCGTAAGAGGCGACTAACGGGATCGGGTGGTCAGTTTCGCTGACTTGGTTGCCACATGTCATCGGTTCCCAATTGCGCAGATCGATGCTCATGCTGTTGATCACTGGATTGTCTGGTCCAGACTCGATTATTTACAGACCGCCGCCATATAGCTGGAATATTGCCGAGTGCGGCGTAAAACTAAACTCACTCACTCACTCCAAAGTTTCACCCACAGTGCAATACATACCTTGTGAAGTAACCTGGAAAAGAATACAGGAACACCTGTACTTTCATATGTTCCCTTATTTGTTTCCATGAGTATATTTATGTCTTTTTCATGAGTTTTGTTGGCCTTATTGATGGTTGTGTTCATCAGACATCTAGAAACAGGGAAGAGGTGGCGGTTATCAATGCAAGAATGATTGAGAGATTGGTTTTATGCGTGCCTGTGTTTTTTACCTGGACAGTCCACGAGTCCGCAGTTAACTTGATTAGTTTGAACAAGTGGTAGACCTATTGTTTTGCAGTCTCTGCCTCCGTTGCTGGGCGGGGGGTTATTACACAGTCTAGTTCTGGTTATGAACTTGGTAGCAGTGGATCCACAGGTCACAGAACAGCCTGGGTCATTAAACGCGGTCCACTGTGACACACCTCCGTCGACAGCAACTTAAACATACAATTTCATAGTTCATTCATCTCTTCGTTGCCTGACACATCACCAAAACAAAGGATGTTGAAACTGCTATACAGACGGGTACCGCTCAGTACTGCATACCACTACACAAAATAGTTAAGTTAATCGTTTCTAGCAGTTGACATTACATGACATATATTCATGTTTGTCGTAATCTTCAAAATCACAAGTCAGCAAAGGAAAAAATATACTGGTGTACAAAAGAAAGTACACACCTGGTATTTTGAGACTATTGAAAAAACGTAAATATTTTGCTAGCAATGTTCCAATTGGGTACGATGTCTATGGTGTTATTGTAAAACGTAAACAATGTTTGTGACTTGTGACTTTTCTAAATATTACGCAGTTTTTAGGAAAATATTTTACCAAAGCATCAGGTGTGTACTTTCTTGTGTACGTCAGTCTATTATAAATGAACGTTTAATGCAAAGTGGAGTAGACTTTCATCGCTCCTACCTGGACAGGCAGGAAGACCACAAGATAAGAATGTTGTTTCAGAAAGAGGCCGTGTACAGAAACTTCCTCCATTGGCTGGTATGGGGTTGTTGCATTGCCTTGTCCTCGTAGCCTGATAGGTGGCCGTAGACCCACAGGTCACGGTACAGGTCGCAGAGCTCCACAGACCCCACTGATTGACTCCACCATTCACTGGAATCAGATTTGAATCATCTTATCATTCTTGTCTCAAAACAACACATCATCACAAATCTAGACACGTTTGTGTTCATATGTAAAAACCAAGAGTTTCCTGTTGGAAGAATGAAGACTAATCCCAGCTAAGCTTACAATCACTATTTCAGATACATTAAATCTGTCCCTACACACTAGCTAACATTTGACATCATCACAATCTAGAACATTTGGTATTCACATGTAAAACCAGGGGTACTCTTTGTGATGAATAAAAAATAACACCAGTTATGATTAAAATCACTATTTACAATACATTTATTTTAAATATATCTATTATTACGAAAGCACATGTGAACTGGTTTCCGTATTAGCAGCCAGCATGACACTACATGACACTACATTCTGATGTTGCCCGTGAAGATCCGAGTTAGAAATGATCTTCAGCAACCCAAACTGGTCGTAAGAGGCGACTGACGAGATCAGGTGGTCAGGGGTCTATTGCTTAGATCGATGCTCATGCTGTTGATCACTGCACTATCTCGACAGACTCGATTATTTAAAGACCGCCGCCATATAGCAGTAATATTGCTGATTGCGGCGTTAACCAAACAACCAACCAACTACATACAGATGCTATAAAGCACCAAGGCGTGGATATATTCCGGAACATATTTACGGCAAAACAATAATATGATTACCTTTGACCCAACATTATCAGAAATTAAATGGCACATGGTCAAACCGAATTCTAATTACCTGGACATCCAACTAAACTACAGGAAACTCTTGCTGTTTGACTGAGATTTTCCACACAAAACTGTCCACCGTTGGATGGAGGGGGATTGGTGCAGGTTCGTGATCTTGTGATGACCTTAGTTGCCTCTCCACAGGTGACGGCACAGCTTACAGCGTCAGACCAGGCTCCCCACTGACTCACGCCACCGTTTACAGCAACTACAAGTAACATATACAGGATTAGTACACATTTCACTTAATTATTTAGGTACGCCAAAGTAGGGGATACGGAACTCCTACATTGTAGTCGTAATTCAAAATATTAACAACTGGATTTCCTGCCCCATCGATCAATGATCAATGATTGATTTCAATGCAGGAGTACTTCTATGTCAAATCGGGCATTTACTTATGTGGCAAACTGTGTGAATGGTTGGTGCTGCCGGAATTTCCTTCATAATTATTTTATGTCACACTCCAAAAGTGTTGTCCTATGTGACACCAAGGGATATGAAATATGTTTAAACGACACATAGCTGTTTCATATTGAAGTACGCAAATGAATGAGATTTGAAATAGAAATGCGCTTTGCTTGCAAATGCTTTGCACACAAATATATCAGAATCACAAAAATTCTTCTAAAAATAAGATAATGCTTATAATTTGTTATTTTCTTTTGAGGAATCAGCAAAGGTTATTTACTTGGACATTCTGACAATCCACAACTCCTGACTTCGCTGTCGAATGTGTTCCCTTGACCTGTACAATCACTACCACCAAAGTGAGGGACAGGATTTGTACACGATCGTGTCCTAGTTAAAGTGCGGGTCGCAGCTGAACCGCACGTCACTGAACAAGCTGGACCGCTCCATTGAGTCCACTGGGTCAGTCCTCCGTTAACTGTTTGAAGTTAGAAATGGTTTATGAAAATGTTACAAATACAATGTGACAGTAGTTAAAGGACTGTGCATAGAAAGAGTAAAACACACTGGGGAACATGTTATATAGAAACAAGGTATATGTTTTGTATGATATCTATCTTATTTCACTTGAAAGGATGGTCATATGTGACGCTGAGGGAATAAAATATTTTAAATTAATAATTACTGTTCTACGTTGACGTAAGCCAACAAAGGAGTATGGTTATATGTTGCATCATTTATTGTTAGCGCAAGAGATAATTCATAATAGCATAAAATACACACACACAAGTACAAAAGTCCGCATGCCATTATGCTGTGAGGTCTTGATGCATAGTACTATACATTCGTCCGATATTCTTAAGATATCTATATTACTATACATTCGTCCGATCTACTTCAGATATCTACGTTTTACGTTACGTTCTAATATTCTCAAGTATTTACCGTATCTAACATACGCTGGGATTATTTCTGCTTGCATTGTTGACTCAAAGAATGAAGATTTATAGAACCACTCAACCATACTACGCTGCTATCTTGTCCACCCTTCGAGTGAGTGAGTGAGTGAATGAGTTTAGTTTTACGCTGCCTATAGCAATATTCCAGCATAATCACACCAGAAATGGGATTCACAGATTGTACCCATGTGGGGAATCGAAACCGGATCTTCGGTGTGACGAGAGAAAGCCTTAACCACGAGGCTACCCCAATCCGTCGAGGAAATAATCAGTTGTAGATATTGTTCTTGTATACAAATAATAAAAGCTGGATGGTGACACACAATCTGTCGCAACTGATGGTTTATTGTTGGCAGTCGGTCATTACAACATACAGTCTCCATCCTACTCTTGTTTCGGTACTTCTTAAATGTTTTATATATCCTGTGGGTGGAAATGACTGGAACCATCCGATACTTTCGCGTTCCTATAAAATTTAACTGCGTTTTGATAATCCTACTGCATACCACTGTGAGCAACATTGTCATCCAAGAATATATTTCTGAAGTAGTAACATCAGTAACACCTTTCTTGGACATTGATATATCCTTTTCATTTTTTTAAAAATATTTTACAGTCAAGAAGAGGTACAGCTTCATCGTACTTGAAGCACTATATCTGTGCACCGTAAAGCAAGCAAATGTATGTATTTTGCGTGAAGAACATCCGACATTAAACTAACCTGGGCAAGTCGGTAGTCCACAAGACCTAGTTCCTGTTTGGAACGTTGCCCCTGTGCAGACAGCTCCGCCATTGCTTGGAACGGGATTGTTACATTGCCTAACCCGGGTAGCCAGTGTGTTGAAGGAACCGCATGTTCGGGTACAAGGCACCACACTCCACTGTGTCCACTGCGAGAGTCCTCCATCCACCGCCACTAAAGAAACAGAGAACCAGCTTTTGACGAAAACGAATATCTACTATCCCCGTTGTTGAGTGGTTGGGTCGAAGTTGAAAAGATCTACTCAAATACTTATAAGTGGTTCGACACAAAGTAAATGAAAGAGAACCAAGAGAAACAATCAATTTACCACATAGCTGTGTTTGACTGAACATGAACATTGGGTGAGCCAGACAACCAACTCGACATGCAAAAAGATAAAAATGTGATAAAGCAGAAATGTTATCTCACCGGCACAAGCTCCAAGGCCACAGCTTTGGAAAGCCGTGTTGGTAAGGGATTCTGTACAGAAGGCTCCTCCATTGCTCGGCGGTGGGTTGGTGCAACTCCTGGTCCTGGTGATAGTCCTGACGGCTGACACTCCACAGGTGACGGTACAGGCAGGGATCGACCATTGTCCCCACTGTGACACACCACCAGCCACTGAAACGGACAGCAGAGGTATCACAAATACCATACCCCTATCGGTAATAGCTAGGAGGTCATTGAGAAGAGGAAGGACTACCTCTTTCCAACATTCAACTGTTTCCGTTATGTAAAGCAATATTCCAACAGCTACAGCCTTTAGCGTTTTCATTGTTTCTCATGGATATATACTCATGGAAACAAATAAGGGAACATATGAAAGTACAAGTGTTCCTCTATTTATTTCAAAAGTTTCACCCACAGTGCAATACATACCTTGTGAAGTAACCTGGAAAAGAATAAAGGAACACCTGTACTTTCATATGTTCCCTTATTTGTTTCCATGAGTATATTTATGTCTTTTTCATGAGTTTTGTTGGCCTTATTGATGGTTGTGTTCATCAGACATCTAGAAACAGGGAAGAGGTGGCGGCTATCAATGCAAGAATGATTCAGAGATTGGTTTTATGCGTGCCTGTGTTTTTTACCTGGACAGTCCACGAGTCCGCAGTTCACTTGATTAGTTTGAACAAGTGGTAGACCTATTGTTTCGCAGTCTCTGCCTCCGTTGCTGGGCGGGGGGTTATTACACAGTCTAGTTCTGGTTATGAACTTGGTAGCACTGGATCCACAGGTCACAGAACAGCCTGGGTCATTAAACGCGGTCCACTGTGACACACCTCCGTCGACAGCAACTTAAACATACAATTTCATAGTTCATTCATCTCTTCGTTACCTGACACATCATCAAAAAACAAAGGATGTTGAAACTGCTATGCAGGCCGATACCGCTCAGTACTGCATACCACTACACAAAAAATATATTCATGTTTGTCGTAATCTTCAAATTCACAAGTCAGCAAAGGAAAATATATACTGGTGTACAAAAGAAAGTACACCTGGTATTTTGAGACTATTGAAAAAACGTAAATATTTTGCTAGCAGTGTTCCAATCGGGTACGATGTCTGTGGTGTTATTGCAAAACGTACACAATGTTTGTGACTTGTGACTTTTCTAAATATTACGCAGTTTTTAGGAAAATATTTTACCAAAGCATCAGGTGTGTACTTTCTTCTGTACGTCAGTTTAGAAACATGTTTCTATTATAAATGAACGTTTAATGCAAAGTGGAGTAGACTTTCATCGCTCCTACCTGGACAGGCAGGAAGACCACAAGATAAGAATGTTGTTTCAGAAAGAGGCTGTGTACAGAAGCTTCCTCCATTGGCTGGTATGGGGTTGTTGCATTGCCTTGTCCTCGTAGCCTGATAGGTGGACGTAGACCCACAGGTCGCGGTACAGGTCGCAGAGCTCCACTGACCCCACTGATTAACTCCACCATTCACTATATACAACAAGATAACATAACCTATTGTCTTGCGTTACAAGGTGATATGGATTCTATATTGTTCAGCACATATGTATATGTCATCGCCTAGTTCCAATACGGATGTTATCAGTCCCTGAATCACGCTGAGGCGACTTTTCAATATAAACGAAATTAATTGTTAATATCAAAACCATATATATTCAGGGACTAAGCGCGAGTCAAGCTTTAGTCTACAATTTTTTGGCAAAATGGTGTGAATGAAATATTTCTCAAGGCAGCATTAAGCCCACTCACTCACTCCACCCTTACGTATTCACTCACCCTCTCACTCCCACCCTCTCACTCGCGTAGATTTTTGTTTGTATTCCCAAACCGAATTTCGATCAGGTATCTTCCCAAAATCAGTCTATTCTAATCGGCATATCACGGTATTTAATAATAATATACATACATGGCAGATATGTCTTAACTCTCTCAAGGAACTTCTCACAAGTACCATTAACTTACCTGGGCAGCCAATTAGACCACAGTTTACTTGAGTCGTGTCAGTTAAACTCTCCAGGCAGTCTCTTCCACCATTGCGAGGAGGGGGATTGTTACACAGTCTAGTTCTGGTGATTGTCTTTACGGCAAATAAACCACATGTCACGGGGCAGCCAACCGTAGCTGTATTCCATGCTGTCCATTGTCCTACTCCACCATTCACGGCAGCTGCAACGCACCAAGACATAGTTATATAAATGTCCTAAAATACGCGTCATCTTAATTAACATTTTTGAGGCTTTGAAACATATTTTCTATTAAAGTGTAAGTACAAAGCGGAGAAGAGCACCAAGTTACATTCTAACGAAACATATTTATGTTCATCAGTTTTATATCTCATTACTTTTCTATATTTATACGTTGTCTCTCGGGTCTTATAGTTTTCCAAATGATGTCGTAAGAGAAGACTGGTGGGATTGGGTGGTCAGGCCTGCTGTCTTGGTATTCAAATTGCGTTGATCGATGCCTATGATATCAATCACTGGATTGTCTGGTCCAGACTCTATTACAGATCGCCGTCATATAGCTGGAAAATTGCTGGATGCGGCGTTAAACAACAAACAAACGAAAAAACATAGACCGTCTCCTTACTGGGGCAGGCGACGGCTAATCCACAGGTGTCGGTCCTGCTATCAATGAGGGTCTCTGTACAGGACGCGCCTCCATTTGTAGGGGGAGGATTATTACACTGTCGGAATCTGTTGACTATCTTGGTGGCGCTGAAGCCACAAGTAAACGGACAACTGGCTGTGGCGGTGTTCCATTCTCCCCACTGGGAAAGTCCTCCGTTAACTGGTAAAAACGATGTTAAACATGATGCGGTTGTGCATATGTCATGCTATACGCAGTACTGAGTCATGTGGGAAACAATGAAGAGGTGCGATACCATTAACCATTAGATGTTCTAAGGGAGTATTAGAACATTATCATTAAAACATGGAGGTTATATGACAATGAATCACCTGGACATCCAGTCAAACCACAGTTGACCATCGTGTTGTCAGAGAGATTCTCAACACAGTCAGCACCTCCTGCTGAAGGAGGAGGGTTGGTGCAGCTCCTGAACCTCTGGATCAGTTTGGTGGCAGAGGTGCCACATGACACACTACAACCTGGGTTGGTCCAACTGCTCCACTCTGTAACGCCGCCATTTACAACAGCTGCAAAAGAGCAATAACAGACTCGTCACTCACTTCAACTGTTCGTTTCCACAATAACAGTAATCAGAATCACCAGAGATTAATCAGTGTCTTATACAGTGACCGCAATCAGGATCAACAGAGACTAATCAGAGTCTTCTGCCATGACAGTAATCAGGAGAAACAGAGACTAATCAGTATCTTCTCCCTTGACGGTAATCAGAATCAACAGAAACTAATCAGAGCATTCTACCATGACAGTAATCAGGATCAACATAGACTAATCAAAGTCGTCTACCATGACAGTAATCAGAATCAACAGAGACTAATCGGTCTCTTCTACCGTGACAGTAATCAGGATCAACGGAGACTAATCAGAGTCATCTACCATGACAGTAATCAGGATCAACACATATTAATCGGTGTCTTCTACCGTGACAGTAATCAGAATCAACATACCCTGATCAGTGTATTCTACCATGACAGTTATCAAGATCAACGGAGACTTATCAGAGTCTTCTACAATGACAGTAATCAGAATCAACAGAGACTAATCGGTGTTTTCTACCATCACAGTAATCAGAATCAACAGAGACTAATCGGAATCTTCTAACTTGACAGTAATCAGGATCAACAGAGACTAATCAGAGTCTTCTACCATGACAGTAATCAGTGTCAACAGAGACTAATCAAAGTCTTCTACCATGACAGTAATCAGGATCAACAGAGACTAATCAGAGTCTTCTACCGTGACAGTAATCAGTATCAACAGAGACTAATCAAAGTCTTCTACCATGACAGTAATCAGTGTCAACAGAGACTAATCAAAGTCTTCTACCATGACAGTAATCAGGATCAACAGAGACTAATCAGAGGCATCTACCATGACAGTAATCAGAATCAACAGAGACTAATCAGAGGCATCTACCATGACAGTAATCAGAATCAACAGAGACTAATCAGAGTCTTCTGCCATGACAGTAATCAGGAGAAACAGACACTAATCAGTATCTTCTACCTTGACGGTAATCAGGATCAACAGCTACTAATCAGAGCATTCTACAATGACAGTAATCAGGATCAACAGAGACTAATCAAAAGTCTTCTACAATGACAGTAATCAGAATCAACAGAGACTAATCAGTGTCTTCTACCATGACAGTAATCAGAATCAACAGAGACTAATCAGGGTCTTCTACAATGACAGTAATCAGAATCAACAGAGACTAATCAGAGTCTTCTACCATGACAGTAGTCAGGATCAACGGAGACTAATCGGTGTCTTCTACCATGACAATAATCAGGATCAACAGAGACTAATCTGTGTCTTCTACCATGCCAGTAATCAGGATCAACAGAGACTAATGAGTGTTGTCTACCATGCCAGTAATCAGGATCAACAGAGACTAATGAGTGTCTTCTACCATGACAGTTATCAGGATCAACAGAGACTAATCAGAGTCTTCTATCATGACAGTAATCAGTATCAAAAGAGACTAATCAGAGACTTCTACCATGACAGTTATCAGGATCAACAGAGACTAATCAGTGTCTTCTACCATGACAGTTATCAGGATCAACAGAGACTAATCAGTGTCTTCTACCACGACAGTTATCAGGATCAACAGAGACTAATCAGAGTCTTCTACCATGACAGTAATCAGTATCAACAGAGACTAATCAGAGTCTTCTACCATGACAGTTATCAGGATCAACAGAGACTAATCAGTGTCTTCTACCATGACAGTTATCAGGATCAACAGAGACTAATCAGTGTCTTCTACCATGACAGTAATCAGGATCAACAGAGACTAATCAGTGTCTTCTACCATGACAGTAATCAGGATCAACAGAGACTAATCAGTGTCTTCTACCATGACAGTAATCAGGATCAACAGAGACTAATCAGTGTCTTCTACCATGACAGTAATCAGTATCAAAAGAGACTAATCAGAGTCTTCTACCATGACAGTTATCAGGATCAACAGAGACTAATCAGTGTCTTCTACCATGACAGTTATCAGGATCAACAGAGACTAATCAGTGTCTTCTACCATGACAGTTATCAGGATCAACAGAGACTAATCAGAGTCTTCTACCATCACAGTAATCAGTATCAACAGAGACTAATCAGAGTCTTCTACCATGACAGTTATCAGGATCAACAGAGACTAATCAGTGTCTTTTACCATGACAGTTATCAGGATCAACAGAGACTAATGAGTGTCTTCTACCATGACAGTAATCAGGATCATCAACAGAGACTAATCAGTGTCTTCTACCATGACAGTTATCAGGATCAACAGAGACTAATGAGTGTCTTCTACCATGACAGTAATCAGGATCAACAGAGACTAATCGGTGTCTTGTACCATGACAGTAATCAGTATCAACAGAGACTAATCAGAGTCTTCTACCATCACAGTAATCAGGTTCAACAGAGACTAATCAGTGTCTTCTACCATGACAGTAATCAGTATCAACAGAGACTAATCGGTGTCTTCTACCATGATAGTAATCAGAATCAACAGAGACTAATCGGTGTCTTCTACCATGACAGTAATCAGGATCAACAGAGACTAATCAGTGTCTTCTACCATGACAGTAATCAGGATCAACAGAGACTAATCGGTGTCTTCTACCATGACAGTAATCAGGTTCAACAGAGACTAATCAGTGTCTTCTACCATGACAGTAATCAGGATCAACAGAGACTAATCGGTGTCTTCTACCATGATAGTAATCAGAATCAACAGAGACTAATCAGTGTCTTCTACCATGACAGTAATCAGGTTCAACAGAGAGTAATCAGTGTCTTCTACCATGACAGTAATCAGGATCAACAGAGACTAATCGGTGTCTTCTACCATGATAGTAATCAGAATCAACAGAGACTAATCAGTGTCTTCTACCATGACAGTAATCAGGATCAACAGAGACTAATCACTGTCTTCTACCTTGACAGTAATCAGGATCAACAGAGACTAATCACTGTCTTCTCCCAAACAATAAATGAGGGACCACAGGATATTTAGTGACGCCAGTGAATGGGCCATTTCGGTTACAGATGTTTACAAAAAAAAGCGATAAATCTCTTTCTATATGCACCGGGGACCTCTACCAAGAGTCGATTGTTTGACTCGGACTACACATTGACCATGTGTTCAAGGAAACACTGTGAAACAGTAATGATACCAGAATTTCCCAATTTTTTCATTTTGTATATTTTATCACTATTATTAGCCGTTCATTGAGTACCACTGACTGCACTTGTTACTTCCTTACATGGACAGGCGTTAGTTAATCCACAAGACTCGGTACGTATCTCCAGCAGCGTCTCGCCACAAAACGTTCCTCCATTTAGGGGCGTGGGGCTAGTGCAGGTACGTCGTCTCTCGGTGATTTTCTGTGCCGATGTTCCACAAGTCTGAGGGCAGGTCACTGACCCGGAGTTCCAGGTTGACCACTGCGTCACGCCGCCATTCACTGCAGTCGAAGAACATTGTGTATACGTTACTATAAAAGATTCCTATACCCCTAAACAATGCACGCATTAAATGAAAAATCATATATTGCAGAAAACGACTGAAGTGCTAGTAAAATATCAAACGCTGTCAGGGCAAGAAAACAAAACACGTCCAACGTCGGAGGGACTTATGGGACTTTATCATTCTGTTTGACTCATTGCATGTTGCGGTTTTGCATTTCTATGTACAACTCATTGACTTTTCCTGATTGTGTATTGGCCTTAAATGAGCTGCACAATTTCTGATGCGGCATAATGCAATACTCATACACTTGGTCATTGACCTTATTTGATTTACTGTTTCTACATCTGGACCTTTTGATGCCTGGGTTTTGTTTCCCCTTCAACCTGCAAATCGCCTCATAACAATAGAGTGAGTGAGTGAGTGAGTGAGTGAGTATGCTTTTACGATGCTTTTAGCAATAATCTAGCATGATCACGGCTGGGGGACACCAGAAATGGGCTTCATACATTGTACTCATCCGAGGAATCGAACAAATGAGTGAACGCAGTAACCACTAGGCTTCCCCTCCGTCCTTTTGTAACAATAGAGGAACTCCAAACTGCACATTAGTGTTAGCACTCCTAATGCTACAAAAGCAGTCTCCACTGTTCCAGCATGGGGTAAAGAGTGTCTTCTTTCAGTTTGAAGCTCTGTCATTATGCCAGTTGACCTACCTGGACAGCCAACCAATCCGCAGTTTGTCACAACATTCTCTACGAACTGACCGGTACAGTTAGCACCACCATTCAAGGGCGCGGGGTTGTCACATGTCCTGGACCTGAAGACAGTTTTTGCAGCTCCAGTGCCACATGTTACACTGCACGGAGGCTGACTCCATGGCGTCCACGCGCTGAATCCACCACTGACAGGAGCAGCACTCGCTGGAACAGACGTTTATTCGTCTGAGAGAAAGGCGCATTTGGTGTCATCAACTCAGTTATCAAAGACTTGGTTCGTTGTCATGGGCAACCAAGTGGAATTACCAGCCAGTACTTATTTGCCACAATGGGAGTTAAATATTATTATATTATAGGATATCCACGCAACTGGGCGCTGGTATTTTTTCCCTCGATCATTGGATGTAAGTCTCAACGGCACATCGTATTATCAATCTCAACTCCCTGGGGATCATACAACTCCTGCGGCCACAAGGCGCACCGAGTTATTGCGGCTTTCTCATCCTTACGAGGTACCCATTCACAGCTGTGCTGTACCTGCAACTAGGTGTTTGCACCTATGCATGTGGCCACAGATTCGTGGGTTCTTTTAAGTGCACCGGGTTGTGTACTGTACACTAGGGGTTGTGACAACACTGAAAGAGTCTGCACACTAAGTTGACTTCAAGGTTTTTGCACTCGGTCACAGGTCGGTTCTGTCCCGACACCTCAAACTCGCTTGATCACTTAGCCTAGCGCATTAGCCAACTCGCCCATCGTGCCCCAAATATGCACTCACTACTCGAGTTTTACCGTCGAATAAATCAATAATGCTTTTGCTTCAACATTATGTATGTGTCGAGTCCATTTTGAGTCGACCTCTTTTTTTCATTGTTAATTTGACTAATATGTATATGAATGCCAATACCGATGCCAGGTTTCTAGTTAATCAAATAATGTTGACTATCTGACACCACTTACTTGAAACCGTGAGCACAGACGAAACCTGTTGGCCATTGTACGTGAATTGGTATGTTCCCTGGTCAGACAACTGGACGTTGGTAATGGTCAGTGTGTGAGATACGCAGCTACCGCTTCTGGTGTAGGATATCCTCCCCCCGGTGGAAACGACTCCGCCGTTCCGTGTCCAGGTACCAAGATTACAATTGCCGTTTACCAGGTTTACCGTTATTGTTGCAGTACCGCCAATAGTCCTGGTTTGACTCCCTGTCCAGGTGAGTACTCCAGCTGAAATAGCAGAATAAGAATTGTCTGAACCGTCTAGTAAATTTGAAACATTATAAATTTTTGAAAAATAAACTAGGGGGTATGAACAAGGGATTAAATGACTTCAACCAACAAATTCTTTTTTTATATAAATGCTGTTACACACAACCGAGCAAAGAACAGTTGAATATCGCGACTTAGAGATGTGTTGTGACAGCCGACATTTTGTTTTGATCACGTTTTTTGGTCATGTGACCGAGAGCAAATAGTTCCGGCAGCACGCGATGTTATTACACAATGTCTAATAACATTGTAGATTTATTAGACGGTAATATCTTCAACGGGTGAATGATAAAGACAGTTATGCCATTCCTCGGAGGTAGATGGATTACTGTTATACGGATATGCATGCTTTTTCATTTGGACAACATTGGTAAAGTGACGTGGGCATCTTATGTAAGAAATCTTCTGTTTTCACATGGTTATGGTTTTGTATGGTTAAGTCAGTCAGTTGGTGATGCAAGTTTGTTTTTAACTCAGTTTCGAGAAAGAAGTCTTAATATGTTTAATCAAGAATGGCATTCAGTAATACATAATAGTTCACGGTACGACTCTTATAGAATATACAAATCACTACTCCAGCCGGAGAAATATCTGTCGTTTTTAACATCAAAAAATTAAGATATCCATTTATACGTTTTGGGTTAGGTTTGATCAACATAATGGTAAACGAAGGAAGACGTTTTTATATTGAACGATGCAAGAGAATGTGCCCATTGTGTAATATAGATGTGGAAAATGAAATCCATTTTTTTGCTTGTATGTCCTTTGTATAAAGATTTGCGTACGAAATATATAGCTGAATATTATCTACGTAAGCCACATACATTAGCATTTAAACTACTTCTTTCATCAACTGACCAGCATGTAATAATAAAGCTGTCGTACTATATCAATTATGCTCTTATTACACGTAACAATCTGATAAAAAGTGTTGTATGTCCATCGTATTTCACTACTTGTACATAATTTACTGCCTGTATCATGATTTGCTGTCTGGATCACTAATTACTACTTATTGCACCATATGTATAATGTATATGTATAACTCCAATGTATATGGGCCGGAGGCCTTTTGTACAATAAACATCTTTGACTTTGACTTGATAAGGTCACGAGTAGTGTTGTGTGTCAGGATTCTAACCTATCACAGTGATGGTTGCAGACCGAGACTGTCCAGCAATGGTGAAGCTGTATGTAGCGGCGTCGCTCAGTTGGGCATTGATTATTGTCAGACGTTGAACCTGGTTATCCACGGTAACGGAAAGGCGACCGTCATTTGGAAGACTCCCCGCCATTCTTCCTCCAAACTCCACCGGTGATGCCGTTTTGATTCAGCGACACAGACAGGATGATAGTTTGACTCGTGAACACTGTTTGGCTTACCATGTTGTTGATGATTACAACTGAAACAAAAAATAACAAGTCTACAGTGTGTAGAATGTTTCTATTGTAGCAGGGCGTGGAGTCATCCCATTGATGGCATTCTTACCTTGTCAGCTTGCTGACGGGGGTTAACGTCTTTGGTCATGTGGACAAGGCGTCCGATTTGGGATCAGAAGGTCTGTGGTTCGAATCCCAGCACGGGACTCAGAAATATTATGGAAGCTACACGAAAATCTAACAGATAGTAACAAAATTGACAATTGAATTAGCTGAAACCAGTGATTTGCTTTCACCAAATGTGTCATGATGCTAACATCTTGTTTCTTCTACACATACTTACCTCTGCAAATGGTGTTTGGTAAGTTTCCCAGGGAATTGGATACACCGCTGTAGGTAGCAAGCCCAGTTACAAGGCTTGGAGATGAGGCAGTCTGCTGAAGCTCCTGTCTGAAAGTATCAAGCAAACTAGCGCTGCCTATTACAGCGGCTTCCACTCCAATAACATACACGGTGGTTCCAGCATTCCTGGCATTGGAGGCAGCAGTGATAGTGGCTGTCTGGTCATCGGAGACACTGTCTGTTATGACAACCATGACCTTTGGCGACCCAGATCGACCTTGGCTGTTCAGGAAGTTCGCGGCCGTGTTGATGCCAATGTGCGTGTTCTCTAGGCCATTTGCCAGGTATGGTGCCCCGCGAAGGGAGTTGAGCAGACTCGTCTGGCTACTCTGGTCAGTGAGACTTGCAGATGAGGTAACAGATGTGCCATACACGAGATAGCCTACTCTTGCATTCGGATAGTTCGCGAAGGTGTTGTTGATGAAGAGTTCCACGTCGCTCTTCATATTATTAAAGTTTGTAACTCCAACACTGGCTGACGCGTCCAAGACAAACATGATGTCGCTTACACACCCTGAAACAGAAATAAGGGACATATTGGGGAACGTTTGCCATTACATATATGTCATGAACAACAGAGGGACTTGGGATAGACTCTTAACATATGTTTAAGATGGCCAGTATTCTGGTAATGGTGAGCGTGACATTCTGTTCAAGGTCGTTTTCAAATGACTTCAGTTACATCATCCGTGTCGGTTAAATGAAGGAAAAGACGTAGAGTAGGCCATTTATGTGTGTGGGTTTAATAACACGCAAGAACAGGGATAAAGCGTTGTGTCATATCCTTTGACAACTATGTTTCACGTGTTGCCTACGAACCTGTCAGCTGACCGCTTGTGGTGGTCATTAGACACATGATAGCAAGCGCCACTGTCCACAGAGTGACGGGGCTCCTCATCATTGCTGGCTATTCGAAACCTAAAAGAAGGAAGTCCGTTTTTAAAGATATGACGTTGTTTGTTGTGCTCTGATCACCAGGAAGTATCTCCAAGGGAATATACGACATCGGCAAAAATAGTAAATACAAGCAACATAAGCTAGTTTCATAATCATAATAATAAAATTGTACATTGTACGATTCCAGCTATAGACATCTTAGGCATGTGATTTTTAATCTCTAAGAATGCACATGCATCGTAAGTGTCTGTTTGTTTGGGGTTCTTGATGGGTGGATCGTTGCCAACAGGTATGGGCTTCACACATTGTACCATGTGGAGACTCGAACCTGGATCTTCAGCTGTAACAACCAGCTCGCTCCACCTCCATTTTCTATGAATAATAGTAGCATAAAATTGTATTTATAGTGAATTTGTCGTTAGGCATTCGGTGTATACATCTAACGCACTACATTTGTTGACCTACATATCGAGCTGGCCTAATCTCGAGATTCGTGCTGTAAACATCCTTCTTTTTTACTGGATAATCAAGAAATTATTACACACGCATGTGTGCCATACGAAACTCGTGCAAAACTCGCTCTCGCTTGGGCAACACAAAATTTCACACTCGTTTTGTATGGTCGCATGGTACACTTGCTTGCGTGATAATCTCTATCTGTTGCATGAATGGAGGTGGTTGGCTATTCAGAGTTAGGCACTTGTGGGACCTGTTTGTGCGGCGTCAGTAGAAGATAGACCGCTTGAGTACATAGAGTGCACAATTCGGTTGTCATGGGCCAGTAACTGCTTGAATTACACCCCGCTGCTTCAATCTGTGTTTTGACTGTTTCGTACTGGAAAGAAGTCTATTAATAGATCCAGGGCCGCTGTTTAAACTTTTGTGTATATTATTTCAGGTAAGAGAGCTGACTATTAACTGTGTACCTGACATCGTGGGTCTCACAAAGCAGCCGCTTGGGCTCTGTGGGATATTATGTCGCTACATTCCAGCATCTGTACATAGAGTTAATAGCTCACCGCTATTCATATGCTTTCCCTGCAGTATCATATTACACGTTTATGGGGTGAACTAACACTGTTCGACAGTATATGTAAGTACATTTCTAATGTCTAAATGTCATGTCAGTTGTGTGAGTGGCGGTCCCTACAAGAAGAGCAGGATACATTTTCCTTTCTCTGAACACCTGGTGTCTCCACTGCCTAATCAAATCATGCAATTTTCATCGCTTGTCTTTGATATCCAGTGAGATCTGTATCGACTGATGGTCAACACTAACTATTCTATGGACGAAATGTGTACATTAAACCACGCACATGCATGTGGGGCAGTCAGTAGTGAGTTTTAACCTGAGAATCAAAGTGCGTGTGCGTGCGTGGGTGCACGCGTGCATGAGTGCGTGCGTGCGTTTGCGTGTATTCATGGATGTGATGTGTGTTGATAGGTAGGTGCATTTATCAACCACTGACAAATCCGGTAACAGTTCCTCCCGTTCCCCCATCCCAAATAATATTTATAAATATACTAAAATTATTAACAAAACTTTACACAACAATTACTAGAGAACTCACAAAATGACTAAAAGTCCAAAATTTAAGTTAGGGTTAGGTTTAGGGTTAGGTTTAGGATTGGGGGAACGGAAGGAACTCTTTCCACAAATCCACTTACCCCGTTGTTTGTATGAGTATCTTATGTTGATCAATATTAGTAATGCGATGTGTAGAGAAGCACAATAAAACACGCATATAAACCTGTATGACATGTGTTTCCGGCACGTGGAAAAGGTCCTCGAATATGATATACCGTATATAGACATTAAGTCATGCTACAAATGGTAAAAGATATTCCGTTTATCAGTAACACTTGTGCACGAAAACGAACAACCCGTGAAGATCCCGGGTAGAATAAAAGGCGACTATGCTTGTCGTAAGAGGCAACTAACGGAATCGGGTGGTCAGGCTCGCTGACTTGGTTGACACATGTCATCGGTTCCCAATTGCGTAGATCGATGCTCATGCTGTTGATCACTGCATTGTCTGGTCCAGACTCGATTATTTACAGACCGCCGCCATATAGCTGGAATATTGCTGAGTGTGGCGTAAAACTAAACTCACTCACTCTCTCACTCACTCACGAAAACGAACAATTTCAGTCCCGACAAGAAAACGTCTAAAGCAACAATAATAAACTTGCGTCGTCAGTGTAGAAGCTATAGACAGTACTTCCTTCAAATTCTGTACAGTCATAAACAGTTTGAAGTTATCTAAGTGTCAACATTGTGCATGAGAACGAGTAATAGAGTGAGTACTTACCTTGTGTGGTTTCATCTGAAATAGATCACAGGACTGAAATGTTTGCTGCAGAGCTTAAATAGGACTGCCTAGTTGGGCCTTGACTGGTCCCAATAACAGTACGTTGTGCACACGGGATTGTGCACACCGGCAAGCAGGTAAACCTGTGAGGGAGCACTAATGCAAGAAGGTGACACGGATTATAAGGACGTATGATAGTGCACGAATACACGCACATCGGAAATGATGAATCTCGCAAAAACTTTGGCTGCTCTATTGTTGAGGGGTCGGTGGGGTAGCCTAGTGGTTAAAGCGTTCACTCGTAACGTTGAAGACCCGGGTTCGATTCCCCACATGTGTACAATGTGTGAAGCCCATTCCTGGTGTTCCCCGCTAGGATATTGCTGGAATATTGCTAAAAGCAGCGTAAAACTAAACTCACTCACTCACCCACTATTGATGAGTTACATGAAAGTAGGCAGTTGAGCATGACCTGGTAGCCGGTGACAGCAACCGGATTCACATTCCCATTCTGTCCGTAACGCTTCAGACCCATCGGATCGATTTTCGTCAAACATGGAGGACAGATGTTCGAATCAACCCCAAAACATTGAAACATTCGTGCGATCGCAGCATTTGTGTAACGTGTTCGACAGCTGCGCGTGGTTTACGTGCAACATGGGCAAAAGTTCACAGCAGTGAACTCTGTGACTCAACCTATCACTTGCTGGTCATGCTTTTATAGGAAGCAGTCATGCCGTTGGTGGCTGTTACGATTGGTGACACATGTCGACGAGTGTCGGAGATATTTTGTAACATTCAAAAGCATGTTTTTCCAAATTTTATGGGTAGTATAAAGTTTGAGATTTTTGCTACACCTATGCATTTCGCTATTTTAAGATTGTCCTTTACCCTAATCGTGTTACTGCGGTTGGCATCGAATATATACATTACGGAACTACTGTTCAACGGGAAAATGTCAGCCAGGTTTTTCGATAATTGGCGCAGATTTACAAATGCTGCACATAGTTTATGTATAGGTGTGAGTAGGTAGTATAAAGGCGAAGAAGCAAATATGTCGGTTGCAGATGAAGCAGGACGACAGCCACCACAACTGGTGTCCACACGTCTATAGCACCTGTCACCAACTCCTTGTATGGTCACCGAAGCAGGATAGAAATACAGTACCTATCAGTAACTGTCATCTGGCAGGGTAGGTCTATAGCGCCCCTCGCGTGACTTCCCTTTGTGTCATCTGGGCAGGGTAGGTCTATAGCACCCCTCGCGTGTCTTCCCTTTGTGTAATCTGGGCAGGGTAGGTCTATAGCACCTGTCGCCAACTCCTTGTGTGGTCACCGAAGCATGATAGAAACACAGTACCTATCAGTAACTGTCACCTGGGCAGGGTAGGTCTATAGCGCCCCTCGCTTGTCTCCCCTTGGGGTCATCTGGGCAGGGTAGGTCTATAGCATCCCTCGCTATAGCGCCCCTCGCGTGTCTTCCCTTCGTGTCATCTGGGCAGGGTAGGTCTATAGCACCCCTCGCTATAGCATCCCTCGCGTGTCTTCCCTTTGTGTAATCTGGGCAGGGTAGGTCTATAGCACCCCTCGCTACAGCGCCCCTCGCGTGTCTTCCCTTTGTGTAATCTGGGCAGGGTAGGTCTATAGCACCCCTCGCGTGTCTTCCCTTTGTGTAATCTGGGCAGGGTAGGTCTATAGCACCTGTCGCCAACTCCTTGTGTGGTCACCGAAGCATGATAGAAACACAGTACCTATCAGTAACTGTCACCTGGGCAGGGTAGGTCTATAGCGCCCCTCGCTTGTCTCCCCTTGGGGTCATCTGGGCAGGGTAGGTCTATAGCATCCCTCGCTATAGCGCCCCTCGCGTGTCTTCCCTTCGTGTCATCTGGGCAGGGTAGGTCTATAGCACCCCTCGCTATAGCATCCCTCGCGTGTCTTCCCTTCGTGTCATCTGGGCAGCGTAGGTCTATAGCATCCCTCGCGTGACTTCCCTTCGTGTCATCTGGGCAGGGTAGGTCTATAGCGCCCCTCGCGTGACTTCCCTTTGCGTCATCTGGGCAGGGTAGGTCTATAGCACCCCTCGCTATACCACCCCTCGCGTGTCTTCCCTTCGTGTCATCTGGGCAGGGTAGGTCTATAACACCCCTCGCTATAGCATCCCTCGCGTGTCTTCCCTTCGTGTCATCTGGGCAGCGTAGGTCTATAGCACCCCTCGCTATAGCGCCCATCGCGTGTCTTCCCTTTGTGTCATCTGGGCAGCGTAGGTCTATAGCACCCCTCGCTATACCACCCCTCGCGTGTCTTCCCTTCGTGTCATCTGGGCAGGGTAGGTCTATAGCACCCCTCGCTATAGCATCCCTCGCGTGTCTTCCCTTCGTGTCATCTGGGCAGGGTAGGTCTATAACACCCCTCGCTATAGCATCCCTCGCGTGTCTTCCCTTCGTGTCATCTGGGCAGCGTAGGTCTATAGCACCCTCGCTATAGCGCCCCCATCGCGTGTCTTCCCTTTGTGTCATCTGGGCAGCGTAGGTCTATAGCACCCCTCGCTATACCACCCCTCGCGTGTCTTCCCTTCGTGTCATCTGGGCAGGGTAGGTCTATAGCACCCCTCGCTATAGCATCCCTCGCGTGTCTTCCCTTCGTGTCATCTGGGCAGGGTAGGTCTATAGCATCCCTCGCGTGTCTTCCCTTCGTGTCATCTGGGCAGGGTAGGTCTATAGCATCCCTCGCGTGTCTTCCCTTCGTGTCATCTGGGCAGGGTAGGTCTATAGCATCCCTCGCGTGTCTTCCCCTCGTGTCATCTGGGCAGGGTAGGTCTATAGCATCCCTCGCGTGTCTTCCCTTCGTGTCATCTGGGCAGGGTAGGTCTATACCACCCCGCGCTATAGCATCCCTCGCGTGTCTTCCCTTCGTGTCGCCCCTGGGCAGGGTAGGTCTATAGCATCCCTCGCGTGTCTTCCCTTCATGTCATCTGGGCAGGGTAGGTCTATAGCATCCTTCGCGTGTCTTCCCTTCGTGTCATCTGGGCAGGGTAGGTCTATAGCATCCCTTGCGTGTCTTCCCTTCGTGTCATCTTGGCAGGGTAGGTCTATACCACCCCTCGCTATAGCATCCCTCGCGTGTCTTACCTTTGTGTCGCCCCTGGGCAGGGTAGGTCTGTCTATAGCACCCCTCGCGTGTCTTCCCTTCGTGTCACCTGGGCAGGGTAGGTCTATAGCATCCCTCGCTATAGCGCCCCTCGCGTGTCTTCCCTTCGTGTCATCTGGGACCCGTGAAGATCCGGGGTAGAATAGGTCTTCAGCAACCCATGTGCTTGCCATAAAAAGGCGACTATCTTGTCGTAAGAGGCGACTAACGGGATCGGGTGGTCAGTTTCGATGACTTGGTTGACAAATGTCATCGGTTCCAAATTGCGCAGATCGATGCTCATGCTGTTGATCACTGGATTGTCTGGTCCAGACTCGATTATTTACAGCCCGCCGCCATATAGCTGGAATATTGCTGAGTGCGGCGTAAAACTAAACTCACTCACTCACTCACTCGTGTCATCTGGGCAGGGTAGGTCTATAGCACCCCTCGCTATACCACCCCTCGCGTGTCTTCCCTTCGTGTCACCTGGGCAGGGTAGGTCTATAGCACCCCTCGCTATACCACCCCTCGCGTGGTTTCCCTTCGTGTCATCTGGGCAGCGTAGGTCTATACCACCCCTCGCTATAGCATCCCTCGCGTGTCTTCCCTTCGTGTCACCTGGGCAGGGTAGGTCTATAGCATCCCTCGCTATAGCACCCCTCGCGTGTCTTCCCTTCGTGTCACCTGGGCAGAGTAGGTCTATAGCACCCGTCGCTATACCACCCCTCGCGCGGCTTCCCTTCGTGTCATCTGGGCAGGGTAGGTCTATAGCATCCCTCGCTATAGCGCCCCTCGCGTGTCTTCCCTTCGTGTCACCTGGGCAGGGTAGGTCTATAGCACCCCTCGCGTGTCCCCTCCTTCCTTTTGTCATCTGGGCAGGGTAGGTCTATAGCATCCCTCGCTATAGCACCCCCCTCGTGTGTCTTCCCTTCGTGTCACCTGGGCAGGGTAGGTCTATAGCACCCCTCGCTATACCACCCCTCGCGCGGCTTCCCTTCGTGTCATCTGGGCAGGGTAGGTCTATAGCATCCCTCGCTATAGCGCCCCTCGCGTGTCTTCCCTTCGTGTCACCTGGGCAGGGTAGGTCTATAGCATCCCTCGCTATACCACCCCTCGCGTGTCTTCCCTTCGTGTCACCTGGGCAGGGTAGGTCTATAGCACCCCTCACTTGTCTCTCCTTGGGGTCACCTGGGCAGGGTAGGTCTATACCACCCCTCGCTTGTCTCCCCGTGGTCACACCTGGGCAGTATGGGTCTATAGGATCTCTCGCTTGTTTCCCCTCACCTAGGCAGTGAAGGTCTATACCACCCCTCGCTTGTCTCCCCTTGGGCTCACATGGGCAGGGTAGGTCTATACCACCCCTCGCTTGTCTCCCCTTGGGCTCACATGGGCAGGGTAGGTCTATATCACCCCTCGCTTGTTTCCCCCTGATCACACCTGGGCAGTATGGGTCTATAGGATCCCTTGCTTGTTTCCCCTCACCTGGGCAGGGTAGGTCTATACCACCCCTCACTTGTCTCCCCTTGGGGTCACCTGGGAAGGGTAGGTCTATAGCACCCCTCGCTTGTCTCCCCGTGGTCACCCCTGGGTCGGGTAGGTCTATAGCACCCCTCGCTTGTCTCCCCGTGGTCACACCTGGACAGTGTGGGTCTATAGCACTCCTCGCTTGTCTCCCCTTGGGTTCACATCGACAGGGTAGGTCTATACCACCCCTCGCTTGTCTCACCTTGGGCTCACCTGGGCAGGGTAGGTCTATAGCACACCTTGCTTGTCTCTTTGTGGATGTGAACATCTTAGTCTAAAGTTTAGAGTATCTGACTCTGTTCAATATATCCCATACCACTGACTTGTATTGGGATCAATTCCAAGCCTCAACAGCATGAACATGCTTGACTTAATTATCAGTCGAAACGTCAATATTTCAAAGTTGTGATTAAATTTATGTAATAACACAATTTTAATATCGATAATCACTAATATTGTTTCCTATCGACAATATTTCCGGTTATCGATCATTTTAGCCATCCTACCACATTCGCAGTGCTTACATGGATTTTAATGCTGAGATCTTGCGTAACTGTTTCTTGTGACATTTTATCTGCTGTCTACTTGTTCAGGAGAGCTACAGTACCCTTGACACTGAAATACAGACTCAAGAACCGCAGTGTCCGATCGCCTGGCGAACCTGTCTTCCTGGCGAGATGACGGCTACATCACGAGTGCTTGTCCTCTACACAGGGGGAACTTTTGGCAAGGTTGAGACAAACGAAGGTTGGATATTTTCATATTTTTCTCGAGCATGATTATTATGTGTGAAGAAGGCTTCTCAACTTCATGAGCACAAGAAAATCTTGGCTTGAAATACATGTAATAGTTAGTCTCTTCAAATATATCATTGTTTTCATTATTTCATACCGCAGAAGCCCAGATTTGGAATTTTAGTGCGTTTTCCCATCCAGGCATCTTTGGGTTTTGTGATGTTCATCTATGATCTTCAGTATATTTTAGGTATGGTGGGGTACTCGTCACGCAGAATAAATAAAACACTCGTGTACTACCCATGTAAAGGTTCCGTGGCAGAATCGTCCCCTGTCTACCATGCTATCACTTCGAGCCCTCTCAGGTTAATAGAGGATCGGTTGGTCAGGCTCGCTGACTTGCTTGACACATTTCATCGGTTCCCTATTGCGCAGATCGATGCTCATGCTGTTGATCACTGGATTGTTTGGTCCAAACTTGATTATTTAGACCGCCGCCATATAGCTGGAATATTGCCGAGTGCGGCGTAAAACTAAACTCACTCGCCCTAAGGTCAATTAAGAGGATCTGGTGGTTTGATTGTGTGACATTGTGTGTACGATGTACTTGGTGTTAACCACTGGTTTGGGCCAATACTCGTCTATGTGCAGGGACCGCGATGTTCTGCAGACTACGGAGTTACGCATTAACTTACGAACTCGTCGACGTGTACGCTTCATGGTCTTAAAAAAATTATCGACAGCTCTTAATAAATGTAATATACCAGCCAACAGACAAAGTTTTCACGACGTTAATATCACGTCACTGTGCAACGTCAGGTCACAACGTTAGGTCACAACGTTGTAACAACGTAAATGGGAGTCATCAGAATAACGTTGAACGGACGAAAGCATAACGTTATGACAACGTGAAATTGCTAGCTGGGATTCCCTTTGAAACCAACAAAAGGGCCCTGATAAGACATGCAGAGACACGGACACTGCTGTGTGATTCTCAGTCCCTGTTGTAGTTCCCGTGACTTGTCCTGGAAGACGAACATGTGACAGACATGTCACGCGTGACAATACATACCTGGATACACATGTGCTAGCACCACCGATAAAAGGGCAGGGAACCATATTGTAAGCGAGGGAACGAACGAGTTTTCTTAACTCCGTTTTCAACATTATTCCTTTTTATTGTAGATTTCTATTTCCTACATTCCTCTTACAGAGACAGGTCCCTGTCTATGGTGAGTGAGTTTAGTTTTACGCCGCACTCAGCAGTATTCCAGCTATATGGCGGCGGCATGTCTATGGTAGCAAGATTGCTTCTATAAATAAATTAATAAGTAAATCTTTTGCTTAAAACATTTCAGTCATCCCGGATGTATGGTGTACAGGTGCAGCATGCACTTTTTATTGCCAATGGATCGGATATGAATCTGTTTTAATGCAACCCCAGTCTCTCCAACATGCAACTTTGATCATTGCTGTTGAGCGAAAGAATTTTTAGCATTAACCCACGTGGTCAAATCTCAAATAACTGTGCGTTCTAACATGAGATGGACCGTATCCCACAAAAGATTGTGGTCATTTGTTTTGTACAAAAGACTGACCCAGACTGACAATAACAAATTTGGGTTTGAAACCTTTTTCACTTATATCATAACCTGTATGTGGAGGAGAGCCCCAAATGATGTACATTTCAGTGAAATCATAAGCATGATTGTAGTAATTTCAAACTGATAATTAGAAATCCGACATTCTTTTTCATAGAGATCGTCCTTGGGGTACATATTATGCATTTTCCGGCTGAAAATGTCCTGTGACAGTTGTATCAATGTTTTTTAATAAAAATATTGTACAATAAATAAAAAACTTTTGATTTATTATATGGCCCCCACCTCGTGGAGTTACCTCCCGTTGCGCATGCGCACCAACTGGGTAAGCTCCTAGGCCCGTATAATCATTCCTTCTGCTGTCACTGCTTGTATGTATGGTCTTTATATTGTCCTTCAAAGGAACAGTAAAGCTTTGTGGTCGGTTGTCTCCTAATTGTGACTTTGTATTCAAATTATTTTACGCTAACTTTCCCGTGGTTTACGCACATGTTGCTCTTCCATGGCGGGAAGTTTAGCGTGCCACGTGGTTGTAATATTGCGTTTTAACCAACTATTTCTTCCCGTGGTCGCCTTCACGTAATTTTCAATGTTTTATACGTGTATCTTATGCTGCTGGTCCACCGTTAGCTACATGCTTGCGTGTTTGCTTTCAGGCGTTTTCCGGTTGTACTGTCTGCAGGCAGAGTATTCCCCGTGCCGACAGGCATGATAAGTGTCTGGTGTGCCTTGAGAAAGGCGGACACAACCCTGACACCTGTGATATCTGTATGGGCTTTTCCCCCCGAGCCCAGAAGAGGCGGGTGGATGACTTCCTCTTCTATCGGGAGATGCGAGAGGCGGGAGGGGAACTGACCCAGGTCCCCCCGTCTAAAGCAAAAAAGCCGAAATCTAAGGGCCAAAAAGCTAAATCTCGCGGCCAAGCGCCGACTGCCGCTCCCAGCGGTTTTGACATGAATATCATAACCCAATTATTCCAGCAGCACATGGCCTCGGTGAAGTCCCTTGTTCACGAGTCCGCCAGGAGTTCCTCGCCCACTCAGAGCAGGGGGCGGAGAGTCTGAGGGTGGGATCGCCGAGCCCGGCTCGATCCCTCGGCCTGGAGGCGTCTGTTGATCCGTTGCCTCTGGCTTCGGGTCCGGACGCCTCGGCTGCCCCGGAGGGGGAGGCTTCTCTCCCAGTCCCCCTCTCGGAGTTGGCGCAGGGTCCGTTGAGGATTCCTGGGGTTCCGGTCCCTGCGCCGTCCCGCCCCATGAGAGCAGAGGAGCCAGTTTTGCGTCTCGGGACCGGAGTCCAAGCGTGGTGTTGGCCACTGAAGCAGGGCGCTGCTTCGGTTCTTCCCTTCCCTCTGTGTCTGGTGCTAGGCCGCCCACCGGGTCGGAGTTCGGGTCCTCTTCGCGAGGAGACCCAGCCTCGGACTCGGGCTCGGGCGACGAGTCCATGGACATTGGGGAGGTCGAGGAGCCGGAGGGTGCCTTCCGTTTCTCGACGGCTCTGAGGGAAGTCCGGCAACGCATTGCCGAGTACATTCCCCAGGCCGCGGTGCCTACCAGCTGCTCGGACTCGACTGAGTTCCGCTTGCCAGGCGAGGCGTTTGCCCCTAGGCAACCCACGCAGACGCTGCTCCGCATTCTGCCGTCCTTGGTGCAGGACGTGGTGGATCCCCTCTTGGCTGGGTCACGCCTCCGTTTTGACTTGACAGAGCTTGTCAAGAGGTACCAGCTGGGGGAAGATTCCCTGTTCTTCGTACCAGTGGTCGACGAATGTGTGTTCACTTCGGTCGCCCTGGGGGGAGGCTCGGCTTCCTCCGGAGCAGCTAAGGCTGCCAGGCAAGGGCGTTTGACGCCACCTTTTGCCCTCGCGGGCGCCCCCCTGCAGCATGCTTACCGGACCTACGAGGAGGTGTACCGGAACGCTATGCAGCAGGTGCGGGTGGTGGTCCACGAGGCCTACCTCTCCTCGATTCAGAGGTCGGCCCTGGAGTCGGAGGGGCACGCTGGAGACGTTTCTCAGCATGTTGTTCTCCTCCGTCAACTTTCCGAAGTACAGGCACACCTCGCGCGCGACTCCTTGCGGTCAGCCGCATCGACGGTGATGTGCGCAGTCATGGGGATGCGCAAGCTGTGGCTGTCGACGTCTCGGTACTCGGCAGCTACACAGCAGACCTTGCTGGCCCTCCCCTACAGTCTGGGAGCGACGCTGTTTCCTGGGGCACAGCAGGTCATCCGGGAGGCTGCAGCTGCAGCTACCTCCTTCAAGGACTCTAAGGCCTTGTTGGAGCACCCGCGGGCTTCTCCCGAGTCTGCTGGCTGGCTTCGGCCGCTAGGCAGGGGTAGGCGGAGGAGCCGTCCCGCCAAGGGTAAGGGCAAGGAGCAGTCCTCTTCGACTGGCTCCCAGCCTTTTCGCGGGCGCGGGAGGTCTGCCCCGACCTCCCGTTAACCCATCAGGCTGTAGAACAAGACGTGTGTCACTCCCAGTCAGCTCCGCTACTCGGGACCACTCACGCGCTCTTACCCACCGTCCCAGTGGGAGGCTGCCTCTCTCTATTCCTGCCGGAGTGGGAGAAGGCTACAAACAACACTTGGGTGCTGTCCACCGTCAGTGTCGGCCATCTACCACTGTGGAAGCGAGGTCCGCCAGACTTCACCGGCATACGCCGCACTCCGGTGCCGTCATGTCAGGTACGGGCGGACATACTGCGCGACGAAGTCCAGGCTTTGCTGGACAAGTCCGCTATCGAGCGCATACCACCGGCGAGGAACAGGCGGGATTTTACTCCACGTACTTCCTCGTTCCAAAGAAAGATGGCGGGTTCCGTCCCATTCTCAACCTCAAGGGGTTGAATCGCCTGCTAGAGGTTCCAACCTTCAAGATGGAGACACTGCGCTCGGTGATCTCCTCTGTCAGCCCGGCGATTGGCTCACGTCAATCGACCTAAAGGATGCGTATCTACATGTGCCTATACATCCATCGTTCAAGCAGTACCTTCGGTTCTCTTACGACGGGATGAATTACCAATTCAGGGTGCTCCCCTTCGGCATATCCACTGCCCCCAGGGTGTTCACCAAGCTCATGTTAGTCCCGGCTACCCTCGCTCGCTCGCAAGGAAGGCGTTGTTACCCTTACCTCGACGACTGGTTGCTCGGTGCACTAACACAGCCAGCGAGCCTAGATTCTACTCACAAGGTGATAGACATTCTAGTTCGACTGGGGTGGATCATCAACCTCAAGAAATCCGACCTGGTACCCACCCAGGACTTGGTTTTTCTCGGGGCGAGGTTCCAAACTCACAAGGATCTTGTTTCCTTGTCGCCCGACCGGGTCACCAGAGTACGGGAGATGGTGTCTTCGTTCCTCTCCCAGCCCCAGGCACCAGCACGGACTTGGCTCCGTCTACTGGGCCATATGGCGGCGACTATCTCTGTCGTGTGGCGGGCGCGGTTGAGGATGCGCCCTATACAGCAAGCTTTGGCGAGTCTGTGGGCTCACTCGGAGGACCTAGAGCAGGGTTTCACAGTCCCCGGGTGGTTGTCTCCTCACCTTCAGTGGTGGACCAATGTCGGGAACCTCACCAAGGGGGTCCCCTTGGAAATCCCGACGCCAGCTCTTACAGTTCAGACCGATGCTTCCCTCACGGGCTGGGGGGTGTGTTCTGGGCAGTCTGTCGGTGTCCGGACTCTGGTCCGAAGCCGAAGCCCGCCTTCACATCAACGTGTTGGAACTGAGAGCTGTGCGGTTGGTTTTCGAGCGCTTCCGAGAGCATGTCCAGGGCCAGGTGGTTCGTCTTCAGTTGGACAACCAGACGGCCATGTCGTACATCCTGAAGCAAGGCGGCACGGTGTCCTGAGCGCTCCTCTGGGAGACATGGGACTTTCTCCTCTGGTGCGACCAGTGCGATTGTCAGGTACTCCCTGTTTATCTCCCGGGGCTGGAGAACATGCGAGCAGACGCTCTCTCTCGCCGGATCCTGGCCCTGCACAAGTGGATGCTCGACCGGCAGATATTCGGAGTTATCTCCCAGTTGTACGGGTCGTTCCAGGTGGATCTGTTTGCGTCCGGCGGGACGAATCAGACACCCGTGTTCTGCTCTCGAATACCGGACCCGAGGGCGTTGGCTGCCGACGCCTTCCTGTTGCATTGGACGGGCAAAATGCTCTGGGCGTTCCCGCGTTACCACTCATTCCCGTGTCCTCTCAGCTGTCCTCCCAGCCAGCTTGGCTGTATGTGCCTGGCAGCTTTGTCGTGGTTTCCGTATCCTCAAAGGGGGTTGAAGTATTGTAAAATTATTGTCCTCCTGAGAGGTACACGTAAGTCCCAAAGCATTTAGTCAATCTAAGTGTACCTGCTTTATAATCGTAGAATAAGTGGGTTTTTAATTTATGGCTAGATTTCTCTTCTGTCGCCAATGGCTGAAGGGATGGTGTAAATCCAACTAGGGTCCATGCAGGTAGCAAAAGTAATGTAAGTCCCCATGGTTCCTAGTATGGTGATCTCCCTTCAGTTGTTGGCGATCTATAGCCCATTTTTACATTGTATTGTCTTCTTTAATTGGAATATTTTAGCTTTGTTCGCTAGTTTTATATTGATAGCTGTGATTGTCTAGTATTTCTACTGTCCTTCGTCGGCAGGTTTTTATAATAACTATATATATTCTATTACAATGTCAAATGTTCTCGTCACGATATGGCTGAAATATTGCCGATGTGACGTTAAATAATAACTCACTCACTCACTCTCCCAGCTGTCCACCCAGCCAGCTCGGCTGCTTGTGCTACTGGCACCGCTTTGGCCGTCACAGAGCTGGTTTCCGGTAATTCTCAGGTGTCTGGCTCAGCCTCCTGTTCTATTACCTTTGCGACCGGACATTCTCACTCAGAACGGCGCGCCACACCCCAATCCAAGGATTCAGTGGGTGGCTTGGCCTCTGTCAGGTCTAGCCTTGAAGCACGCGGAATTCCTGCAGCAGTTGCAGACACAATTCTGGCTTCGAGGCGGAATTCGACAAACGTTCAGTATGAGGATAGGTGGTTCCGCTATGCGCGCTGGTGTTCAGATAGGGGGATTGCAGATCCCTTTTCTGCGGATTTAGTCCGAGTATTGGAGTTTTTGCAAGCTCATTTGGAAGAAGGCCTGGCGGCTTCGACCATCCGTGGCTACTCCACCGCTATTTCCACTTTTCACACCCCTGTCGATGGTGCTCTTCTGGGGCAGCACCCTCTCGTACAGCGCTTTTTAGCTGGCGCGGATCGGGTTCGACCTGCTGTCAGGCGAACCAGCCCACCTCGGGATTTGTCAATTGTGCTTGATTGGCAGTCCGGTCCTACGTTCTCACGTCTATCGGCTATTTCCATTCAGTTGTTAACATGGAAGGCTGTTTTTCTGGTGGTGGTAACATCTGGGCGTAGGGTAGGCGACTTACATGCTATGTCATCCGACCAGGCGCTGACTGTGTTTCACACTGATCGTGTCAGCATTCGCCTCCCGGATACGTACCGCCCGAAGGTCGATCACGCTTTCCATGTGACAGCTCCTATCGAACTTCCTACTCTTACCCAGCCTTCCACATCGGGGACCTCTCCTACGAGCACTCACCCGTTGGATGTCCGTAAGACTCTCGAGGTCTATCTCAAACGAACACAGGGAATCCGTACGGGTACCCATCTGTTCTGCTGTTACGGTGGCGGGAAGGCTGGGGAGCCGGCGAGCAAGCAGACTTTGTCTTGCTGGCTCGTCTCGGTCATTTGTGCTGCATATCAGGCTAAGGGCAAGCCTCCCCCTGAGGGGTTGAAGGCTCACTCGGTCAGGGCAGTAGCCACGTCAAAAGCTTTTGCATCGGCACTCCCCATTGAAGAGATCTGCTCTGCCGCTATTTGGAGCCAGCCTAGCACGTTTATCAGCTCGATACACATTCCCGTAATCGTGCGAGCTTTGGCCGTTCTGTTCTCTCCAGTGGACAGTGTCCTGCCACCCTGACCGAGTGAGTCTTGGTTCATTGGTTTTGTTGACGCTGCTGTTCAATATTGTGTTTATTGACATGTCCGCAGGTGGTGTTTTAACCTCCTTTCGATCCTCTACGGAGAATATAGGTCGGTAGTGAGCGTTTTTAAATTCCCCCCTCCGGTGCTCTCTAATCGACACAAGGTGGGTGGGGTTTTGTTTACATTCGCATCATGTGCGAATTCTTATGCTAACCTGCGAGGTCGTCTCTGAGTACATTTCCTCCCTGTCAGTTACCCTCCCATAATGCCTCTCGCGGAAGCACAAACCGGGACATGTGACAGGTGAGTGATTATGGCATCTGTTACATTATTCAATTAACGATAGCTATTTGTATGTGCTTTGACAGAATTCCCTCCTCCCTGGCCTCCGGTCTTTGGGAGTCTGTGTTTATGCATAATATGTACCCCAAGGACGATCTCTATGAAAAAGAATTAAACAAACCTGAAGAGGTTTTCAATTCTTTGAAGAGAGTCGTCCTTGGGGTAGGGCCTCCCGCCTCCCCGCAATTCTGTTCACTGATTTATTCAGCAGAAGGAATGATGATATGGGCCTAGGTTCTTACCCAGTTGGTGCGCATGCACAACGGGAGGTAACTCCACGAGGTGGGGGCCGTATAATAAATAAAAAGATTTATATTCATTGTACAATATTTTTATTAAAAAACATTGATACAACTGTCACAGGACATTTTCAGCCGGAAAATGCATAATATGTACCCCAAGGACGACTCTCTTCAAAGAATTGAAAACCTCTTCAGGTTTGTTTAAGTTTTGACTTCCCTCTGTATGTACTTGTTGTGTCAGGTGAACGTGTGACTTCCCTCTGTATGTACTTATGCCGCTGACTGGAAACGAATGGTATGCTCACCGTTTCGAGAACATCACTGAGGTATCATCACTATTTGATAGCGACCCATAAACAAATATCATTATTTATTATACATTCGGAACCGAACAACAGATTAAAGACCATTTTATCGTTTCCATTTACGTTACATGTATGAGTCGAATGAAATTGTCAGTAATAATGGTAGTCGTTTGCTAAAGGTGCATAAACGTTCACGTTGGGTGGAATATAGCTGATGATTGTTTCAGGACCACTACGCTGTATACACCGGCTTTGTTATAATCATGGGGACAGACGCTATGGCGTATGTAGGCTCCGCGTTGTCGTTCATGCTGCAGCACCTCAACAAGCCTGTCATCTTCACGGGGGCCATGGTATGTTTGCAGGCGGAAACATCCAACCGCCAGAGTGAGATACAAGAGGATCAGTTTATACCTCTAACATATTTCAGGATCCGCTGGTGATGGGTTCGAATCCCAGAATAGCCACGATTAATATCTAGATTTATCAGCACCAGTGCCCATGGGGCTAGTAAATACTGTAAAACACGATGCGGTGATTAATTTTCCTCTCATATATATTGCTTGAGTTATTAGCGAAAATGTGTGCTTTTCAAAGCAATGTCATATTCCTTTGAGAGGTTATTTCATCTCGTCAGCCTATCACCACCTAATCAAAGACCACCACCAGTAATCCTTCCCCTACCTCCTTTGTCCATCTGGCTTCCATGCTCCCTCCTTTGTGCTTGTAATCACAACTATTGTACGTCAACTCATCAATTGTATAAACTCAACTCTAATCACAATCACTCACTCTGAACATCAACCTCCTCTGCTGTAATCACTTATCAAATATCCAATGTACATCAACCTTGTTAATTGTATATACTCACTATACAGCTATGTATATATTCTCCTTGCTTCAGTTGTTGTATCACTTGCTTGATAACGGTGTTAGTACCTACACCGAAACGTCGCACTCATTGCAATAAAGAAGTTGACTATCCATACAAATCAGTTTTCCTTCAATGTCATATTCGTTCAAATCCAAAGTAGGTCTTATAGAGCGTGACTTAAACGTCTTCCACCAACTGGTCCTACAATTGCAACAATCCCATGCTTCTGATTGACAATCGCCTGAAACGAATTACATCATCGACGTACAATTGTTTTCTTACATACCAGAGTTGACAGTCTTGAAGTGATTTTTAGCATTTAAACAGTCTACATGACGTCTGGAGTCTGCATAGTATCTAAATAGTGTCTGTATGGTATCTGAATAGTGTCTGTATGGTATCTGAATAGTGTCTGTATGACATGTTAATGGTTTCACCACACAATTTGAACGGCTTCTGTATGTCATCTCAACAGCCTCCATAAGATACCCGAACAGCTGATTCATGTTGATAACCATCCTTCATACAATACTATGAATTTCTCCATGTCTCTACAGATCCCAATCTCCTACTCGTCAACAGACGGCTTGAACAATCTGTTGTGTTCCCTCATCATGGCGACTCGCAAGGTCCCCGAGGTACGACAATGGTTGCCCCTAGCTGCTACACCGTGGTGAAACTCTCGCCGGGTTGTGTTTTGGAATTTAATTCATCAAGTCGTCTGTAGCACGTGGCAAAGAGTAAAATAATCATACATAAATATGGACATGTAAATGTTAATTTATGAATTGATCACTATTTATGACGTCACGCTGAAATACATGGCTGTGATAAATATTATTTACCTAGGTCTTGTGTGAAATTGTCCAAACAATACCGGCATATTTGTAGGATCTGCGATTCTAATCCCAAAGTCACCAAAAGTAGTAGTTTTGTACACATTCAAGGACTCTGTCCTGAGATTACATGCAGTATTGAGGTTTGGTATTGCAAGTATCAGTGGACGATGACATGTGGTCGATGTTTTTGACTTCCAGGTAATGCTGTGCTTCAATAAGACGGTCTTCCGAGCCAACAGGACCACCAAGTTGGACTCCGTCAACTTCGACGCCTTCATTTCCCCCAACATGTCCCCCCTAGCGACAGTCGACGTGGTTGAAGGCACACTGGACGTGAACATCTCGGGTAGGTTTCTTCAAAACTGGAAACGGTTTCTTCAGAAGAGAGCCATCGTTAAGAGTTAACATTTAAGTAATATCCACAATATCTCAGTGGGGTAGCATAGTGGTTAAAACGTTCGCTCGTCACACCGAAGACCCGGGTTCGATTCCCCACACGGGTACAATGTGTGAACCTCATTTCTGGTGTCCTCGCCGTGATATTGCTGGAATATTGCTAGAAGCTGCGTAAAACAACTCACTCGCTCACTCAGGATTCGCAATCTTAATTTCACTTTATTCGATTTACCTTTTTGTTTAAAGTGAAATTCACCGGTACGTTTTCACTACAGACTATAGACAATGTATCAGTTTCCCACTAGGGTCTACCCCCATTGGCGAAACCCAGAAAGGAAACAAACCCTCTTTTAATCTGTAACCCTCCCCTCTAACCTCTTACCGATAAGGTGAACAGCTTTTGACACCTTGATTTCCTATTTCAAGAGTTTCGTTATGATACATCGTACAGTCAACTTGCTAAATCTGTGTTGAGTGCTGGTGTTACTGATCTGTGCCCTACTGGAAGAAGTCATTATTATATTCCCACCACCACTCACTTGCTTCCCACCGCGACGAGCCAGCAACTGCCATCTTCCTACTCCCTTGCAGTGAAGGAGAACCTGGTGAGACGGAACCCAGTCACCGAAGACCTGGATGTTCTACCGGTGTGCGACAAGGCTGACGTCGGTATGCTGTTGTTGTATCCGGGGATGTCTGCAGATATGGTCAGTGTGTCAGAATATGCGAAAGTATAACAGCCCAGTTTCACCAAGGGGTTCGAACCCAATCTTCAAAATGGCCGACACAGAAACTGTTTCCAACATTCTTTTTTTTGTCGACCATTACTCATTTATTTTGTGTTCAAAATCTGCTGTTGTGATCTCAGTTTTTGACCAGTCAACCTGTTTTTAACTGTCAACGTCCTCCTTGGAGGTAGGTTAAATTAGCAACTGCTAAAAAGAGCCAAAAGCAATTTACAAATACTATAGGTGGGGAAAGGGAGAATTCTTTATTTATTTTTTTTTGTATTTGTCTTTTCATCCCTGCTAAACATTTCAGTATCTCTACTGGCTACTGGTACCTTAAGATCTTATGGCGGTAACCTCGAGTGATGTTGAAGTACCGTAAAATTGTCCTCAGAGGATATGTACATCCAAAACATTCGAAGTAAATGTTGATCTACTACATTATAAATCGTAGCATTACTGTCATTTTATTTGTTGCTAAATTTGCCTACAAACGCCACGGCTGAAGGGATGGTATAAATCGAGCTAAGGTCCATGCAGGTAGCAAAGGTACTGTAAGTCCCCATGGCCCCTCGTATGGTGATCTACCCTCAGTTGTTCGCGATCTATAGCCTGTGTTTTTATATTGTGCATGTCCAAATACTGCTATTAGTTTTAACTTTACATGCTAGTTTAATTCTAACTGTGATAATTTAGTAACTTTACTGTTCTTTGACAGGTGTTATATTATGCACATATTCTTTACCAACGCCGGGTTCGATTCCCCACATGGGCACAATGTGTTAAGCCCATTTCTGGTGTCCCCCGCCGTGATATTGCTGGAATATTGCTAAAAGCGGCGTAAAACTAAACTCAGTCAGTCAGTCAGTCTTTACCAACGTCAAACTTTGTTCTCGTTACAATTTCTAAAAACTTGCCGATGTGATGTTAAAGATTGACTTACTCACTCTTTCTTGACAGACTGAAAGCTAAACTTTGACATGTAATTTTCAGTTACGTTCAGATCTTCAGGAGCTAAGTAGACGCGAGTACATAAATGTCAATGCTGGCAGTAGGTTTTGTTACGTGGGTGTCGTCTGCGTATCAAGAGTGAACAACAGTTCCGGGGAAATGTTTTGTAGGTGATGTGTTTTGCTCGAGATTTCAAAGGCGTGGTCCTACTTTCCCATGGGGCAGGGAACATGAGCGATGAAGTGATGGGTGCCCTCGAGAAACTCGTGAAAGGTGGAGATCGTATATTCGTTAACATTACAAGCTGTCTGAGAGGAGGTGTGGCGACAAATACATCACTGAAGGTAAAGTTTCCCTTTCCCTGACAACTGATTTAAGTAAACTATATAATGTACAGGCTGTCCAACAAGGATGTTATCTTTCTGGTGATATTAGCTAAATGTTTTTCATAATCGATTGTATAGAAATTAATCATCACGAACATAATGATATCATGGTGGGAACGTGGTTATTAACTCTTCCCGATGTCGCTCATCAACACGACGCCCTCTACATCCGCTACATCAAGAAACGCCTAAATACGACATCCTCTACATCAAGAAACGCCTAAATACGACATCCTCTACATCAAGACACGCCTAAATACGACATCCTCTACATCAAGACACGCCTAAATACGACATCCTCTACATCAAGATACACCTAAATACGACATCCTCTACATCAAGACACGCCTAAATACGACATCCTCTACATCAAGACACGCCTAAATACGACATCCTCTACATCAAGACGACATCCTCTACATCAAGCCATAAATACGACATCCTCTACATCAAGACACGCCTAAATACGACATCCTCTACATCAAGATACACCTAAATACGACATCCTCTACATCAAGATACGTCTAAATACGACATCCTCTACATCAAGATACGTCTAAATACGACATCCTCTACATCAAGATACGCCTAAATACGACATCCTACTACACGATACCTAAATACGAGACCTCTACATCAAGATACTAAATACGACATCCTCTACATCAAGACACGCCTAAATACGACATCCTCTACATCAACTACATCAAGACAAATCCATCCTCTAAATCAAGATACGAAATACGACATCCTCTACATCAAGATACGTCTAAATACGACATCCTCTACATCAAGATACGTCTAAATACGACATCCTCTACATCAAGACACGCCTAAATACGACATCCTCTACATCAAGATACGTCTAAATACGACATCCTCTACATCAAAGTAACTTTGCAGGATCTGGTCCAGAGTGGACTTGTTCTCGGCATGGACATGACGCCCCAAGCTGCTTTCACCAAACTCAGCTACGTACTGGCGACAAACCTGAGTATCGAGAAAAAGAAAAAGGTTTGAGAGGAATACTGCTTTTATTAGGTTTTCAGTCTTATTTCAACGTGTATCCCTTAAACCAAACTGACTTTCTACAAGTCCAATGTAGGAAACCAGCAGGTGTATAAATATTGTTCGAGTGAGTTAAGTTTTGTCACTCAGCAATATCCCAGCTATATGGCGGCGGTCTGTAAATATTCGTGTCTTGACCAGACAATCCAATGATTAACAGCATGAACATCGATCTACACATTTGGGAACGGATGACATGTGTCAACCAAGTCAGCCTGATCCCAAGTCAGTCTGACCACTCGATCCCGTTAGTCGCCTCTTACGACAAGCATGGGTTACTGAAGATCAATCATTCTAGCCCGGATCTGAACGGGTCAAATATTGTTTGACATGAAGGGTATGTCACCACTGAAAAGTTTACGTCATTCCTTTCAGCTAGTTCAGAACGTTTCCAGTTCAGACATTTTCTAGTTTCTAGTTCAGATCAGTAGAAGGTAATTGGCTTTTTGGTGATACAGATCAAAATCAGATCACTTATCAACAAAAAATAAACCAAGCTAAAGGAAAAAGATTAGTATATGCGGGGCTATATTTGGAGTGCCTACTACCGGCCTAAATGTCTTAGCCCCACTTTTGCATAGATGCTGTCAATTAGAAAATTTCTCCATGAAGTTCGGATTGTATATGCCATTTTTGGATAAATTGTCTGAAATTTGGAGAAAAGAATTGAAACCTATATTTATTAACGAATGAAGGGGCAGGGGATGGGGCAAGGGCTGGGCAAGGGCGCAGGGGCAAGGGCAGGGGCAAGGATGGGGCAAGGGGGCGGGTCGGGGCCAGAGAGGGGCAGGGGCAGGGGATGGGGCAAGGGCGGGTCGAGGCCAGGGGGGCAGGGGCAGGGGGGGCAGGGTCAATGGCAGGGTCAGGGGCAGGGGATGGGGCAAGGGCGGGTCGAGGCCAGGGACAGGTGCAGGGGCAATGGCAGGGGCAGGGGCAGGGGCAGGGGCAGGGGGGGCAGGGCAAGGACGGGACAGGGGGGGCAAGGACGGGACAGGGGGCAAGGACGGGGCAGGGGGGCAAGGACGGGTCGAGGCCAGGGGCAAGGGCAGGGTCAATGGCAGGGTCAGGGGTAAGGGCGGGGTAGGGGTCAAAGACGGGGCAGGCTAGGGGCAATGGCAGGGTCCAGGACAGGGGCAGGACATGCTGACCATTAGCGTCAATGCTTCTCAAAAAATCTATTTCTGTGACCGCCACCACATTTGAGACCAATCTATTTTGGCGATAATCAAGACTGACTTTGACGCTGCCGTTTTCCATTCCTTTCTGCCTTTACAGTTGCTGCTGCAGAATCTTAGAGGCGAAATCACGGTGAAGACATCTGATTCTGAAGAGAAAAAACGATAAACAAGAGTTTGAAGTGGGTGTAAGATTAGAATGGAGTAAACATATGCTCAACCAACAGTACTTGACTACTTTTGTAAACCTTAACTTAAAGGCATCTGTATATACTTATGGCTCATGATCTATTTGCGTCTCATGATCCCCTACTTCCGTCTCATGATCCCTACTTCCGTCTCATCATCCCCTACTTCCGTCTCATCATCCCCTACTTGCGTCTCATCATCCCCTACTTGCGTCTCATCATCCCCTACTTGCGTTTTATGATCCCCTACTTCCGTCTCGTGATCCCTACTTCTGTCTCATGATCCCCTACTTCCGTCTCATGATCCCCTACTTCGTCTCATGATCCCCTACTTCGTCTCATGATCCCGTACTTCCTTGTCACGATCCCCTACTTGATACCTCATGATACCCTACTTCTGTCTCATGATCCCTACTTCCGTTTCATGATCCCCTACTTCCGTTTCATGATCCCCTACTTCCGTCTCATGATCCCCTACTTCCGTCTCATGATCCCCTACTTCCGTCTCATGATCCCCTACTTGCGTCTCATGATTCCCTACTTCCGTCTCATGATCCCCTACTTGCGTCTCATGATCCCCTACTTGCGTCTCATGATCCCCTACTTGCGTCTCATGATCCCTACTTGCGTCTCATGATCCCCTACTTCCGTCTCGTGATCCCTACTTGCGTCTCGATATCCCTACTTCTGTCTCGTGATCCCTACTTCCGTCTCATGATCCCCTACTTCCGTCTCATGATCCCCTACTGCCGTCTCATGTTCCCCTACTTCCGTCTCATGATCCCTACTTGCGTCTCATGATCCCCTACTTCCGGCTCGTGATCCCTTACTTATGGCTCGGGATCCCCTACTTATGGCTCGTGATCCCCTACTTGCGTCTCGTGATCCCCTACTTGCGTCTCGTGATCACCTACTTGCGTCTCGTGATCCCGTGCTTGTGTCTCGTGATCCCCTACTTACGTCTCAGACTTTAACGTTTCAGGTGGTGTGTCAGATTAGTTATAACCATGAGGAAAGCTCGGGTGTGCCTTATCTTGTGAAGAATATCTGCATCTACAACCTGTCTGGTTTTCTTTCATGAAGGTTGACTTGTGCTATCATACTCACTTATGATTAATGAAATGGGTTTGACGCTTCAATTATGTTCTGCTACATCGTGATGTAACCGACATACTGTCATGGTCGGGGTCACCCATTAACATCCGGGTTTCAGCAACCAATGCTTGTAATAGAAGGCGTCATACAGTTTCCAGGCTCCTTGGCTGATGCGTGTTATCATATCCGAGTTCCGTTGATCCGGACTCGAATATTTACAGCTGATTTGAAGCTAGACTGTTGCCGAGTGGTGTAATTCAATAACAAGGTAATTGAATGAAGAACACATAAAATGACTGTCTTTTGTTATCCTAGACACGGAATGAAACAAGAAAATAAACGCAACGTCTGTTATCTGTTTACCTGGATATCAAGGTAAATACGTCTAATGACTGAAAGACACACACCGATCCATTTACTGGAGCCTCGCTGGTTCGTGCTCCCGTCGTGTTCACAATGAGGTCAGAACGCCAGTCACTGTGACTATGATTAATATATACACTCAATCCTGTTGCAAAAAGTAGGCTGCACATAATTCAGAAATCGCCTCCATGGTGTAAAACCTGTCAAGCAGGATGTGAGACTGCAGGACAAGCAGTGTTACTGTGGTATGGAGATGTGAAGTAACCAACACAGTATAAATCGCATTAAATGTAACAGTTTAAGTTATATTATGCTATGCCAAAACCGGGACATTAAGGTTTATAGATTTTTAGCATAATACAGACGATGTTGCCGTAATTTCTCATGTGTTTTTTAAACCACCAAGAACGATCATTCGATGCCAGTGAGATCCTGAACCTTCCGCCAAGCTGTCAGAAACACCTGGACCTATGAAGTGGTTATGTTGAGAAATCAGCAAAGTCAGTCAGTCTTACATAGAATTCTTCAATCACCCTTCAAAATGCGTATTAACTCAACATTATCTCCTACTATACAGGGGCGGTGGGGTAGCCTAATGGTTAAAGCGTTGGCTCGTCACGCCGAAGGCCCGGGTTCGAATCCCCACATGGGTACAATGTATGAAGCCCATTTCTGGTGTCCCCCGCCGTGATGTTGCTGGAATATTGCTAAAAGCGGCGTAAAACCAAACTCAGTCAGTCCTACTATACCCTACATTCTCGTCACCCTTGATTCGATTGACACATGTCAACCAATCCCAAATGCGTAGATCAATGCTCATTGCCGATCACTAGATTGTCTGGTCGATTATTTAGACTGCCGCCCTCTAGCTGGAATATTGGTGAGTGCGGCGTGAAACAACAACCAAAACAATGTACGTTACCATGGAAATATTACTCCAGCCACTATCATTGCACATGACGTCAATAAGGAGTATCGAATATAGGTTGTAATAACACGCTGAAGAATCAGGTTTACTATCATTGCACATGATGTCAATAAGGAGTATCGAATATAGGTTGTAATAACACGCTGAAGAATAAGGTTTACTATCTTTGCACATGACGTCAATAAGGAGTATCGAATATAGGTTGTAATAACACGCTGAAGAATAAGGTTTATTATCATTGCACATGACGTCAATAAGGAGTATCGAATATAGGTTATAATAACACGCTGAAGAATAAGGTTTACTATCATTGCACATGACGTCAATAAGGAGTATCGAATATAGGTTGTAATAACACGCTGAAGAATAAGGTTTACTATCATTGCACATGACGTCAATAAGGAGTATCGAATATAGGTTGTAATAACACGCTGAAGAATAAGGTTTACTATCTTTGCACATGACGTCAATAAGGAGTATTGAATATAGGTTGTAATAACACGTTGTAATAACACGCTGAAGAATAAGGTTTACTATCATTGCACATGACGTCAATAAGGATTGTATCGAATATAGGTTGTAATAACACGCTGAAGAATAAGGTTTACTATCATTGCACATGACGTCAATAAGGAGTATCGAATATAGGTTGTAATAACACGCTGAAGAATAAGGTTTATATCATTGCACATGACGTCAATAAGGAGTATCGAATATAGGTTGTAATAACACGCTGAAGAATCAGGTTTACTATCATTGCACATGACGTCAATAAGGAATATAGGTTGTATCGAATCATAAGGAGGTTAGTTTACTAATAACACGCTGAAGAATAAGATTTTACTATCATTGCACATGACGTCAATAAGGAGTATCGAATATAGGTTGTAATAACACGCTGAAGAATAAGGTTTACTATCATTGCACATGACGTCAATAAGGAGTATCGAATATAGGTTGTAATAACACGCTGAAGAATAAGGTTTACTATCATTGCACATGACGTCAATAAGGAGTATCGAATATAGGTTGTAATAACACGCTGAAGAATAAGGTTTACTATCATTGCACATGACGTCAATAAGGAGTATCGAATATAGGTTGTAATAACACGCTGAAGAATGAAGTTTACATGTGCTCTTTGATATCCCGGTTTTCAAGTAACTTCCTCCTTTGCCTGATATCCTTGTCTACCCGTGAAGATCCGGGTTAGAATGAACCTTCAGCAACCCATGCTTGTAAGAGGTGAGTAACGGGATCGGGTGGTCTGGCTTGGTTGACACGTCATCGGTTCCCCAGATCGATGCTCATGATGCTGATCACTGGATTGTCTGGTCCAGACTCGATTATTTACAGACCGCCGCCATATATAGCTGGAATATTGCTGAGTGCGGGGTAAAACTAAACTCACTCACTCACCGATATCCTTGTTTGTGAACACTCCATACAAATCTGACCCAGATTTACGCATTTCATCGACGGAATAATTTCTTTCAAAGCGTATTGAGGCTCCTGTACGCCCCGTTGAGCTATGGTCCGCTTTGAATGAATATACCTCGTAACACTGAGGTGTTTTAGTCTGCTTTGGAACACGTTGTTAGTTTTTAGCTCTAAACCCGTGGTTTCTTATGTAGAAAATTAAACATGACATTTTATATGCGTGTATCTTGAAGAATGTGACCTATTGATAAAGTAAACGAAAGCGATTCGGTCGGATGAATATTCGTATTTACTGATGTCAAGAGTGAGTGAGTTTAGTTCAGTCAATTATTTACCGCCCGCCGCCATATAGCTGGAATCTTTCTGAGTGCGGCATTAAACAACAAAGCAACCAACCAACCAACCAACCAACCAAACAACCAACCAACCAACCAACCAACCTGTTTTTCTCTTACTGTCCTGAACCGCCTCCGTGGTGTAGTGGTTAGAGCGTCCGCCTGGAGAGCGGAAGGTCGCGTGTTCGTTCCCCGACCGCGTCATACCAAAAGACGTTAAAATATGGTACTTGTTGGTCCCTGCCTGGCGCTCGGCATTAAATGGATACAACAAGGACTGGTCGGCTCGGAGTCATTATAATGTGTCTGAGTGGGGTATTCATGCTTCACTGCGGCATGGTATCTCAGTGGGCTAGCACTATAAAACCAGCTTCAGTCTGGGCTAGTTCAAGCAGCCGCGCATACACATACACACACATGCACGTCGTCATATGAGCGAAATATTCTCAAGCACGACGTTAAACCCAATTTCACCTCACCTCACCTGCCTTACTGTCCTGTTTTGTAACTTCGGATGAGGTTCATTTCTCAGCGACAATCTTTCCAGTTTGACAGACGTTCATAGACGTTCAGTGACGTCGGTATGCTGCCTGTTGCTTTTCTATCACTTTGGCAATCACTTGTCGCATGATGGCTGGTTTTTCATGATAAAATAAATAAAACTTACTGTTAATCTTCTGTCACATTCCTGAAAATATTTCGAAAAAATTGGATTTGGTTAGGGGGTTAATGGCACAGTAACAGGAAGCTACAAAGTTACTACCAAATCCACATTAGAAAATCTGCCTCAGAATTACTTTAAACGTCCAAAGCATGTGTGATTTGAAATGAGACGATATGAAATTTCTTTTGAATTGTCAGTGTGGTCAAATTATTTCTCTGTGGCCCACACATCCTGGTTCCACATGAACTCAAAGTATGAAACGACCTTATTTATCAGTGTATTGTGTTTCAATATGTCCTGGTTTGAGACATCAGCATGGGTAAGTGAAGGTGTGCTACGCATGAATCAGAGGAATACCTTCCTGGTTCTTCTTTCACACGTTCCCGTTGACCGTCTACTGAAATCCGGGAACACTAGTGCCGTTGTGACTACATATACGCGGTCTTTGTGTGCTCGGGTGTAATGATCCAAGCAAACTAGGTGAAGCGAGAGTTACCGAATATTCTGGGCATATTGATTGAACTCACAAAAGAGATTAGTTTTGTATTGCGAAAACTATTCAGTTCTTGTCGAAACCGGTTCAATGACAAGCTTGGCGCATCTCATTTCACGGATTCAACTGGTTTGGAGTGTCGGTGGTATATATGATGGTTGATTCTTGGTGGACGTGTATTCTGACTCTACTGGCTACTGTCAGTCCGGTGGCCCTGCAAAGTAAGTGACACTTGTATACAGTATTTTGTGTATAATCTATCCTTGTTATACCGCCAACATTTGTACAGAAAAGTGATTCTGCTCGTTCACAACCAACCCGTACATGAATGCATGTACATTCAATAGAACTATGTACAGTGTAGAGAGATACATGTGGAATAGAAAAGAATATACCCTTCATAATATTGATACATTGAATCGGAATAGCAATATATGTTAATACAGATATAATTTGTACAATAATCTTTTAATACTCCAATGACTTTATGTCAGAAACAATAATGTGAAACAAAGTAAAACAGTGTACAGCGGCGCCATGTCTGGTTCCCTCTCTCCGAAGCTCAGAACTTTGTGAATGGCTGTTCTTGGCTCGGATTAACACTGACAGAAACGTACTAAATTGTTAGTTAAAAACGAAAGCTTCATATATGGAACATAGTTTTCACGCGTAAGACAAATATACCGCGGTGTGTGTTTCATTGCTAGCATATAGATGTCGACATACTCACTCAATACACTGTCCTATATGTCCGCCATGTTGTGTTTTCGTAGACGAAAGGTTCAACAGAAACTATTGAGCTACTGCTTATTCGCCTTATGAATTTGCTTCAGACTACAACACAAAACAGGCATTTCATCATTTGGAAACCCTTTCACATATCGTGTTTCCCTTTCACATATCGTGTTTCCCTTTCACGTCTTATGACATTGCAAGAGGTTATACATTCAAAAGGAATCCTGAATATCATTGATGAGGTCACTATGCTGCATAAGTGAAATATCCACCACACTGTGATTCAGCAGCTTTTTACCCCAAACCTTCAGCGAACAATGATGAACTGTTATGCTTTCTATGTATATTTCTATGCTATGTAGTGTAAACAAGCCTGTATATGTCGACAGAAGCAAATGTGGCGAGCAATCTATCAACGTTGATGTGATGAAGCTGTAAGACGTTGTGGGTGTTATTGAATATTCAGGTGTTAGGAAACATGAATAACCGTGTGATCGTGGTCTTAGACACAGGGGACATTTGCCCAGTGCATATTTTATTGAGTAATCTCTGTCTAGTAGACTGTTCCATAAGAATAGACACACATCTTGCTAGAAAACTTGTAGTCTCAAATGTGATAAAATACTATGTGCACTATTCTTGAACGTATCACATTACTTCCTGAAATAAACATGACGCGTGGCATTAACAGCCATTTCTTATTGATGTTTTCTGAAACCGATATTGTGGGAGTGGTATTTCACTTTGTGAAAATATATGTAGTAGTGAATTGGTTCACACACAAAACGGCTTTTAAATAATATCAGAATTGCGTTAGAAAGTGAATCACAACTGTGACTATGTTTTCTACCCACCAGCTGATGGGGGCTTTTCCCAGTGGTCGACGTGGACTCTTCCGTCATGCGCAGTAACGTGCGGCGCATTAGCCACGGCCAAGGTGCAGAGAACTCGTGCCTGCAACAACCCTCCTCCCAGCAATGGCGGATCGAATTGCATAGGACCTTTTGCTGAGACAGCAGTTGTAAATTGCAACCTTTTAGACTGTCCAGGTGAGACGAAAATTTGTATTGAATAAATAGTCCTGTCAAAGTAATAAAACGATAATCACGTGACTGGCAGTACGTATTTTTGTGTAATTCCTTTTTTTGTTCCTATTCATGTGTTCACCCATCCTCCACGCGTAGTATCATCAGTTGTCTGTATCAGGTTTGATATAGGTCGCCGTGGTAAGACAGGAGTATTTGTGACAGAAAAATACAATATATTATTGTTGACGTGTACATTGTGTGAATGGCAAATACTACTGAAATATCAAAGCATGAGCACTGTTCTCGGGAACACCAGGTGTTCATTCATTCATATTAATTCCATCACTACATGGCTTTCACTCTAAATGGAATCTGGATAAAAATACAATCTATCGTTTACGGTAACAATTTCTGCCTTAGTTTGCGTTCCTGTCAACGGAGGCTTCTCCCAGTGGACGCGTTGGACGAATCCGTCATGTCCAGTAACTTGTGGGTCATCAGCCACGAGGAGAGTACAGAAAACCAGACGATGTGACAGCCCGCTTCCCAACAAATGTGGACTTTATTGCATTGGGGTTGCATATAGATATGAGGACAGAAATTGTCAGCTTCCAGATTGTCAAGGTGATTATATACTCATGCCAATAATGGTTGTCACCCCCTTCAATTTTTTTAATTGGAGAGGGGTGTGTGAGGTGTGTGGGGGTTGGGGTGGGGAGAGGGGTGACAACCATTATTGGCATGAGTATATATATATGCATGTATATGTTGTATGGATATGCGTGTGTGTGTGAGAGAGAGAATGAAATAAAAGACTAAGTCTTACATAATCATAAAATATACCTTCTGAAAGCAGAAACCACACAAACTACAAAGCTAACTACAAAAACATCACAAAAGGGGGTAAGTAATGATAACATTTACAGATGACGTTGGGTTCAGTGAGTGGGGAGAATGGACCAGTCCAACCTGTGATGTCACATGTGGAGCATCGGCCACCAAGTCCATCACTAGAGAAAGGACTTGCATGTATCCCAGTCCACAGAACGACAGTGGAAACTGCACTGGGCCGTTTGAACAGACTGCAACTTTGAACTGCAACTTAATTGACTGCGCAGGTAGGTTGGGGCGTCATCACAAATACCAACTTGTTAAACAATCAAGCATGTATTCTTTGACAAACCAGATGCACACAAATGTTGTAGATATTAATCATCAAGGTTGCATAAAATTTCGATTCATGTATGGTCGGACAGGGGTTCTAGGTGAACACACACATTAAGGCAGAAATACATGCTCCACATCCCTTCTGTAAAAAGTACAATCGTAGCTATACACAAACACATGTGAAACATTAACAACACGTGTTCTCGAAAACCAGTTCATATCCTTCACAGAGACTCGGTATAACACTTCATGTTATCTCTTCATGCAGAGCGCCAGGTTAACGACTAGTACCATCTTTTATTGCCCTATTGGTATATCGCCGCCGGAATCGAACCTCTACAGGCAGTCCAGAATAACAAAATGGACACTTGAAAGTCTATTGAAAGTTTAATATCTGTTCCGTTCTGTTAATATTATTTGTGCAAACTCATGTTTCTATGTCAGTGTGCGTGCGCGCGCGAGTGTGTGTGTACATATGATACATACACCACGTGTCTCCTTCTACCAGTGAACGGCGGTATATCAAAATGGGGGCAAAGCTTGTTGTCCAGGTGAGACTGAAGAGAAAGACTGTTGCCAAGGTGAAGACAGAAACAAAAGATTGTTGTCTCGGTCAGAATGAAACAAAAGCTTGTTGTCCAGGTGAGACTGAACAGAAGATTGTTGTCCAGGTGAGACTGAACAAAAGATTGCTGTCCAGGTGTGACTGAAGCGATAACTTGTTGTCCAGGTGAGACTGAAACAAAAGATTGTTGTCAAGGTGAGACTGAAGCGATAGCTTGTTGTCCAGGTGAGACTGAAACAAAAGATTGTTGTCCAGGTGAGACTGAAGCGATAGCTTGTTGTCCAGGTGAGACTGAAACAAAAGACTGTTGTCCAGGTGAGACTGAAACAATAAACAAAAGATTGCTTGTTGTCCAGGTGAGACTGAAACAAAAGATTGTTGTCCAGGTGAGACTGAAGCGATAGCTTGTTGTCCAGGTGAGACTGAAACAAAAGACTGTTGTCCAGGTGAGACTGAAACAAAAGATTGTTGTCCAGGTGAGACTGAAGCGACAGCTTGTTGTCCAGGTGAGACTGAAACAAAAGATTGTTGTCCAGGTGAGACTGAAGCGATAGCTTGTTGTCCAGGTGAGACTGAAACAAAAGACTGTTGTCCAGGTGAGACTGAAACAAAAGATTGTTGTCCAGGTGAGACTGAAGCGATAGCTTGTTGTCCAGGTGAGACTGAAACAAAAGATTGTTGTCCAGGTGAGACTGAAGCGATAGCTTGTTGTCCAGGTGAGACACAGGTTGTTTTCTAGGTCAGACTGTAACAAAGGTTTGTTGTCCAGGTGAGACTGAAGCAAAAGACTGTTGTCTAGTGTACATGTAGCCACTTACTTCAGGCAACTGTTCTAAACTTTGTTTTGCAAAATATTCCATACTGTTTAAAGGTGCTGTTTATACATGAACTGATGTACTGTAAAACAAATTCATAACGTTGAAAAGGTTATTGTCATGCGTTCAATAAATGATGAAACTCGGATAAAAATGGAGAATTCTAATAACTCTTTACACCAGAACGCAGCTGTTCACATGCACGATATTTGCATATATTTTTGAGCAGTTTGATGCATGATCCTCGTGCAATTAACCTGCATAAGGTTTGCAGATGTTTCCCCCAAGTTAGTGGAGAAATTCATCTTCGTTGTAATCATATATACATACATAGCATATAGTGAATGTATTAAGTGAGTCTAAACTTTTGATGGGTAGGATAGTACTGGAGAAGTAAATGTGAGACAGGCACAAAATCTAACACAGCAGAGTGCTCCCAAAGTAGGTCTGACATAATGGAGTGTTGACAAGGAAAGTCCGAGATGGGAAAATACGGATTGTCCCGGGTTCTGACAGACGCTGATTTCATTTTAATGACATACCAGTTGCTTGTATTCCACAGACATAGGAAACATTTGTGAATGCACATTGGAATTTTAAATATAGATGTTCACGTCTCAGAGAAACAGCACTTTTCACACATATCACCAGTTATAATAAGAAATAGTGGTCATAAAAAGAGATTGGATACTAAAGCCGGTCAGCTATGCTTTGATGCATGAAGACTACTGAGTTTCAAATCACAATAGTGTAGACTGACTCTTACAGGTGAATTTCAATTTCTGTTGAATGATTACACTTCAGTAAAATACAATATTCAGTATTAAAATATGTTCAAACTTAATTGTTCAGCAATGGCTTAACTTCATGACACTATATCTGATGTTGGGACAGATTCATCGTCGTCCACGTGGAAGCTGGTTGTTGGTATTTCTGTCGGAATAGCTGCTCTCCTGGGTCTTATAGTCATCATGGTATGTGTCGGCAGGCGACGAAACTGGCCACAGAAGGTACAAAAGGTGGGTTGAAGAATCGCTATATGATTGAAAACTGGGTAATTGTGTTTGGGGTATGACCTACACACATCGTCCAAAACTATTTTCGCAGGGTTTGGTTGATTTAATCATACATTTATGTGTCAATTTACAGGGTGTATATTCTTTCAAGAAAAAGCCTTTCGTCCCTGACAGACTCGAGTTGATTGCTTTACTTGGCGAGGGGAAGTTTGGTGAGGTGTGGAAGGCTCGAGCTCTCAATGTCCTCTCAAGTGGACAGTGGGACTTCGTGGCTGTGAAGAAGTGCAAAGGTATGGCCGCTCTCAAATGGAGATATATGGCATGATATAGTGTGAGTGTTTGTGTTGTGATCGGTTTCTGCTCTTGATGGTTGTGTACAGGGTACTCTTTTTGGAGGGAATGGAACTGTGCATATTCTGTCATTTGAGACATGAAATCACTCCATGACAACCTCACAATAGAACAAGAGTTTAACAAGGAAGCAATTGCATTGTTCTTTTGGGAATGGTTATACATGGAAGTATTATAACGGTTTTAGTTAATTTGTGAAGCCGTCAAGACACTCAGACAGGTTAGAGGTTTAGGGTAACTGACGGGATCGGGTGGTCGATGACTTGGTTGATCTGCCCAGATTGATGCTCACGATAGGGGGTGTGGGTGGTGTTAAAGAACAACAAAAAAAAAATATTATGTGTGTATTCAAACCTCCGAAGACGTTCCATTTTGTAAGAGTATTCAACACGGGGGTTGGCTGTTGTCCCAGGCGATGCTACCCAGTTCATATAGTTGAGATACACACCGTTTTGATCCTGATGATATGTGAAATGTATGGTTTTCTGTTAAATTTGCTCAGCGCAAAGTTCGTCTTAAATTATCTGTGTTCGGAAATAGAAAGGACAAAATCCCTTCCACATCTGGTGTTTTGATGTTTGGTTTCCATTGGTTACAGGCAATGCCACAGAGGCAGTACGACAAGACTTCAAACATGAAATTGAACTCATGAAGTCGTTACCGAAGCATCCACATGTTGTGAACTATCTCAGTTCTTCTACCAAAGCAGGTTCGAAACTTTACGTAACGCCATATCTGACATTTACAAAACAACTACATGTATAATGGAAAAAGATTTTCTAAAATTCATAATGTCTAAATTTGTTCACTGCGGCAAACTTTGATGTCAAAATGTTTATAATTTGTCTTTAACATATTGTGAAATAAGGTTCTAACTGGGCGTTTTTCGACAAAGGATATATGTCCTGAAAATCAGCTTGATCATTCACTTAACGTGTTTCACAGGTTCTGATATGCTGTTACTGGAGCTTGCTCCACTGGGCAATCTGCTCAACCTTTTACGCTCAAGACGCCCGAAACCGGGTGCTGGAAGTCTGCCAAGGTCACCAAGTCCAAGTGCCGAGACACAGGAACTGACATCTGAACAACTAACAATGTTCGCGCACCAGGTCGCTAGAGGAATGAAACACCTGCAGTATAACAGAGTGAGATCTTATACTTGAAGTAAAAAAATATAAATAAATAAATTAATGATCAATATTATGGATCAATGCAATTGATACATCAAAGAAGCTATCGCTGTCGCCATGTCCTTTGTTTGCTTATCGTGACTTCAACATTAGTACAAGATGTGAGAACTGTGATATGTTTGGGTTATCGGACTTCAACATTAGTACAAGAAGAACTGTCATATGTATTTTTTCAACGTGGTTTCATTAAAAACTAATTAGGGAAACTGTACAGGAGATGTGCCTTCAATGAGATGGGCGGTTTTAGGTTTCCGGATCTGTGCAGGCTAACAGTTGACCAGGCTTTGCATGTATTTAGGACGGCACCTGTGGGGCAGGAAACGCTCACCTTTTCGGCAAAACCTGGTATTGTCACTATTTTGATAGTGATTCATAAACGCATGTTCATGGTAAATTCGAAATCGTACAATCGGCTCTTTAATCAAAGACTTCTTATGGACCAGGTTCGGTCGCGTACCAGGTTTGGTTGCGTTTTTTTAAGTAAGAAACGTATGCCAAATATGACCAATTATGACTCGAAGATTGGGGAGGGTTGCTCAAGGTAGGAGATTCATGTATGGCATATATCTTACAGATCATTCACCGTGACCTGGCAGCCAGAAACGTGCTTCTTGGTGAGAATTTGGTCTGTAAAGTATCCGACTTTGGCTTGGCCAGACAACTCTCAGACACAAACGAAGATGCATACGAAACAAAATCTGAAGTAAGGAATGTCTCATTGTGTTTTTCACAACAGTCACCGTGGTTGAGATGCTAGTACTCAATAAGTACTTTTCATTGCTCACTGGTTCGCCTGCATTACGTCTTTCAAAGAGGGCTCGAAAGATCAGATATCGCCATTCCTAAATTAATGTTCTTATATTCAGATGATGTGAAACACTTGTTCAAAGACGCCAGGTGCCATCACCGATGATCAAATAATTTTCTTCACTATTTTCGTTTCAACGCCTTATGGAAACTTGGACAGATAATCAAGACTGGTATTAAGGCGTTTCGACTGTGTTCTTAGCAGAGATTTCTTATGGATGTGGAAAGTTTTTTGTCGTTTCTACTGACATTTGGAACTCAATGTAGGTCAATTGTAAGGGGTGAACTGACCAGGGTGAGATGGTCACAGTGGAATCTAATTCCTGCCATGTTCTGTCTTGTACCACAGGGTCCGCTTCCTATCCGGTGGATGGCTCCAGAATCTCTCAAAGACAGATTGTTTTCTACCAAGTCTGATGTGTGGTCCTTTGGCATCTTACTATGGGAGATCGTTACGCTAGGTAGGGTGAGAATTACACTTATCAGTGAAGAAGAGCAATGGTAACACAGATTGTTGCTTCGCTGTCATGCATAACACATTTCATAATGTGGTCCATTATCGCTGTACATGTATAATTTTCTATCGTCAAACTACCACTGTGCCATTTGTGAAGACTTGGCATCATTAGTGTTCGATGTGATTCATAAATGCATGGCGAAATATGGTTGGATTCGTACACTACAAGCATATCATAGATTACATGCCTCAAGAACATTATCAAATCATGTGTGCTTTTCGGTTTCAGAATTCTGATATCTTTGTCTAATCCTATACTTCTACAACTAAATGTATGTGTTAATTTGATGTTAAAAAAATTAAGGGATGTTGTGGATGTTAGTTTAAAACTCACATTCATCAAAGAAGTAATATGTAAGCTTCAACTGGACTATGTCATCTTTCAGGAGCAAGTCCCTACCCGGGGCAGTCTGCCAGGGACGTCATGAATTTCGTGACGACAGGAGGAAGGATGCCCAGGCCAGACCACTGTGCTCCGGAGTTGTAAGTAAATCCTATCTATAAACAGGCACTAGAGGTAATACCTTGCAGGTAACACTGGTGATGACACGCGACAATCTGGAGTAGAAGTGGTCTTAAGCAACCTTTGTTTGTCGTAAAAGGCGACTAACTGGATTGATGGGAGGGTTGTGTGTGTCAGGATCACTGACTTGGCTGATGCATCTCATTGTATCCTTATGTTCATGATGTCAATAACTGGATTGAGGGGAGGGGTGTTTTCAGGATCACTGACTTGGCTGATGCATCTCATTGTATCCTTATGTTCATGATGTCAATAACTGGATTGAGGGAGGGGGTGTTGTCAGGATCACTGACTTGGCTGATGCATCTCATTGTATCCTTATGTTCATGATGTCAATAACTGGATTGAGGGAGGGTTGTCAGGATCACTGACTTGGCTGATGCATCTCATTGTATCCTTATGTTCTTGATGTCAATAACTGGATTGAGGGAGGGGTTGTCAGGATCACTGACTTGGCTGATGCATCTCATTGTATCCTTATGTTCATGATGTCAATAACTGGATTGAGCGGAGGGGGTTGTCAGGATCACTGACTTGGTTGATGCATCTCAGTGTATCCTTATGTTCATGCTGTCAATAACTGGATTGAGGGGAGGGGGTTGTCAGGATCACTGACTTGGTTGATGCATCTCATTGTATCCTTATGTTCATGATGTCAATAACTGGATTGAGGGAGGGGTGTGTGTCAGGATCACTGACTTGGTTGATGCATCTCATTGTATCCTTATGTTCATGATGTCAATAACTGGATTGAGGGACGGGGGAGGGGGATGTCAATAACTTGATTGAGGAGGGTGTCAGGATCACTGACTTGGTTGATGCATCTCATTGTATCCTTATGTTCATGATGTCAATAACTGGATTGAGGGGAGGGGTGTGTGTGTCAGGATCACTGACTTGGTTGATGCATCTCATTGTATCCTTATGTTCATGATGTCAATAACTGGATTGTCTTGTCCAGGCTCAATATTCAACAAACCGTCGCCATGTACCTGCTGAGTGTGGCCGTAAAAACACACAAACAGACGGGCAACATGTTCTTACTAATCATAATTATAGTCAACAAATTGTCAACTCAGGTGGGATGCGAGTTTGTTCTTTACCCGTATCCAGCGATATTTAGCCTGTTTGACTATAACCTCAAAAAAATAATGATGTTATGGTCAGTGCGTCCCATGCCTGACTACCTGATCCGTCCAGTAGCCTGCTTCTAACCCGGAGTCTATTCTCTATGGCTACCCAATGTTGTAAGTACATGACGTTCTAGTCACAACTACAATGTAATACAGATCATGACACAGGAGATGTCGAGCGATACGACGCCTCCACCCTTCTTAGAACTATATAGTAATAAAATTGAAGTCAAATCTTAAACGTGAACGGATTTGAAAACCCCTTTAGATTCCACTCTCTACACAAATTCGATTAAATGTAGGATATGAGGTTGGTCTTGTTCTCGTTCTGCAGGTTCTCTCTGATGCCGAAGTGTTGGTGCCAGGATCCGGAGTCTAGACCGGACTTTGAGGTTCTGAGCAGTGAGCTGGACACCCTGTTGGAGGAGTCTGGCGACTACATCAAGCTGTCGGACTACCATAACCTGTATTTGATCTTACAGGGACAGTCTGGTAACCTAGAGGAGAAGGTCTGAGAATCAGCTGAGAACAATCTGGACGCTACTGTCAGACCTCTGGGGAGGAATATCTCGCTCCTGTACAAATAGCTCCTAACGTCTTCTCGCAATACATTATTCTCATGTTATTGTTTTGTTGGAATATCTAACACCCGTGATGTTGTTTGTTTGTTTTATTCATGAAAGTATCACAGCGTGTCATTTTTATAAACAGTCTGCAGTCTTCATTCCAGTACAATCTCAATATGTAGACTTGGTGGAGTGGGGTGAAAGTTAATTTTGCCCTTGAAAAAAACTATATTTGGACTTGTCATTTGGTTACACCCCATGCAGAACGTCTTTGAAACACTTCGCTTGTTCCATACTGACAATACCTAAGGAGAACATGTGTAACACCCCCAGGGGGATGGACTTGACACAACACAAGGCGCAACATCAAAGGATGTTAGCTTTATTTCTTGAGTATACTTGTGAGATAGGGCGAATACTTAGTACACAAGTTGCAGAGTCCGGCAGAGGCTACCAGGGGAAGGCGACGAGGTGAAGTTGACACTTGGGCAGCAGATGGCTGGATTGGCTGGTCAGTTCGTCCCTTCAAGTGCCTGGTTTGCCTCTTCTGCTGGTCTGTCCACGCCCTTTCCGCTGTCTGCCGTCTCTGCTTTACTTGCCTATCCCAATATCAAAATATTTACCATCTGTATATTGTCAAAACCTGATTATCATGAGTTGAAATTCCCATTATATACTAATAACGAAACACTTCTGAGCAAATTAGGTACATGTTTATACCATCCATACAAACTTAGACAATCAAAAGACTTGCCATTTCATTAGGATATATATCTTTGTACATATTCACCACGTACTATCCAGCGTATCTATTTATTGTTAACTCAAACTTTGTGATTGTATACATGTGTGAAATGTAAAATTTGTATATATGTTGTGAACGGGCCTGTGGCCTATAGACATTAAAAGACTTGACTTGGCCAATTACTCTTGAAAGTCTGCTCAGAAATTACACCCATGAACAGACCAAAATGTGGTACCATTTGAGATGTTTCTACTTCATCTCTAGGAATCACAATTAAGTCATTCGACTGTCATCTTCGAGAACAATTATGGTTCTTTTTCAGACAAAGTAAGCTGTTTCTTATAGTATTATATTTGCAAGTGGATATCTCAACAATGCACTTGCATTATAATGTTTAGCGGATCATTTTGAAGTCTTCTGGCGTCAAAACCAGATGGCATCACTAGTCGCTCTGCCTCTGAAGTCGATGAGCTGTACTGTGTGCACAAAGGACACTGGTTACAGTGTTTACAAACTTGAAAGCTTGAATCTCACTCACATGTTTTTTTTCAACATCAGTCGATACAAATTTAAATTCCTCTCGAGTGTCGAGTTTGTTTCATTGGATATCAAAGAAAACTCAAAAGCTTTCCCTTACTTGGAAGGTAATAGGAAGTTTGATCTTTGTTCAGATGGGTAATTCCGCTAGACTAGGTTATGTTCATCCGACTGATCCAGAATGCTACCCAGTTTTTTCTATCCCCAGAAACAAATTCCTTTTTGTGTGTGGGGGGTGATAGCTGTTAGAATTACATGAATGGATCACTGTAAATCAGAGATGACACCAGGTGTTCGCGAAGTGGATAAACATGCTTGACACCATCAATGATAGCATGGTGTGAGTGACGCCGCTTTTATCATTATTCCAGCAATATGGCGGGGACACCAGAAATGGGCTTCACACATTGTACCTAAGTGGGGAATCGAACCCGGGTCTTCGGAGTCACGAGCGAATGCTTTACCCACACCACCCATCACGATATGAAACATCAACATCAATAATATCACGATATGAAACAATACCACCAATGATATCACGGTATGAAACAATACCATCAATGATGTCAAGGTATGAAACAATACCATCAATGGTGTTAAGGTATAAGACAATACCATCAATGATATCACGGTATGAAACATCAACATCAACAAAATCACGATATGAAACATCAATAAAATCACGATATGACACAATACCACCAATGATATCACGGTATGAAACAATACCATCAATGATATCAAGGTATGAAACAATACAATCAATGATATCAAGGTATGAAACAATACAATCAATGATATCAAGGTATGAAACAATACAATCAATGATATCAAGGTATGAAACAATACAAGCAATGATATCACCGTATGAAACAATACCATCATTAAAATCACGATATGAAACAGTACCATTAGTGATATCACGATATGAAACAGTACCATCAATGACATTACGGTACAAAACAATCCAAGGGAAGGATGTCGGCAGGGCAAGGCATGTCACCACACACACACACACGCTGTGAAAGAATAATTCAAAGGTGTCCCTTGAAGGATAACACTCAGCATGGGTGTAATTCATCTGGGCCTTTGTACAGCCACATATACTGTTTGATAGCAATGAACAGCCAGCCCAGTTGTACTACTGTACAGAAGTTTTACCTCCGCGTCCATTACCCGCTCAGAATACAACAACGTTCGGTTGCGAGCCAGTGAGCTGTCCCTGCCGCCCTCTGTCAGACATGGTGGATCTCTTCATACATCTGTATAGGTAAATATATTATGCGTTTGAAGTCACATTTGCTACGTTGGGCTCCATACATCAAGACGTTATTCTATTATCTATACTGTGTGTAAGACATAGTGTTTCATGGGGCTATATGCTGCCGCGTAAAGGACATTACGTGGGTGTATTCAAAATGTCACGTTGACATTGTATGTATATTTGTCAACATGACATTAGGCTATGATACTCCTCTGATACAATGCATGTCTAAAGTGTGGTTGCACATCCTGTTTGGTTTCCGTGGATTTTGAATGCATATCTGCAACATACATACAGATTCAGTGATATCACGTTAACAAAATGTGAGAATGAGAGTTTTCATGCCATTAACTCTATATCTGGTAGATATAGATAAAAGAGTACATAAACCGAGGCAAATGTAAGTTCAAGAAGCAGATACCACGATGATTTGTGCACAAAATGACCACATCATGTTGCAGTCCGTATCTTCTTACACGGAAGTTCTGCAGTTATTTCTTGCTGGTACGCCTTCAAGAATGACACAGGACCAGGTGAATCAGTCCTATATTTATTAAAATATCACACACGTTTTTCCTTTGAATCCCCACCCTAGCTACCCAATAGAGATCATTGAGAGCAACACTTGGTCAGGTATACAAGGAGATCAATGGTGAGTGTTCAGGCGAAGGAGATTCTTGTGTCTGTAAAGTGTGTCAGTCCGCGTCTGGCGGTGCATGTTTACTCTGTACAACCTTCGCAGAACAATATATGTGTATTGGGGCATGATTTAACAACGTTATACGTAAGTGGATGTTTCATCCCTGATACCCTGAAACCAATACAATACTGTCATTGTCTAGAGAGAAACATGCTATTCTGTATTCAGATTCACTTGACACAATGACGGTGCTCGTGCTGGTATTTGCTGTGGCGTACTTGTGTTCGGGGGCTACCTCATTGACGACATCACGAACTACAGGTAAGGGAAAAAGGGTATTTATTCTACACACTATATGTAACGGGGATGGCGCTGACTCAACAACACAACTCCGTTGAGGCTCTAGTTCCGGTTTGTTACTGTAGTTTGTATTAATACAAGTCTGAAACAACGTCTATGAATATATAATTCTCCATCAAAATATCTATTCCATCACATTCATTTCATTACACAGTGTTCAGATAATTGCAATTGTACTACCACTGAACATATAAAAAGAAATCAAAACAAATTGACATCTCAAAATTAATGGTTCAGTTACATATTGAGATCCTTAGAAGTTCAATTATGGAACACATATGGCATCTTCAAAACAATGAAACATCAACGTTTCTTACCATGTATGGGACAACTTGTTTCAAACTGGCCACATGTTGTGAGGCACCAACAAAACACCAACCAAGGACCTAAAATATGTATGTTTTAATTAGCACGGAAATGCTAATTCTCACCATTAAAGTAAACGTACAATCTGTTTGGACACAAACATTAATCTGAATCAATTGTAAGTGAAATTATTGACACCAACAACTTCTAACCATAGGTCAAAATATACTTCCACCAAATGCATGAATTCAGCTATAATTAATACTGAATTAAACATATTTTTGTAGTTTATTCATTTCATATAAAACCAAGAGTAACTAACCTGTAATTCACCAAAGTCACAATCCTTCATCCATGAAGAGACAGCCAGTGAACAAACTTCACACTTTCCATATGCAACTAAATTCAACATCCAATCAAGATGCTGCACATCTTCAGCCAATGAAAACCAAGGACAAGACAGCAGACCTGACCTCATTAAGACTTGGCAACTTTGCATAGGAACTACTTTCGATCTATGACTCAGTGGTGACTATGAGTAAATCATGGACTAGTGAAAATGTAAACCTTTTCACTGACAATTGTATTATTGTTTTAGATGTTGTGAATTGATTCCAAACAGGAACATAAGACAAGATATGTTGAAATAGATTGCTTTTTCAGAACATTTTACAATTTGTATATTTTGTACTTGATACAAATACACTACAGGTGAGGAACTAGGATATTTACTCTACACACTACACACTACTCTCTACACAATACACACTACATACTACATACTACACACTACACACTAAATACCACATACAACACACTACATACTACAGTTAAGGCAACAGGTATTGTGTGCTCGGTAGCTATTTGACAGACACCACCGGCTGTCAGGTTTAGGTTTGGCTGTTGTGTAACGCCGCACTCCGCAATATCCCAGCTTTATAACGGTTGTCTGTAAATTATCGCGTCTGCACCAGACATTCCAGTGAACAACATCATGAGCATAATTCTACACAACTGGGATATGATGACATGTGTCATCCAAGTCCGCGAGCCTGACCACCCGATACCGTTAGTCGCCTCTTACGACAAGCATGGGTTGCTGAAGACGGATGTTCACGGGTTACAAAACATGTAGCTTGTGTAACCTTGCTATATCATTGACAGCATGTCATTCCACAGGTATTTGGGAACTACTGTTGGCGGTAACAGGATTCGGGATCTTGTTTCCATATGACTCATAGCATCCTCGAAATCACTAATATGAAGCTTCCTCGTTGTCAAAATTACCATTAATATCTCCGACAAAATTAAACTAAATTACACATGTTATGTCGATGGCAATTCCAGAGAGTATTGTTATTATGCTCGGATCTGTACAAAGACACAATATTAATGATATTTGTAGGAGATAAATGTATTTATAGAGTTTCCAGAATATATTCTGACACGTGAGGTCGATTATGTGCTAACGTTTCATGTACACAGACTGTGACCTCTCCTTTAAATATAGTTCCATCTTTTCTAAAGAGATCATCGTAATGTTGCCATCACAAAAGATCATTATTGGTTGCAATATCTAATGGAGCTCCAGTAAAAATATAACAAGGAAGAAGGAGTGAGTGAGTGAGTTTAATTTTACGCCGCACTCACCAATAGTCCAGCTATATGGCGGCGGTCTGTAAATAATCGAGTCCGGACCAGACAATCCAGTGACCAACAGCATGAACATCGATCTACGCAGTTGGGATACGATGACATGTGTCAACCGAGTCAGCGAGTCTAACCAGCCGATCCGTTAGTCGCATCTTACGACAAGAGTGGGTTACTGAAGATCAATTCTAACCTGGACCTTCACGGGTCATGGAAGTAGAAGCAACACCTACTAACAATATACAAATGATCACATACACTTCGTGTGTTTTAGGTGAAATATGGAGACATATTTCCCGTGTTATTCGTTTTCACGTTTTCGGGTTGAGCACCACGACCAGAACAAGCTGCAGACACAACAACTATAGAGTGCGGCGTAAAACAACACCCACCCAAACAACACAACCAGTCAGGCAATTCGAGTGGCAGCAAATGAGTATGATCAAGCACCAAGAGGAACCCAGTGTGGCAGAAAGTAGTCTTCCTTTATGAGGCCTCTAGCTAACTCTGATCCTTGTCTGGGAAAATCTCTGTAATATACAGTGTACCCGTCTGCAAGCCAGGCAGCCCACCATCCAAATGTCCCCGCAGTCATTATCATGTGGTCACACAAGGTCAAGGTCGCAAAGTCTACAAGGGCATCTGAATTTTCCATGAGTATTATATCCGTGGAAACAACATATTTTCTGCACCAAGTTTTGTCATCAGTAGCTATAAGAAACAGTGGGTTGTGAAACTTTGTCTTCATATGAGCAATGGCCTTTTTAATATACGACAAGGGCGCAGCCAGATAGCCTATCTTACTCCCAGATCTCATGTATTTGCGTCGAACGTGAATCCCGATTTTAGTTCGGTTTTCATGTGTATTTGTGTAATTGTGAAAACACTGCGCACTGAGGTCGATTTATTTTTTTCTGAAGACGAACTGCTTTCTTATTGAGGCTCTGATGGAGTTGAAATACTTCCATGATTGAAGAAACCCCAGACTTTGACATTTCCATCGGGCAGTGTAAGGAGCCTGTGTTCATAAGCGCCATATTGTCTCTCAAAACCAGAGTCCAAGTCTGATTGCGGATGTCCCCGATGAAAGATATGTTAAAGAGTCTACTGAGTTCGTTTGATTTTGGAATAAGAGGCTGTTTTCCTGTACTGACAGCAATTCCGAGCAATGAGGCATATTCAAACATATTGTTTCCTAGGCGACCACGCAGTGACACTGTTAGAGTGTTGTCACGTGGCGCGGTTGTTCGCCATCTTGAAAACACGGTCCTGGCGACTTCATCAGGAAGCGTCTTATTGTTGCAGCGTGGTCCAGTTGTGTTAAGATGTCCAGATGAAACTTTGAGTTTCCAGTCCAATTATGCATTTCAGAATGATTGAAAATATATTTTTCTGGATTTAGACTACCTTGATGAAGAATTAAAACCAAAATCACTGTCAACATAAACATGATTACAAGCATGAAGTAAAGTTTCAGAGCCATTGTGTGTTTTTTGTTTTATATGATTAGAACCCAGACGGCATTAATATAACAATGTAATGTAATGTAGTATGACACCGTCATATATTACAAATGTAATCTTATAATTGTCTGTCATGTAAACAAAATTAAATATCTGTTTTCATTTAGAAATTTCTGTGATTTCTTTCTGGTAAATGTACATGTACGAGATTGGTATGACAGGCCAATCTCCGATGTGTGGTTAACTGGAGTCCTTCGTGTGAATCGTCTTCATTTAGGTGTCATTTGATGATTATACGTCTTCGGCATTGTTGTAGACGGTTTCCTCTAGAAAATAAATGAAAAGGAGTACATTTTATATGTACGAGGAATATGCAAAATGAATAAGAATAAAAACACTGTCAGTCAATAAATCTGTCTGTCTGCCTCGCTGCACACATGCTATAAACGTAGCCAACTGCCAAGGCCCATAGTTTCTACAATAGGGGGTTATACCGCTTAGTTATGTCACAATTTTGAACATTCCTTGAACAAGGCATTTGTCTGGTACTATTGATATTATGTAAGTTTAGTCGATTTGTATTTTTATATTTGTATTTTGTTTGTATTCATGCAACAGAATCATTCCACTTTATTCTGTGTGTCGAAGCGAGACAGACAAAATACACTGGGTCGCACTAAGAGAGTGTGTATATAAAATATGATGCACTTTACCACTAACAGATGAAGTTAATCCACATAATGTTTTGATATGTTATCAAAATAATCAGAATGAAAATACTAATGGGTAGAAAAGACTCACAAAGGGAATTCACAGAAACCTTTCAATGACAAGACTCACAAAGGGAATTCACACATACCTTTCAATGACAAGACTCACAAAGGGAATTCACACAAACCTTTCAATGACAAGACTCACAAAGGAATTCACACAAACCTTTCAATGACAAGACTCACAAAGGGAATTCACAGAAACCTTTCAATGACAAGACTCAGAAGGGAATTCACACAAACCTTTCAATGACAAGACTCACAAAGGGAATTCACACATACCTTTCAATGACAAGACTCACAAAGGGAATTCACACAAACCTTTCAATGACAAGACTCACAAAGGGAATTCACACATACCTTTCAATGACAAGACTCACAAAGGGAATTCACACAAACCTTTCAATGACAAGACTCAGAAAGGGAATTCACACAAACCTTTCAATGACAAGACTCACAAAGGGAATTCACACATACCTTTCAATGACAAGACTCACAAAGGCCATTCACAGAAACCTTTCAATGACAAGACTCACAAAGGAATTCACACAAACCTTTCAATGACAAGACTCACAAGGGAATTCACACAAACCTTTCAATGACAAGACTCACAAAGGGAATTCACACAAACCTTTCAATGACAAGACTCACAAAGGGAATTCACACATACCTTTCAATGAAAAGACTCACAAAGGGAATTCACACAAACCTTTCAATGACAAGACTCACAAAGGGAATTCACACAAACCTTTCAATGACAAGACTCACAAAGGGAATTCACACATACCTTTCAATGACAAGACTCACAAAGGCCATTCACACAAACCTTTCAATGACAAGACTCACAAAGGCAATTCACACATACCTTTCAATGAAAAGACTCACAAAGGCCATTCACACAAACCTTTCAATGACAAGACTCACAAAGGGAATTCACACAAACCTTTCAATGACAAGACTCACAAAGGGAATTCACACAAACCTTTCAATGACAAGACTCACAAAGGGAATTCACACAAACCTTTCAATGACAAGACTCACAAAGGCCATTCACAGAAACCTTTCAATGACAAGACTCAGAAAGGGAATTCACACAAACCTTTCAATGACAAGACTCACAAAGGGAATTCACACATACCTTTCAATGACAAGACTCACAAAAGTGTGCAAGGTGTTGCACACGTGTCTCGAGCGCGTAACAGTAGTGGCAGTAGTGCACCTGCACCACCTACTAGATCATGTCTCACATCCTGTCGTCACTCAAACACTTCCATGCTCATATTAAGACTCAACTTATCTAGTTATAGGCTTGACATTGTATTGTACATACGTGGATGTATTGGTGTGATTTTACTTCCAGCGTCTCCTGTATCTGCCCGAGGATTCACAGTGTATTTTGTCGTGGATGGTTCAGAGAGTATCAGCGACAGCAACTTCCGAAAAATTAAGGACGCCCTTAATCACTTTGTTTTAACCAGTCAGTCTATCGGCAGTGCGGTTAGAACCGGTGTTGTGATCTACGGCAATAATGTCACAACTACAATCCCTGCGTCTTCAAACATCACGGCACTTTCCACGGAAATAAACAAGATATCACAACCAAGTTCAGGAACTTTCACTCACTTAGGTATTCAGCGAGCTAGCGTGTTCTTGTCCAAGGAGCCTGGTGATACTTCAAGAGTGATGATTGTCATGACAGATGGACTGTCAAACTACCCTCTTAATACAGAGGCTGCTGCTGCTGAAGCGAGGAACTCTGGAATTACCATTTTTCCGTGGGTGTAAATCGGTTACTCAACTTCCCAAGCTCGCCCTATAGAAGACTGTATGAAACGGAGCTTCGATCTATTGCCTCGTCCAATGAGACTGTGTTTCAAGTTGAAAACTTCTCCACTTTGTCAGACACAATGGACAGGATCCTTGAAATTTTGTCTTCTTCAAAAGGTAAGATCGCTTCCAATCAATCTGTAAATATAGGAGTGTAGGGTAAAGGAACTAGGTCCCGATCTACAAAACGCTCATAGAGCTTCGTAAGCCTATGATAAACTATAGAGTTTCGACAGGTCGTAACTTTACGAACGCTTTGTGGATCGGGACCCTGGGCCAAGATTTTTGAAGCTCTCTTAGAGCTACGATAGTCGTAACTGCCATACATTAACATCAATTTACGACTATCTTAGCACTAAGAGAGCTTCGAAAATCTAGGCATTAAATTAATGTTTTGACAAATGAGAAGAAAATCAGTTGATATATTTGCGAGTGCAAGTTGTTGTTTTTCGTTATTGTTGTTGTTTGTTTGCTTGAGCAATAAGATCTTCTTCTGGTCGTGTGTTCTGGATGTGTCTACGACTGAACTCTTGACTGTGCACCCTGTTGTTGTAGACGGTGGAATGTCCGAATGGGGGTCATGGAATGTTCCTGCGTGTCCACCACTGACATGTGAGAACCCGACCAGCCTCCGGAATGCGACCAGGACCCGATCCTGCAACAACCCTCCCCACCGTTGCCGGTAGACCCTGCAGCGGGGACACGGACTGAGGCGGAGAGGAGAGACTGTCGTCTTTTAGACTGTGGTTACGGTAAGATGTCATCCGTTTGCAAAATGTCATTTGCCGCCCAGCAGGGTTCCAGGAACAATGTCGCGCCAGTCAGTGAGTAAAGGAGTGAGCAAACAAACAAAGTGCATGACAATATGATCAAACTCCTGCTCTATCCACCAAGCTCCAATATCCAATATCCTCCAATATGACTTCTGGAAGGAGTATCGATGCTCATGCTGTTGATCACTGGATTGTCTGGCCCAGACTCGAATATTTACAGACTGCCGCCATATAGCTGGAATATTGCTGAGTGCGGCGTAAAACTAAACTCACTCACTCACTCTGGAAGGAAGAGTACACGATGCATACCAGTGAATCTGACAAACTCCCAAATCAGTAGATGTGTAATGAACTAAAAGATCCGGTGGCAGTTCATTGCCCAGACACCCGATCCGCTAAGATGATCGTAACTCCCATTCTTTAACACAGACTTACGACAGTCGTAGTGCTAAGATGATCGTAACTCCCATACTTTAACATAGACTTACGACAGTCGTAGCGCTAAGATGATCGTAACTCCCATACTTTAACACAGACTTACGACAGTCGTAGTGCTAAGATGATCGTAACGCCCATACTTTAACATAGACTTACGACTGTCGTAGCACTAAGACGATCGTAACTCCCATCCTTTAACACAGACTTACAACAATCGTAGCGCTAAGATGATGGTAACTCCCATACTTTAACACAGACTTACGACTTACGATCGTAACTCCCATACTTTAACATAGACTTACGACAGTCGTAGCGCTACTGTCGCTTTGAGGAACGGATTTTTGTCATAAAGAGATCACGCGAAGATCTCACTTGTAACATCATCAGCATCTTCAATAGCAAAATGTTCTGCGCCCACTCAACTGCTACATCGATACTCATGTGACATCAGACAATCTTTTACTTTTGCAGGCACAATATCTCCGGTTGTAATTGGTGTTGCTGTAGGGGCTGCTGTTGCTCTTGTGATACTGATTGCAGTCATCGCAGTATGCATCAAGCGGAGACAGAGACAGAAGGTACGTGCATGTATCAACATTACGTATCTTGCTGTTCACATTGAACACCGTAAGCTACCAAAGTAAGTATGATTTTGATTTCAGTGTATTTAGTGACAGTAAACGTTTCACGTATATATATGTTCATAATGGCCCCAGCCATTATGTCAGTCAGTTCCATCACCATCACTTCCACTCTGCTTTACATTCAAGTCCATCGCTGTGCGTCTATTGGGACGAGAAAGGGAGCGACTAAATCTTTTATTGTTTTCCTGTATGATTACTCTTCACCTTTTTCTGCTTAAAATATCAGATAAAATGTTAACATGGATGCACTAAAGCTAAGATATTTCAATTGTCAATGTAGTAAGTCATTCAATTACTAGAGGAAAAACTATTTAAGCCAAATATATCCTTAATTTTATCATAAATATTATATAAACATTGGTGCAAATATGTAATATAATGTTACACATTGTGTCATAGCGGAAAAATACCCTCAGCGACCCATGTTTTTATACTTATTTTTATAGCAAAACATTGTTGTCATTAACATATTGGAATTCAGAAAAAGTTTAATACTAGAAATTATGAAAATGAAGGATCATGTAAAAAGTTTGCTCCCCATAGACTCCTATGTTAAAAGTCTTGGCTAACCAAGGAATCTTTAAGACTACATATCTCAAGAAAACCCACAGTACCCCCTGCTTTTCTGGGCTGTTTTGCAAAGACAAACGTCATACTTTAAAAATATACCAATTAGAAAAATGTACTATTTATATTACCAGCTAACATCCTTAAAACTAATAACAAAGCAAACACAACAATGTTGCTCCCTCGCGTCAGGAATACAACCGACATAACAACGCTGCACAACCATCAGAACTCCAGTTACTTCACTACAACCTTGAACTTCTGGCCGTGTTGGGTGAAGGTCACTTCTGGAAGGTCTGGAAGGCCAAGGCCAATGGGATTCTACACACAGGTCAATGTGACATCGTTGCTGTTAAAAGTATGTAAAGGTGAGAAGACATTCTGAATTTTGGAGTCAGTGAGTTAGTATGGTTTTACCCCGGTTATGGAAATATTCCAGCAATATCACGGCGGGGGACACCAGAAATTGGACTCCACATTGTACCCATGCGGGAATCGAGCCCGGGCATTCGGCGTGACAAGCCAACGCTTTAACCATTAGGCTACCCCACCGCCCCTGAGTTTTGGAATATCGAGGACGACCTAACCTGGCCGAATAATCTAGCCGTAAAAATGACCCCCACGTCCATGTATTTATGTTAAATAGTTGTGGTACAAGCACATATGCACAACATGGAACGCTGTAGACATAGGCTCTTGCATAATGGTGTATCTATAGAAAGTAATACATGTTATATTGATTCCCCTTTCCTAGTTTAGTAGTTTCCTTCATGTTGATGTTTAATACAAACTCAAAGGAGACTACAGGAATGGTGACGTGTACTTCGAGGGGACGTAACTTTATGCCTAACTGTTTAAAGAACGTGTTACTCCCTGTGTGTAACAGTATGATGTGTACATACTCTCTTGTATATGGGCCAGAGGCCGTCTGTACAATAAACCTTTTGACTGACTTTGAGTCCACTTTCCCAGTGAAGTAGAGATTCTAGTACTTTTTGTGTTTGCTTGAGTCTCATCCGGGATTCGAACCCAGATTCTCAGAGTCAGGGCAACTTACCGCCAGCTCACTCACATCACTGCATTCTTGTGCTGGCGATTAGACGCCTGAGTCACAGTGCGGGTTCGAACTCCCAGATGGACTCAACCAAACAAAAGTACTAGAACCTGTACTTCACTGAGAAAGGGTAATAGTAAATTTTGACCACTTTCTAAATGACATAGTGTATTCTATAGAACGTCGAAGATTGAAACCTTGTAAAGGTTAAAGACAAAATTCCACTGATGCTGGGTTTAAAACAGTTCAAGCACAACCAAATTCGTTGGTTACTTTTCTAGTTCCCAACTCAAGTCAGAGACGATCTAGCATCCTGGGATAACTGTTCCAGTGAGTAATAAGTAATAAGCAGTTGTATAATTGGATCTGACATGGTAACACTTCATGTACCATTCTACATTGAAACAAATTATGTTCAATTTGTTTCAATGTAGAATAACTTATTATCGGTAAAATATGTGTGATTGTGCAATGTTCATGTTCGCGATCTAAACTCCAAACCATCTGTTTCAGATAATGCATCTGAGGAGCGGTGGACCAACTTCTACCGTGAAATTAAACTGATGAAGTCTATACCGAAATACTTCCATGTGGTGAATTACCTTGGCACCAACCACACACAAGGTATGATGGCGTTGGTCTCTTTGGTAGTACACATATATATGTTGTATGAACTGAATGTCAACATACGCCATTAACCAAGACTGGTAGAATTGCGCGAATGATTTAGGCAACAATCTACCCGATTGAAACACCGACGATGTTCGCTCAGTCGCAAGCTTATTGAGGGGAACAAAGTGCGATTCACGATATGGTGGAAGCGTTCAGTACTCTTCCCTACACGAATCGCGTCATCGATGCTCATGGCGGTTGCCAAGACGTTATGCCATGGTGACGGTTTGAACAATGCCGATACCTAACATCGAACATTGTAGCGGTCATCTGTTTCGCTGTGAGAGGTAGAAATTGTTTAACGTGCTTGAGAATATATCTGACGCGTGCGTAGCGTGATGTGTCGTTGTACCAGACCGAAAGATTGTTTATGCCAGCCCGACATTCCGCAGTGGTTATTTAGTCACCATCAAGAAATATTATAGCCGACTCGAGCCCCAGTCTTCAGCCGTAATAATACGAGATGTCATAGAACAGCGTCAATAACGTTCATACGACGCACAACAATTGTTACCTCTGAAGTCCGAATAGCCGATGTTCTGCCAGGAGGAATTTGCGAACGGTTGACACTTTTAAAACAGAAGCCTAGATTTTCGAAGCCTTCAGCACCAGATAGTCGTAGTTAACACGAGCGGCACTATCTTAGCGCTAAGAGTTTCGAAAGCCCAGCCAGAATGCTTAGTCGGTTCCACAGCGCACAAATTTATAGATTTAATTTTTTTTTGTCAGATACCGACGATGGTGAAATGCGTTATTGTTTCGATTGATCTGGCGTGATTCATCCGATTCCCCTACGGCGATGATTACCGAGGTACGTACCAATGACATTCAAGATTATCCCGACAGCGTTTCAGCTACCGGAAAGAGTTGATTGCGCATTGGTTGATTCATTTGAACTTCATCTTCAACAGTCATCCAGTTCGCCAGTATTAGAAGTTGTAAAGAGGAAAACCAGTTTGCGGATAGCTCAACTTATCGTAATGAGGCGACGTTTTGCGCAGTGGTATTATTATCGCTATCGTTGCGTCAGCACTCACACCGAAACGTCGCATCATTGCCATGAAGAAAAGCTTTTGATCCGTCCGCCGATAACGATTCAGCATTAGGGCTGTAGACTGAAGTGTCCACACAGCTGGTTTTGATTGAAAATATTTTTTCGAAATAAGATAATCTGTTCTTTTACGGTCATTATAGCCAGCCAGGCAATGTATCAGGATACTGATTGTGTCGTGAAACTAATACGTTGTCGATAAAGAACAGTAATGGTGGACTGTTATTATTATTGTTGTGTGATGGGCTCGACCAGTAAACAGGTCAGTTAATAAGTTATCGTCGTTCCAAAACATGGCATACAGAAATGTCGTCACGCGAATAAAAAATGCGAAATTTCTGACCAATATTGTCTATGGTCGATGAGTACTACTCACTGGCCAAACACCCTCCATTCTCGACGTCCATATCGTAGAGGCCAATATTGACGCCGTTTCATCAACATAACGCGTCTGCTGTAAATTCAACGTCACTTCCCGATGGACCCAGAGAGACTGGAATCAGGTCGTCTTCGGGGATGAATCCAAGGTTTGCCCCTCAGATTCGCGGACCCAGCTTGAATGGGAGTCTGGAGACGATACGTCGTGAACTGGTATGCCCAATGTTGTGTACAGGAAGTCGACAGATTCGGGGCGGAAGTTGCATGGAGCGCGGGTCCTTTCTGTGGGAACAAACTGCTCCCGACTTCTTAATCATCCGTGGAAACCTTACCGGCTGCTGCTTACCGCGACCGAGCTGCTCACCCCTCGAACTCTGTTTCGCACCTAGCGGCGGCTCAAGGCCCCAGATCTACGAGATCCCAGCATGATAATGCTCCGGCTGCATACCGCGATGCTGATTAATGAAATTTCCTTCAAAATGCTGGAATCAACGTCATGGACTTGTATTCTGAGGTCCACAGGCCTTAATCCAATAGAGCACGTTTGGGATGCGCTGGGAAAAGGCACCGTGGTCTTAGGAACCAACCTCTCCAGATTTGCAGGAATTTGGCGCTGCCTTGCGAGAGCAAATGGCGCAGAATCCCTAACCACGTGTTCTGAAGCATCAGGCACTAGGCGGGGAGAGTCGGTTTGGCAGTGGTGAATTCGCATGAAAACGCCGGGCTGTCTGTAGCCGTTGAGAAATTTCGCATTTTGGCATTCGCGACTTTGACATTCTGTATACCCGTGTTTTGGAACGGCGTTGGCAGCCTAATTGAACTGATTTATTTGACACTGTCTGTGTATCGAAATTGCATCACACAGATCTCAAGCAATGAAATAATAACACTTTAACCATCTTACCATCTCTTGTTCTTTTATAGTGCCCTGAAGAAAGGTGAAGTTTCGCTTGAAGTTTCTTTTTTTGAAAAGAGTTCTATGTGAGCCGACAAAAGGGGTATATAGGTTATCTTATATTTGCGAAACAAATATTTTCAATCAAAAGTATTAATAACTAGCGTAAGAACTTCAAGTGTTCTAATTTCTGTACAGGATCATTTTGGGTTTTTTATCGGCAGTTGGATGTAGAAAACTTCGTTATGCATGAGTACAACGTTTCAGTGTAGGTACTGACACAACTTGATAACGGTGTTAATTCCTGCACACAGAAACGTCGCACTCATTGCAATAAAGCTAGTTGACTATCCATAGAAAACTGGTTTTCCTTCATCTTTAAGCAACTTCTAAAAAATGTCTCTGAAAAAATCTTGCATGTGGTTTGCCCGGATAACCGCCGGAAGTTCCCGGAAAAATAGAATGGAATATGCATAATGCACGAATGGATTATCTCCGGTAGTTTGGACGTTAGCTGTCCACCAGAGTCGTCTCGAGATAGTGTGTAGTTGAATTGGTGTACCTCCGATTTAGTCTCGCAAACGTCGCCATCAGAGTCGGACGGATGCCGCGCCAGACCAAAGTCGGCGACCTTGCATTGCAAGTTGTCAAACAGTAGCACATTCCTGGCAGTTACTTCACGTCAATGATGAATTATCTGACCAAAAAATTCATCTATAAAATTTATTGCACTGTGAGTGTAAGACCGACAAAGAATTCTGGGCCTAGATTTTCGAAACTCTAAGCGCTAAGATAGTCGTAAATGCCATAAATTGACATTAACTTTACGACTATCTGAGTAATACCAAGAGAGCTTCGGAAAATCTGAAACTCTGAACTAATAAGCTATCCAAACGGCGTTCACACGCGTCAGCAATCCTCGTTGGCAGAACATCGAACTATTATTGACAGAATTGTGCCAGCATTGGTGACAGGGCCCGACCGCGTCATACCAAAAGACGTTAAAAGATGGTAATTTGTTGGTCCCTCGCCCGGCGCTCGGCATTAATTGGTGCAACAAGGACTGGTCGGCTCGGAGTCAAAATGATGCCCGGAGTGGGGGTATCCATGCTTCACTGCGGAATTTGCATTCCCAGTGGGCTAGCACTATGTTCCAGCCTCCAGCCCGGGCTAGTACAAGCAACGCACCGCATACAGCATTATTATTAATGCATGCACGTCGTCATATGAGCGAAATATTCTCAAGAACGACGTTAAACTCACCCCCACCTCGCCACCTCGGCTACGAAACAGATGTACACTACGAGCTCACAATATTCGGTGTTAGACTTTTGTGTGATGTAAATATCAACATTGTTCAAAACGGTCGAACGCCGTGTTGACATTCAATGAGAGAACCGTGCCAGCTGCTTCTGGCGTGGAAAAGTAATCGTCATGTAGCAACCGCTATGTAATATCAGCGATATTAATGCACGTGACGCAGGTGTGTAGGAGGGTACTGTAAAAATATGCTGTCTTATCCTTTCAAGAAAACCATTGCCTTCAGAAAAAACTTCCATTTATCGGTAAATGCCATTTTGTCTCTTTGGCGAAGATGTCTAAGCCCCCTTTGCTATCTTGATAGGCGAACATCGTCAGTTGTTTCGAAGTCAGACCAAGGCTGGCACTTTCATCATCATTGCTTTGATTCTCTGGAGTCGTTGGATGCTAACGCAGCGTATGCGGATCTGGCGACTTTGAGGGCTAGTTTTTCTTGCGTAAAATCCGAACGAGATTCTAAAGGCGAGTATTCCATTATCAGCATACGGGAATCTGTCGTAGGAAGGAGGAATGATTATGAGGTAACTGCAATTTGAAGAAAACCCAGCTTTGCAAACCCATGCGTTAATTATGACGTCGTTGTTGGTGCGGATGTCAGCTGCTTAACTCCTGCGTGAATGTTTTGAGTAAAGAATCTATAAATCGACTACACAAAGTCACAAAACCCTGTAGCCTCGAAACAGATCTAGATTTCATTAGGTTTACAGGAAAGTAGCTGTAAAATGCAAATGAATGATCATTGAAAATATGTGATGACACCAGGTGTTCGCGAAGCAAGGGTTAACATGTCCTCCTGTACTTTCTTTTGTGTAGTGACGTCAATAAAATAACGTCAACGACGCCATCACCGAGGCTATAAAGAGTACCCTTGAAATGTTGTTACCTTGATACAAAACTGCTGTAGGTAAGCAGCTGCACCTGACACCTTCACACCTCCCCGAACGTCTGGTTCCATTTCTGGTTCCCTCGAGATTACCTCTGCGGTTCATTGAGACAATCCACTCACCTGCCTCGCTCACTCATTTAAGGAGGAGAGTATTTCATTTTTGTGTTGATTCCAGTTCATACAACATATATATATGTGTACTACCAAACAGACCAACGCCATCATACCTTGTGTGTGGTTGGTGCCAAGGTAATTCACCACATGGAAGTATTTCGGTATAGACTTCATCAGTTTAATTTCACGGTAGAAGTTGGTCCACCGCCCTCAGATGCATTATCTGAAACAGATGGTTTGGAGTTTAGATCGCGAACATGAACATTGCACAATCACACATATTTTACCGATAATAATTAGATTCTACATTGAAACAAATTGAACATAATTTGTTTCAATGTAGAATGGTACATGAAGTGTTACCATGTTAGATCCAATTATACAACTGCTTATTACTTATTACTCACTGGAACAGTTATCCCAGGATGCTAGATCGTCTCTGACTTGAGTCGGGAACTAGAAAAGTAACCAACGAATTTGGTTGTGCTTGAACTGTTTTAAACCCAGCATCAGTGGAATTTTGTCTTTAACCTTTACAAGGTTTCAATCTTCGACGTTCTATAGAATACACTATGTCATTTAGAAAGTGGTCAAAATTTACTATTACTTTCCTTTCTCAGTGAAGTACAGATTCTAGTACTTTGTTTGGTTGAGTCAATCCGGGATTCGAACCCGCACTGTGACTCAGGCGTCTAATCGCCAGCACAAGAAGTCAGTGATGTGAGTGAGCTGGCGGTAAGTTGCCTGACTCTGAGAATCCGGGTTCGAATCCCGGATGAGACTCAAGCATACACAAAAAGTACTAAGAATCTCTACTTCACTGGGAAAGTGGACTCAAAGTCAGTCAAAAGGTTTATTGTACAGAAGGCCTCTGGCCCATATACAAGAGAGTATGTACACATCATACTGTTACACACAGGAAGTAACACGTTCTTTAAACAGTTAGACATGAAGTTACGTCCCTCGAAGTACACGTCACCATTCCTGTAGGCTCCGTGAATTTGTATTAAACATCAACATGAAAGGAAACTACTAAACTAGGAAAGTGGAATCCAATATAACATGTGCTACTTTCTATAGCTACACCCATTATGCAAGAGCCTGTGTCTACAGCGTTCCATGTTGTGCATATGTGCTTGTACCACAACCATTTAACATAAATACATGGACGTGGGGGTCATTTTACGGCTAGATTATTCGGCCAGGTTAGGTCGTCCTCGATATTCCAAAAACTCAGGGGCGGTGGGGGTAGCCTAATGTTTAAAGCGTTGGCTTGTCACGCCGAATGCCCGGCCTCGATTCCCCGCATGGGTACAATGTGTGGAGCCAGTTTCTGGTGTCCCCCGCCGTGATATTGCTGGAATATTTCCATAACCGATGTAAAACCATAGTAACTCACTAACTCCAAAATCAGAATGTCTTCTCACCTTTACATACTTTAACAGCAACGATGTCACATTGACCTGTGTGTAGAATCCCATTGGCCTTGGCCTTCCAGACCTTCCAGAAGTGACCTTCACCCAACACGGCCAGAAGTTCAAGGTTGTAGTGTGTTAACTGGAGTTCTGATGGTTGTGCAACGTTGTTATGTCGGTTGTATTCCTGACGCGGGGAGCAACATTGTTGTGTTTGCTTTGTTATTAGTTTTAAGGATGTTAGCTGGTAATATAAATAGCACATTTTTTCTAATTGGTATATTTTTAAAGTATGACGTTTGTCTTTGCAAAACAGCCCAGAAAAGCAGGGAGGTACTGTGGGTTTTCTTGAGATATGTAGTCTTAAAGATTCCTTGGTTAGCCAAGACTTTAAACATAGGAGTCTATGGGAAAATCAGCAAACCCTTTTACATGATCCTTCATTTTCATAATTTCTAGTATTAAACTTTTTTCTAAATTCCAATATGTTAATGACAACATGTTTTGCTATAAAATAAGTATAAAACCATGGGTCGCTGAGGGTATTTTTCCGCTATGACACAATGTGTCACATTATATTACATATTTGCACAAATGTTTATATAATATTTATGATAAATTTAAGGATATATGTGGCTCAAATAGTTTTTCCTCTCTAGTAATTGAATGACTTACTGCATTGACAATTGAAATATCTTAGCTTAAGTTCATCCATGTTAACATTTATCTGATATTTTAAGCAGAAAAGGCGAAGAGTAATCATACAGGAAAACAATAAAAGATTTAGTCGCCCTTTCTCGTCCCAATAGACGCACATAGATGGACTTGAATGTAAAGCAGAGTGGAAGTGATGGTGGTGGAACATTGCCAAGTGACTGACATAATGGCTGGGGACATTATGAACATATATATACGTGAAACGTTTACTGTCACTAAATACACTGAAATCAAAATCATACTTACTTTGGTAGCTTACGGTGTTCAATGTGAACAGCAAGATACGTAATGTTGATACATGCACGTACCTTCTGTCTCTGTCTCCGCTTGATGCATACTGCGATGACTGCAATCAGTATCACAAGAGCAACAACAGCCCCTACAGCAACAATTCAATTACAACCGGAGATATTTTGCCTGCAAAAGTAAAAGATTGTCTGATGTTACATGAGTATCGATGTAGCAGTTGAGTGGGTGCAGAACATGTTGCTCCGTTAAAGTATGGGAGCTACCATCATCTTAGCGCTACGACTGTCGCAAGTCTATGTTAAAGTATGGGAGTTACGATCATCTTAGCTCTACGACTGTCGCAAGTCTATGTTAAAGCATGGGAGTTACGATCATCTTAGCACTGCGACTGTCGCAAGTCTATGTTAAAGTGTTGGAGTTACGATCATCTTAGCATTACGATTGTCGTAAGTATGTGTTAAAGTATGGGGTTACGATCATAATAGCACTACGACGGTCGTAAATCTCCGTTAAAGTATGGGAGTTACGATCATCTTAGCGCTACGGCTGTCGTAAGTCTGTGTTAATGAATTGGAGTTACCATCATCTTAGCGCTACGACTGTCGCAAGTCCATGTTAAAGTAATGGGAGTTACGGTCATCTTAGCACTACGACTGTCGCAAGTCAATGTTAAAGTGTTGGAGTTACGATCATCTTAGCACTACGACTGTCGTAAGTCTGTGTTAATGAATTGGAGTTGCCATCATCTTAGCGCTACGATTGTCGTAAGTATGTGTTAAAGTATGGGAGTTACGATCAAAATAGCGCTACGACGGTCGTAAATCTCCGTTAAAGCATGGGAGTTACGATCATCTTAGCGCTACGGCAGTCGTAAGTCTGTGTTAAAGACTCAATTACGATCACCTGAGCTGAACAGGTCCCTGCGCAATGAACTGCCACAGGATCTTTAGTTCACTACATGTACCGATTTGGGAGTTTGTCAGAGTCAGTGGTATGCATTGTGTACTCCTTCCAGAGTGAGTGAGTGAGTTTAGTTTTCCGCCGCACTCAGCAGCATTCCAGCTATATGGCGGCTGTCTGTAAATAATCGAGACCATACAATCCAGTGATTAACAGCATGAGCATCGATACTCCTTCCAGAAGTCATTTGAATCGCTACGATGTAAAAAGAGAAACTATTTATATCTAGTCAAAACATTTATCTTAAGTGAAAAACATTGTCAATGCTGACCAAATATTTCTAAGTGGAACCGGAGATAATATTGTTTTCAATATGAAACACCAAAGAGTGTCATCAGGTGAATGAAGGGGCAAGTATAAGCCCAGAAACGTCGTGTGTAAATAATACAGAGGTTCCCATATGAAGTGTGTTTGTATTTGGCGGGTATTGTAGCTTGGTGTGTGGTGGAGCTTGGTGTGTGGTGGAGCATGGTGGTTACAGATTGGTGGGTATTGAGCTTGGTGGATATTGGAGCTTGGTGGATATTGAAGCTTGGTGGATATTGGAGCTTGGTGGGTGTGGAGCTTGGTGGGTATTGAAGCTTGGTGGATTTGGAGCTTGGTGGGTATTGGAGCTTGGTGGGTATTGGAGCTTGGTGGATATTGGAGCTTGGTGGATATTGGAGCTTGGTGGGTATTGGAGCTTGGTGGATATTGGAGCTTGGTGGATATTGAAGCTTGGTGGGTATTGAGCTTGGTGGATATTGAAGCTTGGTGGATATTGGAGCTTGGTTGATATTGTTGGTGGATAGCGCAGGACTTTGATCATATTGTCATGCACTTTGTTTGTTTGCTCACTCATTTACTCACTGACTGGCGCGATATTGTTCCTGGAACCCTGCTGGGCGGCGAACGACATTTTGCAAACGGATGACATCTTACCGTAACCACAGTCTAAAAGACGACAGTCTCTCCTCTCCGCCTCAGTCGTGTCCCGCTGCAGGGTCTACCGGCAACAGTGGGGGAGGGTTGTTGCAGGATCGGGTCCTGGTCGCATTCCGGAGGCTGGTCGGGTTCTCACATGTCAGTGGTGGACACGCAGGAACACTCCATGAGCCCCATTCGGACATTCCACCGTCTACAACAACAGGGTGCACAGTCAAGAGTTCAGTCGTAGATACTTCCAGAACACACGACCAGAAAGATCTTATTGCTCAAGCAAACAAACAACAACAAGAACAAAAACAACAACTTGCACTCGCAAATATATATCAACGGACTTTCTTCTTATTTGTCAAAACATTAATCTAATGCCTACATTTTCGAAGCTGTCTTAGTGCTAAAATAGTCATAAGTTGATGTTAATGTATGGCAGTTACGACTATCGTAGCTCTAAGAGAGCTTCAAAAATCTTGGCCCAGGGTCCCGATCCACAAAGCGTTCGTAAAGTTAGGCCCTCTCGTAACTCTATAGTCTATCATGGGCTTACGAAGCTCTACGAGCGTTTTGTAGATCGGGACCTAGTTCCTTTACTCCTACACTCCTATAATTACGATTGATTGGAAGCGATCTTACCTTTTGAAGAAGACAAAATTTCAAGGATCCTGTCCATTGTGTCTGACAAAGTGGAGAAGTTTTCAACTTGAAACACAGTCTCATTGGACGAGGCAATAGATCGAAGCTCCGTTTCATACCGTCTTTGATAGGGCGAGCTTGGGAAGTTGAGTAACGGATTTACACCCACGGAAAAATGGTAATTCCAGAGTTCCTCGCTTCCAGCAGCAGCAGCCTCTGTATTAATAGGGTAGTTTGACAGTCCATCTGTCATGACAATCATCACTCTTGAAGTATCACCAGGCTCCTGGACAAGAACACGCTAGCTCGCTGAATACCTAAGTTAGTGAAAGTTCCTGAACTTGGTTGTGATATCTTGTTTATTTCCGTGGAAAGTGTCGTGATGTTTGAAGACGCAGGGATTGTAGTTGTGACATTATTGCTGTAGATCACAACACCAATTCTAACCGCACTGCCGATAGACTGACTGGTTAAAACAAAGTGATTAAGGACGTCCTTAATTATTCGGAAGTTGCTGTTGCTGATACTCTCTGAACCATCCACGACAAAATACACTGTGAATCCTCGGGTAGATACAGGAGACGCTGGAAGTAAAATCACACCAATACATTCACGTATGCACAATACAATGTCGCCTATAACTAGATAAGTTGAGTCTTAATATGAGCATGGAAGTGTTTGAGTGACGACAGGATGTGAGACATGATCTTGTTGGTCGTGCAGGTGCACTACTGCCACTACTGTTACGCGCTCGAGACAGGTGTGCAACACCTTGCACACTTTGTGAGTCTTGTCATTGAAAGGTTTGTGTGATTCCCTCTTGTCATTGAAAGGTCTGTGTGTGAATTGCCTTTGTGAGTCTTGTCATTGAAAGGTATGTGTGAATTCCCTTGTGAGTCTTGTCATTGAAAGGTCTCCAGTGGAATTGGCCTTTGTGAGTCTTGTCATTGAAAGACAGTGGAATTGCCTTTGGTGAGTCTTGTCATTGAGCGGTTTGTGTGAATTCCCTTTGTGAGCCTTGTCATTGAAATGGAATTGCCTTTGTGAGTCTTGTCATTGAAAGGTATGTGTGAATTCCCTTTGTGAGTCTTGGTCACGGAAAGGTATGTGTGAATTCGCCTTTGTGAGTCTTGGTTGAAAGGAATGTGAATTGCCTTGTGAGTCCTTGTCACGAAAGGTATGTGTGTGAATTCCCTTTGTGAGTCTTGTCATTGAAAAGCATGTGAATTGCCTTTGTGAGTCTTGTCATTGAAAGGTATCTGTGAATTGCCTTTGCAGTCTTGTCATTGAAAGGTCGGTGCGTGAATCTTCGTCTCTTTTGTGAGTCTTGGTCACTGAAAGGTTTGTGTGAATTGCCTTGTGAGTCCTTGGTCACTGAAAGGTTTGTGTGGAATTGCCTTTGTGAGTCTTGTCATTGAAAGGTATGTGTGGAATTGCCTTGGTGAGTTCATGAAAGGGTTTGTGTGTGAATTGCCTGAGAGTCTCTTGTCATTGAAAGGTATGTGTGAATTGCCTTTGTGAGTCTTGTCATTGAAAGTGCTTCCAGTGTGAATTCCCTTAGTGAGTCTTGTCATTGAAAGGTATGTGTGAATTGCCTTTGTGAGTCTTGTCATTGAAAGGTTTGTGTGAATTCCTTTGTGAGTCTTGGTCATTGAAAGGTTTGTGCGGAATTGCCTCAGGAGTCTTGTCATTGAAAGGTTTGTGTGGAATTGGCCTCTTTGTGAGTCTTGTCATTGAAAAGTATGTGAATTGCCTTTGTGAGTCTTATCATTGAAAAGTATGTGTGAATTGCCTTTGTGAGTCTTGTCATTGAAAAAGGTATGTGTGAATTGCCTTGTGAGTCTTTTACCCATTAGTATTTTCACTTGATTATTTTGATATATCAAACATTATGTATGATTAATCCCCATCTGTTAGTGGCAAAGTGCATCATATTTTATACACACACTCTCTTAGTGCGACCCAGTGTATTCTTGTTCTGTCTCGCTTTCACATGGAA